CCTATACAGCACTTCTGAGAATTGCGAGTAAAATTTCGAATAGATTTGGAAATTTAATAAAAGAACAGTTCATTATTACAACTACAATTTTACAGAATTAATTATTTTATTTTGTGCTGAAATCTAAATCTTCTAAATATATTTTCTAAAGATTAGGTTTCTAATGACTGAAATAATTTTTTATTCTCTAATATATTCAATTCAAATTCAACTCAATTCAAAACGTCAATCAATTTAAAAGTATAATCTTTAAAATATGTATGTACTTGTATTTCTTTTACAAAACAATAACATCAAAATTTTAGCGCGCTTGTAGAAGTACGATGTTTATATAATTATACTATTCGAGTGAAACACTTTTTTTACTGATTAAAACAATTTTTAATTCATTATTTACCATCAATTTATTAAATTAACGTAATAGTGTATATATATATAATAATGAATGAAACACTATATTAAAAGTGACTTATTTAACTTCGGATGCATATAACAGAAACATTTTATATAATACAAAATATTACTGTATTTATTTATACATATTATGTGTATATTATTATCTAATCTAATTTAGATTGTAGTATTATTTGATAATGTATTACTGTCACATGTAGTTCATTCATGGTTCATGATTTTATGTTATAAAAAAGCAACATAAAATACAAATTTTTTCTGAAACAATCAAAATTTATTGTTAAACATTGTTAAAAAATAAAAAGTAGGAAGTATGAGTGGTATGTGCTCCCGATACATAATAACACGAAATATTTTTCACCATCATCGAAGACAAGATTTCGTTGTTACTTCATCTTTTGTACCATATTTATCTTCCAAACAAATACGTAGCAATTCTGATTCGTACGTATATATACATAGATATATATATACATATATATATATAGTATTATCACAGTATCATTTATATAATTTAATTGTTATATATATATATATATATATATATATATATATATATATATATATATATATATATATATATATATATATATATATATATATATATATATATATATATATATATATATATATATATATATATATATATATATATATATATATATATATATATATATATATATATATATATATATATATATATATATATATATATATATATATATATATATATATATATATATATATATATATATATATATATATATATATATATATATATATATATATATATATATATATATATATATATATATATATATATATATATATATATATATATATATATATATATATATATATATATATATATATATATATATATATATATATATATATATATATATATATATATATATATATATATATATATATATATATATATATATATATATATATATATATATATATATATATATATATATATATATATATATGTATATATAATGTTGTCACAGTATTATTTATATAATACAATTGTTAAAATGTAGTACTTGTTTCATCATTACTAATTTTCAAGTGTAATACCAGTAAAACTAGCATATGTTTCCTATGAATCTATGGATGGGAATAAAAATGCTTCCAAGCAACCTATAATAATAATGCATGGTCTTTTTGGTTCAAAGACTAATTGGAACTTATTATCAAAAACAATTCATCGGGATACAGACCGTAAGGTAGATACCTGGATTTTGTGTAATACAAGGAATACTTAAAATAAATTTATAGGTGATAACTGTAGATGCAAGAAATCATGGAGATTCCCCACATTCTTCAGACATGACATATAGTCATATGGCACAGGATATAGTTCAACTTATGAATGATTTAGGATTTCAAAAATCTATATTAATAGGACATAGCATGGGTGGTTCTACGATGATGTATGTAGCTTTAAATTACCCACAGCTAGTAGAGAAATTAATAATAGTTGATATGTCTCCGGTGAGGGTCAGTCCTCAGCTCATGGAAATGGAAAAAATATTCAAAGCCATGCGCACAGCAAATTTAGAAGGAATCCCAACATTGACAAAAGCACGTACTAGTATAAGAGATCAACTTGCAAATACTATTAAATCATTACCTTTACGTCAGGTAATTAAATATTTATTATATTCCATATGAACAGTTAAAATAGCTGTCATTCATATAAACTAACATTTTCTTTATTTCAGTTTTTAGTAATGAATTTAGTAGAAGCAGATATTGGGAAATATAAATGGCGGGTCAATTTACCTGTATTAGAGCAAAACTTTGCATCACAAATAGCTGTATTTCCAGATGTAGGATCAAAAATATACAATGGACCGACATTGTTTATAGGTGGTTCTAACAGTGATTATATAAGAGTAGAAGATCATGATAAAATAAAAAAATTATTTCCATCCGCTGGATTTACTTATATAAATGGTGCAAATCATTGGGTTCATGCAGATAAACCAACAGAGTTTTTAAAAACAACAATTGATTTCGTTAATCAGACATAATTTATTATCATTTCATATGTAAAAAAAATACACAGTATATTTTGTAAATATATACATGTATTTGTGAAGTTTTTGACATTACATATAAATCAAGAGAAAAATAGTGAAGTAAAATATAATTTTATGCAGTATAAATAAATCATAAATGTTGTGCTTGTTAAAAACTTACAAAGCTCATCTCTTTAGCCTCTTGTTTGCTGCTTTCATAAAAAATACATTCAATGTCATTAGTTAAGATTTAGTAGTGATAAAACTGACAAACAGTTTTACACAAGGCCATATTTAAAATAATAACTATTTAAATATTAGGCATCATAATAGAATTTTTAATTATTATAAAATTAAAAAACATTTATTTAGCTATAAGTTCAATATAGAAAATTGTTCAATTAGATATGTATTCAATTAGAAGAGTGAAAAGTTGCATGTGAAGCAAATTCAACTTTTAAACATTAATCTAAAAATTTGTGAAAATTGCAATTATTTATAAAAAGAAATAAATTTGGAATTTTAAATTAGCTAAATATTTGCTACTATTATCACAATTATTTTTTGCAAAGTGCAAGTTTCCTACTGACTTTATCTACTAAAGTACATCATGTGTGTGTCCACCATTATATGCATAATCAGCTTTATTATGCATGACCAATTGATTGTCCACAAAATAAAACGAATCTGAACGTGTTTCAAATGGATTTGCAATCATTTCAGAAACTGTAAATTTTATATATTAGAAATTAATAAAATTACATTGAAAAATTATTCATTGCTTACCCAAGTCAGCAGGTAAAGTAGGAAACTCATAAATGTGTTCACAAGTATTCTTGCTATTTGGTATACAAAATCCAAATTGAAAGTCAAAGGTTTTCAACAATCTATCCCGAAAGAAATGACGTTCAATCATTCGGAAATTGTTCACTGGTTTAGAACCCACCAAAAACTCAATTGTAGCTCCGACAGTTTTTAGTTTAAGAAATTGAGGTGTAAATTGATACCGTACAAAACGGCCAGTATTAGCATCCTCACAACCAGATTCTTCATTTTCTGGTTCCAGATCTTGATTGGAATCACATTCTAAGATATAAATAATAAAATTTCATTTCTGTATAATATATCAAATATAAATACATTTGTGTCAAATTTTGTTGTAATTATCATTAATTATAATATCTACAATTGCTAACCAGTAGCTGGTGGTTTTGTTATCTCAAATAATATTGCTCCTGTCTCTAAGTCTCTGATTTGAAATCTTGTAAAATCTATGTCATAAATATTTGCCTCTGGAGAACATAAATACTCTGAAATTAATATAGATATGTAATATATATTTGATCTTCCTTATTTATTAATATATTGAAATACAAAAAATATCAGTATATACTATCTTACTGTCAGTAATTGTAGGTAATCGTAGCACCATTTCTGGGGTTATAGTTGTTTCCTGAATATTTCTATTATCTGTACTTTCCTGATCTGCTGATGGTGTAAACGGAGCAATAGCTTCATTTGACTTATTCTCGCTATCAACACTCATAATTTAAGCGTAATTGAACAATATAAAGACAATTATTTATATTCGAGATCACGTATGACAATTATAAAATATCACATATGATATTCATTGAATATCCTTAAATAAGGTTTCCCCTTGTCAAAAATATTTTACCTAATATTTTTCGTTGTAAAAATATTTATATACTCAATGTTACTTCCATTGCATGTATATTGTGGCATTTCTTTATATATCAATAATTATTTACGTTTTATACAAAGTATTAATCGTGATATTATGGCTATCGAAGAAACTATCGACTTGATCACTTATTTAAGAAAGTAAAAAAAAATAACTAGAAATCTCGTGTTACTAGTACTTCGTGGATTTCCAGGGAAATTGAATTTTCAATTAAAAATTAAATTAAAGAATTATACATTTTATACATATATATTTATTTAGAGAATTAGAATATTAAACTACGCATACGTTGACAAACAGATATTTATGTTGTATGTTTTATGTGCGCAACAAAATAGAATTTTTTACAAATTATTTTAATTTACAATTTTAAAAATTGGTGAATAACACATTTTAGCCAATAGTTGCAATATCATGTAACTACGGTTTTATACACAGATTCGGCAATTCGTAGAATTTTTGCTAGCGGGGAATGTGATCATTTTGATCATGATTTTGATGTATTCTAATTCTCTTTTTAGTCGCATAGTGGCGCTGTCGCGAAATTCTGAAAAACACGCGCATGCATCTTTGTAACAGTAAGCGACGAAAGATATTTTTAGGCTGCTATACTACCATCACTACTACGACTCTTATTGTGACCGTGGTCGGCACTCATTTTACCGCCGAAGCAATCATGCACCGATTAACGCATTACTTTTGACTACGTCATTGATAATGAATGCGTATATGTGAGCTTTTGCGAGTTTCGCGATAACGCCATCATGTTGCTAATAAGGAAATTAATGTTATATACGACATAAGATATCAAAATGTTAACACTCCGTAGGAATTGTCGAACCTACAATCATATGTATAAGGTCAATAAGATTCACGTTCTTACGAGATAGATGAAGATAAATAGAGTTCTCTGTCTTTGTCTAAGGCATTCACATCATGCCACGTATGTGTAGCCAAGGTTTTATGTTTTCTATGTTGATTTTTCACAACTGGACAGGACTTCAATTAGGCTTCGGTATATGAATGGCGAGACTTATTTATATGATCGTGGTCACGACCAGTAAATTAGCTACTCATTTCTATCACGACTCAATTTTCGGATGATTTCCCCTAGAGAGTGTCGAGAACAGTTTATAGTCTATATGATTGTAGTCTGTCTCGCAGAGTGTAGTCTGAGAACAGACCTTTCCATGCTCTCCATCTTGATGTTTTTCGACTCGAAAGCTGGACGGTTTTCCCTAACGAATGTCCAGACCTGTTTATATGATCATAGTGAATAGTGATTGAATAGTAGTTAAATATTTCACGACGTTAGATTCATGAAGTCTTCATATGTTTACAATAAACAGAAAATTTATATATGTATTATCGGAAGCATATTCAAGATATATAATAATATATAACATAACAAGTGTGTATCCTGAATATAACTACATATAATTTGTTGACAACAAAAGAAAGTTTTACAAGATAAGTGAAAGGTAAACATGTCAACTCGATTTTACTAATATTTATTGTCGATTATGTCAACTATTACAAAGAATGTTCGTACGGAAAATTTAAAGAGACGCTTAAAGGAATCGTTTTGTTTAATGGACACTGATACTGATGGTTATTTAGATTATCATGAAATGAAAGCTGCATTAAAAGCTTTGGGATTTGCAGTAAAAAAATCTTACATTTTATCTATTATACGAATGTATGACAAGCGTGGATATAATAAAATTTGTTTCGAAGATTTTAATTACATTGGTACGTTTAAACAAAAAATATCAAATTTAATCAAATAATCTGTTATTTATATTCTTAAGAAAGTTTGTAATAAATAATGCGTGTGTTTTCATAATCAGTACTATCTTAATTAAATTTTACACTTACATAGTATCAGAAAAGTTAAATAAGCGAAAACCTTTAGATGAAATTAAATATGTGTTCAAATTATTTACAAATGAGACTGCAAATGACAAGATAACAGTAGAAGATCTCCAAAAACTTAATAAAAAGCTTGATTGTAATCTGACTAATGAGGAAATGGAACTTATGATTAAAGAATTTGATTTGGATCAAGATGGTTCTAGTAAAACAAGAATTTGATTTTGAATTAATTAAATTATTGAGGAAATTTTAATTTTATTGTTTATTTCATTCATTTTATATTATAAATAATTTTGCAAATTATACCTATGATTTCAGTTGATCAAAGTGAATTCTTGGATATTATGGCAGATCTGACATTTTAAAGGACGTTTGTTTTCTTGTTGTGAATATAATTATTATTTCATAATATTGTTGTGAATATATTCATTAATATTGTCACAATGAATCTTGGAGTTAATTGGGAGGAAGAGCATAGACGGACATTATTAGAAGGAAATGCAATACTGGATCGCTCATCACAATCTATTGCTAGATCTCAAGCAGTTGCTGTTGAGAGTGAACAAATAGGAACAGAAGTAATTTCTGAACTGAATGAACAAAGGGAACGATTATTGAGAGCAGATAGAAGATTATCCCAAACAGATGAAGAATTAGATAAGACAAGAAGGATATTAAATGTTATGCGAAGAAGAATTTTAATGAATAAGTTTATATTAGTTTTAATTATATTACTGGAAATAGCTATACTTGGTGCTATTATATATAAGAAATTTATATAAGAAATATAGATTGTAAATATTATCAATGTTGTATATAAACATATATATACATATAATTAATTTATATGTATATACGCACAAGCATTCAGTGCATTTTTATTCATGTCCTGTGTAATATATATTATGCAATATAATATATGTGCACATTTTATTTAATGTTACATTGTAATTAATACGTTCCAATGAATTATATGTAAAACAATAAATATGTTACAATTTGATGCAATTTTACAAATTGATATACCCTGAAAATCATTGGTATATGATATTGAATGAAAAATTATCAACTACACAATACTTGTTACTAATATGTATGCATATGACACAGTTATTTTTAAGTCATCGACTGTACATACGTATTTTACAGTTATCGACTTAGCAGACTGAAAACTTAGTCAATGATTCGCCATAGCAAACCGCAGAGGGCGTAAAAAACACTCTGTTTTTTTCGAGATCGGTATTTCAGAACATGAGATACAAAGTCTCATATATAATGTCATGTCTATTCTATACTTAGTTAATGTTGGAAATTAGAACGACTAAGGATTGAGGAGTCAAGGAGAATCTTTAACATTTTATGAATTAGTAGATGATCGGGTCATGGCGTATGTTAATGTTGCTGAATGGAAAACTGAACAAGTGTGCGAATGGTTGAAAGGTGCGAAAAATTGAATTTCCTTTTGAATCAGTGTTATACATCGATATATTTTAAGGAACAAGTGTACTCTATTATGTGCAGAAACAATGTCGTGAAAATTTGCGTGTGAAAATTTTGCAGTATACGCCCGCACCTGTCTCTTCGCCCCTCTTTCCTTTTAATCAGTCCCTTTATTGCATGTATAAAACAGTATTTATTCCATTATTCATTACAATCACATAAGTCGTAAATGATCATTATAAAACGAATCTTTAGTAATACTAAATCTTTCCTAAAAATATTTTAAAACTGCAATATTTTCATTTATTTTCCTAATCTGCACCATTAATATTCGGAGGAGTTTATAAATGATTATTGTTCGCGTAATTTCATTATTGTTTTTTTCATTGTTATTACTTTTGAAAGAAACGAAATACTAAATGAGTAATTATTATAAAAGCAAAAATTATAATTATTTTTCTCTTATAACTTTGTTCAAATTCATGTACCAATCTTTCATTAAAATATTATGATTTCACTTTCACAATATCCTTTTTTTCTTAAAGTAATTGAATCCTTTAGAGAAAAAAATGCTTCTTGTTTTAGGTTTGGATAATTCTGTTCTTCCCTATGTGCATAGCTTTACTAATCATGGTGTTAATGGACAACAGTTATTAAGTTTGAGACCCGAAGACCTAGAACACCTTGGAGTATTGAAACTTGGTCATCAGGAAATTATTCTTGAAGCAGTAGAATATTTGAGAAATTTCCATTATGAACTTGATCGTGAAAATCTGCAACTATTGGCATTGCGACTGTCTTGTCAAGCGCATAGTTTACAAAATGAGTTGTCTCATCAGACAGATTCGAAGCCTGTTACAACCCAAACATTATCTGATGTAGCATCAGTTATAATGGCTGTAAAACCATTAGTAAGGTGGCTTGATCGACCTCCCTTTAGTGGACAATTAGAATATAATGACAAAAAAGTTGAATTAATGAAGTTAGCTTTGGAAATGGCCACATGTGCACAAAGAGATAGATTTGCAGAAAAACCAATAGAAGAAATTAGAACAATTTGTGGACAATTAGCAAAATTGGCAGATTATATAATACAAGATATTACTGATCCTATGATATTACAACCTGCTAGTTTAGATTTGGCAACATTAAAAAAGAAGCCAGGAGATGATTTAGTAAGTTCTGAAATAATATCAATTTTTTAAAATAGGATAATATTCTTCTATTTTATTTTTATTTCTAAATAATTTTATGTAATGAATATAATATATATAAAATATTTAACATAAATCATAAAATAGTATACTTCATAATCATTAAAGTTATCTGCTACATCCTTTAATGATAAAACTATAACCATTGATTCAACACATCTGTAACTTCCTATTTAGATAGTCTTGTATTATAGAGTGAAACTGTTAGAGTAATATAATTATTTCCTAATAGGTATAAAGAATTAAAATTGGAAAATATTTTCTTTTGTAGGGATTTTATATTTTACCATCTTTTCATGGAGCTCATCAAATTGCGGAGATTAAATTTGGATCAGCTGCACATCAGTGTGGTAAAATGGAAGAAGGAGATGAGATTGTACAAGTAATTTTTCTTTTTTTTTAAATAATTAAAAAATTATATTTTTTATTCTTTTCTGTTTTTTTCTGTGTTTATTTGTTATGAATATATAATACAAATGTTTAATTTAATTTAAATATTTTCCAGGTAAATTATCAGACTGTAGTCGGTTGGGAACGAAAAAATCTTTTAGAATTATTTCGCGAAAGCCCAGCAGAAGTATTATTAACTTTGAAACGTAGACCAAGACATACAAAAATATATGGTCAAATTTACATAAAACCATATCGACTTCCAAGCAATAAAAAAACATCTTACACAACACGGTGGCAACACAATCTTCCTTCTCCAAGGCCAGAATTATTAACTATACCAGATTTTACAATGCCATTACCAAGGTATATATATATAGACATGTACCTCATTTATAAAATATATACAATTTCGTTTCTAATATAATATAAATTTGTAAATTTGTTTAGGCCAAAGAATCCCAGTCCAGAACCTGCAAGCATTCTAGATACTGTTAATATGTTAGACACAATGATTATAGATAGTAGCGATTCGGATAGTGAAACAGATCCACCTTTATCTATTCGATTATATTCTACAAAACCAAGAAATTCAGTTCAAAGACGAGCTACTATAACTGGTGCTAGTCCAACTACCAAGCATGGAATTGATATAGAACAATTTTGGAAAGAATTGAAACAGGAACATAGTACAACTTCTCAATTGCGGGACAAAGCAGCATCTTGCGCTCATGGTTTAGATAATGTACCATCAAATATACGACCACAAACATGTATATCTATAGAACAAAACAAAAGAAAAAAAAGGAATGATGGACAAACTGACGATAAGAAAGTACAGTTTCAAGATAAATCTATGATGAAACATGATGTTCCTCAAATAGGTAATACAATCAGCGTAATAAACGAGAAAAAAGATGAATGTAAAACTATCCAAAATTGTGAAGAATTGTGCAGTAATATAAATACAATCAGCCAAATTTCTCAAACATCTGTTAATGTTACCAATAACAATAACTTGAGTGATACGAGTGTGCCTTTAGATGAATGCAACAATTTTATTAGGGATAAACATAGTAATAGTAAGAGTACGATAAGCAGTAAGGAACTTAGTATATGTAACAGTAAAGAGCGAGGAAGATTAGATAAAAGTTACAGTACACCAGCGTACGATTCAATGGACGCTGACAGTATAGAAGACAGAAGGCAAAAGTTGTTTCATGCGTTAGAACCGTCTGCAAATAATGTAAGCAATGTATCCAGTAAGACTGATGTTCAATTGACTTCTGCGAGTTCCGAAGATCAACAAAAATTAAGAGATATTGATGATCAAAAACAAAGTATTCAAATAAATTTTGATAATATTATTAAAAAAAATAATGATACTGATAAATATGTTACACAAGATAACAAAAAAAAACAATGTTCTGAATCTGAACATTTAGATTCGTTTAAAACTTCTATGTGTAAGGTAATTGATGCAAACCACAAAATCAGTATAGAAAATAACCAAAGCAATAATGAATGTATTAGTATTGATGTAAATAAATACGACAAAAAGAACATAACAAACAATTTAAGTGTAGAAACGGAAAATATATCAAAAATACGTAATACTCAAAATTTTATAAATAATTCAAGTTCCAATCATGAAACTAATGAAGATAAATTAGAATCAATAAATAGTTTTATGCAAAACAGTGGAGAAAATAATTCAAACCTAAATAAATTTGAGAAGATTCTTCAAACATTTAATGGACCAAACCATTGTGGTCTAACAGAACATAAAAAATTAACAGAAAAAAAAGCTAATGTATCAGTAAAAGAAAATATCCAAGCTCAAAGACAAGTATGGACAAATAGTGATCTGAATTTTACTGAAAGTAATGTACAGATATATAATAATATTACTAATAATATTACTCGAAACATTCCTCAAATTCAAATTTGTCGAAAGATACAGAATGATAATACAAAAGCTGAAGATTTAATTATTCAAGGAAATGCAATGCAATCTTGCAAATGTGTAGAAGTAACAAAAACTGACTCTGATAAGAAGTTAGAAAATAAACCTCATCTAATACCTCCAGATCCGCCTCCACGTAAATATTATTCAAAGTTAACAATGGATTCATCTATAAGTAATACTTCAAAGATGTTTGATGACCAAGAAAAGTGTTGTACGCCAGAAAAAATTAATACTAGAAAAGATTTAAAGAGTTTGGAATATTATACGGAAAATCATATCAGAAGTACCTTGGATTATAAAGATAAGCAGGATTATTTTGACGTTTGTAATAGTTTTACAGAAAAATTAGAATTTATTGATGATATGAATACTCTAGATAACGAACTTAGACCTAGTTTAAACTTGGATTCTACATATTTAGAATACAATGATAAGCAAATAAAGGAAACTAAGTTTATCTGTGATAAATATGAACCTATTGTTGAGAAGTCTGTATACACTAATTCAACAATGGAATACCATGATACTGAATCTTATTCTCAAAATACGGATTCTCCAGATGGTTCATGCTCTTCAAAGCAATTTCTAGATCATAAATCTAAAGTGTCTGAAAAGGAAAAAAGTTTTGAGAAAGGTGTAGTTAATAAAGCTATGATGGTGGCTAGAAGTATTGGATTGCATGGAAGTTTAAGCAAATCTTCCAGCAATAGTCCCAGAACTAATAGAAAACGAAGTATATTATTTGCAAGTAAGTAATTGTCACACATTGTATATATTTAATAGATATTAATATATATTAATCTTTAAATACTTATACTTATTGATTTTTATATTACCTTTAACTAGGAAAGCGGAATATCTCTGTTAAAGATATAGGCACAGGTGATTTAGAAGGATGGTTAACATACCGCACGAGAGGTGCAGGTGGTGCTTGGGCCAAAGCTTGGTTTGTTTTAAAGTGCTCTTCTCTGTACAGGTTTGTTAACCAAATTTTTATATCTACATATTTATCTTACAAATATTTATTTTATTATATTTTTAAATATAGGTTTAAAACTCAAAATAGTATAAAAGCCGACTGTCTCATAGCTTTAACAGGATTTACCGTATCACGAGCTGCCGAAGTAAAATCAAGAAAGTATGCGTTCAAGGTTTATCACACAGGAACGGTATTTTATTTTGCTGCAGACACTGAAGATTTTCTTGCCTTATGGGTAGATGCAATTAACAAAGCAACCTTAGGTGCGGATGGCCACAGTAGGAATAGTGCGCTTTTCAGCGAAACTGACGAGAGCGATAGCGAACAAAAAAGTAAAACTAAAAATGTTCATACTTCGGAATATAAACCGAACTTTGAAAAATCGTTCGGATCATTAAAAAAAGTTGTTCGTAAAGATTCTCCCTCGTATAAGGATCATGAAATTAGTGGTGCTAGTTTAGATAGAAAATATCTAAAATTCCTTGGTGCAAGAAACAATGTACCTGTTCCAACTGCACAGTTTAGAAGTTACAGAAGAGTTCTTCCTACATCTACGCCTAATAAGTAAGAGTTAGTGTGGAATACCTCGTTTAAAACAAAAATAAAATATGAATATTTTTCAGGAAACAAGATTCTGTTCCAAATTCGCCAGATTTGCAAATGACGATTGCAGGAAGTACATTTTATGGATTATGTGCATCTCATAGTGCTACTGATATGTCAACTAGCACTCAAGATATGGGTGATTACAGGCGTACCACAGACAGGTAACATTTTATGTTGCATGCTACAGAACTAATATATCAATTTTGTTATATTATTTAATCTTTTATAATTCTACTAAACTTAAATTATTATGGTTTTATTTTTTTTTATTGTACACGCGAAAATAAATTTTTAACTAAAGAATAATAGCAATTAAAAATATTGTTATATTTTGCATTTCATAATAAAATAATTAACTAAAAATATTGACTGCATTTATTTTATATGTATGTATATATTTTGTGCATGTTTTTCCTTATTGTAACTGTTTTCCTATACACTATCCTTAATAAAGTAGAGCACATTTTATTCGCTTTTACACATACATATCTCTTGTTATCCTATTGAATATTGTAAAGTAATTAGTGAAATAGTATTTAATATTTAGGTGTCTCAGTAACAGAAATAGAAGAGCAGAAGATTTACAAGGTTTTATTACATTAGAAGAATTCATGTTGTTGCAACAAGAAGATCAAAGACAAATGACGAAAACTAGGCCTGTATCACCACGGATGACTCCTTTAACTAGCGATCACGTTCATGTCCAACATAGGAACTTTCATGATAATGAGACTGTTAATGAACAATCCAGATTTGTCAGTGATGGAACTTTCAATAATGATGTTTATATTCGAAATAAAAATAGTGATGAAGTAGTCAATAACGCTGCTTCTGCATATGGTTATTCTCGGAATATGGATACCATTCACGCAGTGCGACAATATAGCGAAGATTTTGATTCAGAAAGAAATGAATATAGAGGAGAATCATCAAAACATTCGGTTTATAAAAAGTCGAACGAATTTTATTACGCTAATAAAAAAAAATTATCAGATGGCTCAAATATTCAGCAGTTGAAGCCATGCAGTTCATTTCACTGTAAAACTATCACAAATGACCAAAAACCTTCTTTGTGTCATAATAAATCAGATATTGTTGATGGGTCTGGGAGGCAAATGAGCTTGAATTGTGAATATAATACTAATATTTATACAAATCCAGCACAATCTTCAAGTAATCATGACATTTCTAGATCATATGATTATTATTTGCCTAAAAATGTCAATAATTTATCAGAGGACATGAAACTGACACCAAGACGACTTACTCGAAATGATGGTAACTTTCATTATTTATATAATAACTTTTTAATATATCAAGATTAATACGATTTCTTTTTCATTTAGGTTCTTCAGGATCTACCAACGACCTTACGTTTCATACTTTCTATGAAACTTTACAACGTGCAAAGAAAGATGCATCCATTAGTCGCAAAGGAAGTTTCAATCTAACAAATCGTCGTGATCATGTTTCTTCAGACAAGCATTGGTTGGACTCTTTGCGACGAGGTGATAAAAAAGATATCAATTGTGATAAAACTCGTTTGAAAAACGTAGCACAGTACCACCCACCACCTATACCAACTTCTCCATTCGAACAAGAAGGTATGACTGCTGCATTTGAGATGCATTTAGATAAAGGTGAACAAGTTCAAAAGACAAATCGATTGAAAAATTTGTTTGGCAATAAATGTCAGCAGAAACCTTCTACACTTGATTTACCTAAAGAAACACAAAAAACTTTATTGGGTAAATAATATACTTTAAATTTCAGTTATATTTTATAATAATCTTTGACTATAATTTATATATAAATTATAGGATCACCGAGATTACACAGAGCGTTATTTAAAGAAAAATGTTACAATCAGTCACGATTACCAAGTCGATCGAGCAGTCAGAGTCCTGGCGATAGTGGAATCAGTCAATCTCATAGTTCCTTCAGTGGAAATAGTCCTCAAACTCTCAGTCAGAGTTTTAGTTCGGTCAGTTCTGTTAGTGATTGGAGTCCAGATACACCATCGCCGTGTACTCCAAATTTAATATCGAAGGTATATATTTCAATAAATAGTAATTATAAATATTGTGTCAAATATTAACATAATAACAAGTATTTATTTTTAGGGTATTGCAAGTCAGCCCTCCTATCAGAAAGGTCATGCAAGCATAGGTAGAAACTCATTGACACCACCGACTTTGCCTTACATACCACCACCTACATCACCACCACCTGATTATCCTGGTCTTGAATATCCACCAGTATTTGAACCTGGTACTTATTCTCTCTTGGATGCTTCATTACTACGTAATCGTAATAAAAGCAATCGAGATACTCATTAACCAATGACACAACTTAGTTCGTTAATCTACACAATAATAACCAAAGATAATGTGTTTCTTTAATCATTTATCTATATATAATCAGGTATTTTATATAAGGAATTCAAAAACAAAATAATATTTTTTCATAAAGTATTAAAATTTAACCGTCCATTTTATAAGAATCTGAAGGTTATTGAATCATTTTTTTATACAAATTGAAATTATAATCTATCCACTCAATGGTAAGAGCAAAATAATAGTTGAGTGGACGACTGAAATTTAATACGATATACCATTACTTTAATAATATAAAGATTACTTGAATTAGACTACGCGCGCAGTAGCGACAATTTGTCGCGCGATAGTTTTGTCACTCTCGCTCGCATCAATCAAAAGTTCAATTTCATCTTTTAATAAAAAAAAATGTCCTGAATTGCGTTGTCAAATGCGCCCAAATCGCATTCTTTTCGTAAATGACAAAACTGTTGTGCAACAAATTAACGTTAGTGTGCGCATAAATTATTATTTGTAATAATTATTAATATAAGTTGCTAAATTGGAACTTATTACATCTTTTAAAATATTTTAATTACACTAAATGTTTATTGTATATTCATTATGAAACCCTATAATAATTACTAAGTAGGTAGATTTACATATAAATGTTATATATGTAATGTAACTTTTATACATAATACAGATAAAATGATATGTTAATGGATGAAGAAAATTAATGAAAAATTTGATGACAAACATTAATTGCTTGCAATAGCAAACAAAGAGATCAATTTTTTCATTTCTAAATGAATAATTATTTTATTATTATATTCATACATATATATGCAAAACTTTTTATTATAAATAACTTTAAATATGCGAAACAGAAGTGCTCTTGAATGAACATTATTAAAACACACAAATAATATAAATTACATTTCGGTAAAATATAGCAAAATTCTGTTATACTTTTTTAAACATATTTTATAAATAGCTTTAAATATACATTAATCGTCGTATATACATATATAATATACATATATTCATACATTTATATATAATGTGATGATGTGTAAAGTGCCTACATATCTCTTTTATATAATTTTTGTATATATGATTAAAATCATACTTTTTTAGCTATTAATGTAATTTGAGCTGCATGACTTTATTATATTTTATGCTCAAAAAATTTTGAAGAAGTATTATATAATTAAAACTATTCAAGTTTTAAATTATGTATTTTGTGTATTTTTTACAATAGTTTATAGTTATTATATATGTATCTATATATTAAAAATTTAATTGTATATAATAAGGCTGGCTATGAATATTATAAAACGCTTTCATTACTAAAACAAATGTTTGCAACGTGTACGATAATATTGAATAAAATAAATTATTCGATACACTTTTTATCATATAATATAATAATCAGACTGTGGATCGCATAGAAATCAGTGGAAGTTGAAAGAGATATGCAATCCAAGTTCATTTCCCAGATTGTGAAGCCGAAAAATAAAAGAATAAAAGAATATAGGACTGCGGATATATGTGTAAATTCATATTTTTATAAATTCAAGTAAAAAATGGAATCTAAATAGACAATTGATTTATTTACTAAATAATATAATGAGTACTAAATTCTGAGATTATTTAGATATTTTTAAATATTATGTACATAATGTATAATAATAGCCTTTATCATATATATTTTAAATGATACAACTTTATTTAAAATTTATGTTTGCTTTGATTTTAACATATTCGTTTCGTTTGTTTTGTATGTTCGATTATCTCGTAACTTGTAACGCTCGATTAAAAATTATCTTATCGATAGAAAAAGATATCGATAACCTATCGAAGGACTTTTTGAGTTGTGTCTTGTGTCAGTTGTATTCGCGATCGTTGTGTCTGTCTACTGGAATTTTGTGAACTAGAACATAAAATAAAAGAAAGAAATTAACAAAATGTCAGTTCCAATTGATTATATTGATTTAACGACTGACCTACCAGATCAACCTTCAAAATTACGAAAAAAGGATGAAATATTTGTTAATTTAACAATAACAAAGTCACGAAAGCGTGGTTCTAAAAAACAAGTTGCACAACTTGAAGATTCTATCATGTACGTATATATTATCACATTATACTTCCTTAATTTTAATCGAATTTATTTGAAGGTAAACATTTTTTTAGAGAAATAACAGATAATAATAGATGTAAAGATGTACAAACGATGGAAATCATAGATCTAGATAATATCAATAGTCCAAAAGAAACTGGAATATGTTATGCTAATGATTCTGGAGAAGAAAAGTTAGTTGTATTGACCTGTCCAATATGTTATGAACAGTTGTCTTCTAAAATGAAACCTATGTCTACTCCTTGTGGACATATATTTTGTACAAAATGTATAACTCTAGCTCTACGAGTACCTAAAGTTAAAAAGTGTCCAACATGTCAAAGAATTATTAAATTACAATCTTGTACCCGTTTATATTTTTAAACATATAGATTTTGGTTCTCATATTTATGTACTTTTTATATTAGTACTATCATAAAAATGTAATTTGCCCTAAGTTTTGAGTATTTTAAAGTGTATTTTACGATATTTCTGTAGTTATATAAATTTCAATACTTAATCTCTAATTATGTATAGCATATGCTGTTATTTTTGTATCTATTCGTTATAATAATTTAAGACTTAATACACTTTTAATTTATAAGAAAAAGAAATTAAAGCATTTGATGAAATCTAAAAGTGTATCTATTTCAATACATCTTGATTTAAAGGTCATTCATTGTTTATATTTTGTTGTTACCTTGAAATATCTCCAACATATTTAACATAACATGAACTATTTTATATCCTTTGTGTATCTGGTTTTATGAAATTTATTGACATGATTTGATGTATTCTCTCGATTAGTATAATTAAAATTTCAAAATGTTTAAGACAAAGAAAGTACAAAAAGAAAATCATATGTCATTTTTCGTTGGAGGCACTGCAATTGGAATGGCTGGTAGATATTATTTTAAATTATAATATGATTATGTTCTTTGTATTCAACTTATGTAATATACATATTATTTATTTCATAGCTGGTCTATTAGCTGGAAGATTATTTTCAAATACATCAATTAAAAAAAATCAAAAATTTGGTAAGTAATTTTTAATAATTTAAATAAAATAAGAAAAGGTGAAATAATTCTTAATATTTTTCATTTTTTTCTATATAGAACCTGAAATTCTTATCAACAAAAATATGAAAAAATATTCTCAGGATGATAATATTTATGATGTATATTTTAATAAAAATCATCGTAATATACGTTCTAAAAGTGCTTCTCGATACAATGAGAAAAATCACATAGAGAAACCAGTGTCACCAATTTCTTTAAATAAATTTGATGATAAATTAAAAAATGATATTAATAATATTAATTCAAGTTGCAAATGCAACAAAAATGAACATAAAGTCTTTCATGATAACAAAAGTCATACTCCATATAATATAAGTATAGAAAATAACAATGAATACAATGCACTTACTGATATTTTTCCAGAAAACACAAATTATTTTAAATTAGAAAATACTAAACAAGAATCTTCACATGCTGTCCAATCAGAAAATAATGTAAGTGTTAAAGATGAAAATTGTTTGAAAGCAATAAATGTTGAAAAAGAAGCATCAAAAGCTGCAAAAATTTATGAAAGTATGCAGTTAACAGACATATTTAACAGTTTATCTATTAATTTCTGTGAAAACAGTACTATCTATAAGAATCTCCCAAATATAACAAATTCTGGGAGTGGTTCAAATATTTCATCAAGTTACACTGATAATGCCAGTAATATGGCTACATATGATACTACATATTCCGAAAATGCAGAACAAAGTAACATTTTTAATTTTTCTTCTATTGAAGACTTTTATGAAACTGACATAATCTCGTCTACAAAATACAATAATTTCAATGATATCTAAAAGTTTTTAAATGTAATAACTAGAGTGCAGATTTTTATGGGTTTTTAAAAAATTTTTAAAGTACAAAATTACAAAACATGATCATAATATGAAAAATATATAAACTGTCCAAAGTACAATGTTTTCTATAATGCTCGGTAGATAAAACAATTGGCCACAGAGATCCTTTAATGTGAAATATCAAGTTAAGCCATATTAATTCTTTAAAATTCTTTAAAAATCCGCAATCTAGTAATAACTATTACAAAGTTAAGTTTTTAAACTAATAATATTGTTATTTAGTTGGAATATTTTCTTTTTTACTACATGTATATTGACAAAAAAGTATGTTGTATAATGAGAGAATAAATAAATGATTTAATACAATTAATGCATGTATATTATATATTTTTCGTATCTATTTTTTACGTATTCCAAATTTGAATCGAGGTCGTTCATTGGTGTACTAATATTCAATGTCATTTCCAAACAACGGATTGGTTAATCTTATACATACGCCACGCCTACGCTCTACGTTATGGCGGCGCCTCAGAGAAATAAGGTACACAGTCTGTTGTGAAGAAAGAACTATGCTTTGTAATAAATTTAGTATTCGTGGTATTTTTGAAAATTGATGCGGTTCATCGTACGCGCTCAAAACGTGATAGACTATAAGAAAACTTCGAAATAATTTCAACATTAAACTGTGCAAGTTAATTAATTTACTACAGTGAATATAAATTTCCTATAGTGTGTCATTGACTCGAGACGAAGTGTCAAAATCGACTTGGTTTCGTGCTATGTAAAAATTTCATCAAGACAATTACCAAAAATTTCATTTATTAAACGTCACTCAATCGTTTAAAATCAAGCTTGTTTGAATAGCATATTTATTATCCAATTACCAAATTTAGTGCTAGTGTGATTTCCACGGAAATGAAAAGATGTATGTGACGCCAATGCTTTGTTTTCTTTTTGTCGAATAGTTTTCGTTCCAAGTGTTACGTTTACGTAGTGATTTTGATAAAATGTAACCACTGTAGCATTTTTGGCCTCTGTCAGTGTTTTTTTTGTATATGTGTCGCTTTCTCTTTTTGTATAAATATTACAAATTTGAATAAGAAACGAATCAGAATTACATATTTTTGATGTATTTATTGTTTGATAATTTCTGTATAAATTATATTTTTAAAGAATCAAGTGTAATACATAATTATATCGTCTTCCAGATATAAAGTAATCATTAATACCAAAGTCTTAAGTAAATATTTGTATGTAAATAACAGTTACAAATATTTCAGTTTTATATAACATCTTTTAAAGTACGCTATAATTTCAGGTTTTTAAGTACATATTCAAGTTAAATGTTAAACATCATGGCACAAAAAGTCTTTTGTATGTAATTAACTATTAATTTGCGCTTAAACATGATACCAATGGAAAATAATTATCAAACACTCGTTAAGATGTGTTTGTTTAATGTTGTTTATTACTGATCACATCTTTGCTGAGGTCAGAGAGTGATGCCGGTTCATCAGATCAATGTTAATCCGCCTGACCGGCAACCACCTCTGTCGCTTGGTCCTTCCAATAACAATAGCCCTGCTGGTGGTGAAGGCTTACCAGAATGGACAGCAAGGGTAACTTCTCATATGTATCTTTCTTTTTTTATCCATATATCTTTCATGAAACATTTATTTCCTATTTTAGTACTTCTTACTTTAAGACAATTACTCTGTGAATATTAATGATCAAATAAATTCTTTTAGTTTTATATCTGCATCATAACAAAAAATATTAATGAATAAATAAATTATTTTAGTTTCATATATGAATCACAATAAAGAATTTTATAATATATAAGATATATATTTACTTTACCTATTGATTTATGTTTAATGGAATATTTATTTTTTAGGAATCAACATATGCAACAGTAGTTACAATCATACCAGATCATTGTCATTCATCTGTAAGCACATTGTCCTCAAACAATCATGATATTTGCAGGTAAATGTAAAATTTTCTTATTATAAATTATCTTCAAACAACTCTTTCTTACTTTTTTACAAAAACTTATGTATTATAGCACTGCTAAAATAATTGTTTACGAACAATATTTATTATACAATAATGTATGCAAATTTTATATTCTTTTTTTATTACAGAATATGTCATTGTGAAGGTGAAGAAGGTGCTCCTCTTTTAGCACCTTGTTATTGCAGTGGCAGTTTACGTTATGTACATCAAGCTTGCCTTCAACAATGGATAAAAGCTTCTGACACACGTGCTTGTGAATTATGTAAATTCACATTTATTATGCATGCTAAAACAAAACCATTTTGTGAGGTATCATTTCTTTGTATTTGTTCTGTATATATGAAGAAATTTTCGTTCAGATTTTTAAAGACTAAACCTATAATTTGCTGATTCTTAATTTAATAAGTTTAGAAAAATTATATACGATATTAATCAATGATTTTTAGTGGGAAAAACTTGAAATGTCTGCCCTAGAAGTTCGTAAATTATGGTGTGCGGTTGCTTTTCATGCAGTAGCTGCACTTTGTGTGGCTTGGTCTTTATACGTACTCGTCGAACGTTCTGTGGAAGAAGCTCGACGTGGATATGTAGACTGGTCTTTCTGGACTAAATTAATAGTTGTTGTAATTGGTTCTACAGGCGGTTTAGTTTTTATGTACATTCAATGCAAAGTATACATTACATTATGCAGAAAATGGCGAGCATTTAATAGGTATATAATATTAGCAATAATTATTTCTATTTAGTTGCAAATGTTATAAATATCGACTATATTTTCTAGAGTAATATTTATTCAAAATGCTCCTGAGAAAGTGGTGCTTCCTCCCTCACCTACAGACTCTTTGAGAGAAGTAACATTGCCTCTAAAAGATCCAACTGCCTCTATGCCTGAGCTCAATCATACCTTATTACCCCGTAACATAGATCCTCCATGTGCCTCGCAGATGGTGAAACCGGATCCTGCCGCGCCTCCACAAAGGCACGACGCTCAATTGAAACTGTATGTATTTGATAAATTGTCCTCGTCCGAAGACAACTTGTAATACAATTGGGGGTAATACAAATGGCTGCTAATTGTGCACTAATGATTAGCAAAAAAAAATTGAAATGCAAACATAAGCATATGTCTAGAATGAAATGGTAATTCTAGACCGCAGTACGATTTTGAAAATCGGAGTTTCTATTTCGAAACTGTCAAATGTCCGCCCTTATGGAGCACCTTTATCTGAAACCTAGTACTTCAGTGCTTACATTGACAATGGGATAGCTGAAAGTGTTTAACCAGCGGTTTAAACATTTTCTCCAACTGTACATAATTATTGTATCTGTGATGTTATTAAATAAAATTTACCATATTTAAACAGTATCCTTAATGTTTATAATGAAAACTTGCGTCCATTTAGTAAAATTTTGATTTGGGATAAATAAATGAATAAATAAATAATGATGTTAAAGTAGACAATGTAATACCAATGTAATGTAATTCCTTGTATAAGGATTTTTAAATTTAACTTTTATTTTTAATTAAACTTTTCTAAATTATTATTAGAAAGAATAATGTTATATCAAAATAAAACATACTATTTTTAAAATAGATATTTTTATTACAAAAATGTAACTTGATTGATTACGAAAATGTAAATTGATTTACATTGAAATCTTATACATTTTTTGTTTTGTCTTATAAACAATTATTTTATTTTGATTAATTTTAAGCAGTCGACGAATTTAATGAATACACACGTTTAGTACTATACAAATTTAATTATATAAAATATTTCCTTTAATTGCTACCATTACTTATTTCTAAAAGACCGCCAATATTTTAATATGATATATGATTGCGTATATCCGGTCATTGTCATAAGAATGAAGTTATTCACAAGTTAAAAGTAATCAACATCGGTATTATTATTTATGATGTTAAATATTATATTAATAATAATACGCGAACAAAATTGTAGCATAATTTTCTCACTGTATTTATTTAATATTTATTCTTTCGAATAATTTTAATATAAATATAGGTTTTATAGGATGCATGCAGTTTTGTAGTTGGCACCTCTAGTCTTCCGGAATATAATGCGAGAAATTACACGAACGCACTGACTAAAGTAGTGATGAGTTACTGAGCGTCATTTTGTTAAAACTGTATCTGGAGGTAAGGTGAACATTTGTAATCCGTATTTAATTATTTATTAATAATCAATCCATACATAAAATGTATCTGATTGCATTAAGAATATCCTCAAATTTTATTATTGCATAATAGTTTTATTATTGGTTATGTTTCATAGTAAAAATTAAATGACGCATAAATGTTTATCTTGTAATCTGTAATGTTGAAAGCGTGAACGAATTTGGAAGATAAATGATATAATTTTTAATTGTGCAGATATGTACATGTATCTAATTTACATTTCCAAGATGAGTGTTTAAAAAAATTTTGATTTTGACCGTTTTACTTATTTTATACCGTTCGTTTTTTCCACGAGTAAGCGATGTAGCGTCACTAAAATGGCGATTACATTAAGTGTATTATTCGTGCAAAAATCATTATTCTTATAGGCAAGTGTATTTTCATAGGTACATTTGTTTATCATGTATTTGAAAGACTTAGTACTTATTTAAGTGATTTAATATTTATTTTTTTTCTTATTTATATATTCTCATAATATTTCAGGAGATAGATTTCTAAATTATAAATAATACTTTCAAATTTTATGTTGAATTCTTTTTCTTTCTTTTCTTGCCAGATAAAAATAAGGGAAGGTATCAAGGAATTAATATAAATTTACTAAGATAAGCAGAGATTTGTTTCATCTACTAAATATTCTAATAAGTACTGTTCTTTGAATATTTTATATACTTTTACATACTCTGTGTATCTTTTGTACATCCAAATTTCCCATAAATGCTTAAACATCTGTGGTCTAAAGAGTTATTACAAATTTGAAATCAAAATTTAATAATAAATATCATGTAGATATTTATTATATAAATATAATTTTTGTAGGTTTTAGTTCTATGTATAATATTACTTTTCAAATTTCAGCAATAATTCAGTAAATATAAAAAAAAAATGGCGGATAATGATGACCTCCTGGATTACGAAGATGAAGAACAGACTGAACAATTAGTTGATGGAAGTAGGGATACACCTGCTAAAAAAGAAGTGAAGGGCACATATGTATCCATTCACAGTAGTGGATTTAGGGATTTTCTTCTTAAACCAGAAATATTACGTGCAATTATTGATTGTGGTTTTGAACATCCATCTGAAGGTAATAATGTTACAAAGTATAACATACCAGTACTAAATTTTATATACAGTACTGTCTGCAATGACAGTTGACATTACATTCCCACGAACTGTCATTGGTGTGTGTACATTATATACTTATTAATTATTAATATCTCACTCATTTTTTTTCCTCTTCTTATTTCAATTTTTGGGACATGTACATATCTTGATAAATGCATCTGTGTGCAGATAAACTTACAGATTGTATATGCTCTTGCAGGCAGTACTGGATTAAAACTAATATATTAAAATATATAGATATTTAATATAATCAAATGATGAAAATCTGATAGGGACAACAGACTAGACATGAATGATTTGTCTATATTAACTGATTACTTGACTCGTATAAATTATTATATCTTTTATGTTAAATATATGGAGATTTTTCATATAAGCCTTATTTACAGTACAACATGAATGCATTCCCCAAGCAGTACTTGGTATGGATATATTATGTCAAGCAAAATCTGGCATGGGAAAAACAGCTGTATTTGTGCTAGCTACATTACAACAATTAGAATTAACAGAGAACCAGGTCTATGTCCTTGTCATGTGTCATACACGAGAACTTGCTTTCCAAATTAGCAAAGAATATGAACGATTTAGCAAATATATGCCTCATGTGAAAGTAAGCATAACTTATGTCAAGTATATTTAATTATAATTTATGTGGAATCTTCACATGATGAAATATAATTATCATATTAAATAATGGTGACACTCTTTAACACCACTACCTACCACTGACGAAGATTCTTATATTTATTATATAACTTAGCTTTATAAAAGAAATATGTTTGTGAATAATGATTCATTTTAAGTAATGTATTTACATTACTAGGTCGGTGTATTTTTTGGTGGTTTACCAATTCAAAAAGATGAAGAAGTCCTAAAGAACGTATGTCCTCATATTGTTGTTGGTACACCAGGTCGTATCCTTGCTCTTGTTCGAAATAAAAAATTAAATCTGAAACACTTGAAGCACTTTATACTCGATGAATGTGATAAAATGCTCGAGCTATTAGGTATTTATAAATACAGTTCTTTTTTTATGTATGACTATAACCCTGTTGAATATAAATTATATACCTACATTTATTTTCAGACATGCGCAGGGACGTACAGGAAATATTTAGAAGCACTCCACACGGTAAACAAGTCATGATGTTCAGCGCTACATTGTCCAAGGAGATACGTCCTGTCTGCAAAAAGTTCATGCAAGATGTAATTAAAAAAATCTTCCTCTTCACTTCGATCTTCGATTGCTCCTACTTCGTTGGCCCTGTATTCATACCCAGGACAAAGCTCAAACCATACTATAAATATCGTTGACGGCGCACCCGCGGGTTAGGCTAGTTAGACAACACTTTGAAGGAGTGACACAGAATTCAATAACGAAAAGCCCCTCGATGTCTCCGGTTGAAAGTCAAGTTCTACAACTTAAACGTAACAAGTTGCTGCTCCAAAGTTTTCCTCCATTTACCGGATGACGAGATATCTACTCATAAAAGGAACGATATCTTCGTTTAAAATCGTTTCTTGAGTTGATCAAGATGACGTTGACGATGTTTTAAAGCAATTTTATTTAGTTCCTATCTTCGATGTTCAAATCTTTTAAATTGTCTGCTGCATATTGAAATTGCCAAAGTTAAAATGATGTTCTGTATAATGTTACACGAATATTAGGAAACGTCATATATCTGTTGGGATGGGTTGGGTGGAAAAAGTTTCTGCAATTTCTATGGGCAGATGATTCAGGTGTAAGGGAGGGATAGATTTTTAAATGGCATAGAGCAGCATTGAAAGCAGTTTTCAATTGGGTGGGGGGCTAAGAAGATCTCAAGAAAACCTGAAGACAGAAGAGCGCAAGAAAGAAGATGCAAGAGGATGAATGGGAAACTGGGGTTAGCTAGGATGATGATACTGCTGCAATTACGTGGCATATATCTAGAATTTGTTATTCGCGTTCGTCTTATCTGTAATCGAAACAACATATTTTGATATTTTGCAAAAAAAGCTAATGGAAATCAATAATCAATTAATAGGAGTGAAAATGGAAGTGTTCATACATAGTTTGATCGTGTTCACTTCTATGTGAAAGCAAAATATAAATCAGTTTGTGTATCACGAATCATAAGCTATTTAAGTCGCGATGTAAAAAAGTATGTATCCCAGAGGCCGTTAAATTTTGTGATAATGAGCATACCAACAATAATCGAGGCCAATTCTGGGCATATTCCGAATATACTAGAATTTGGGAGAAGAGATTTGGCATCGAGTGGTCAGCGGATGTGTGACAGAACATTCATGGGTGCGCCTTCTTAGTTCTGTTGAGGTGACTGCTGAGTTTTCGTTGTTGGCACTGCCCAGAGATGGAAGTCGTCGGACCGTATGTAACCAACATGACTAATCCGATCGACAAATAAGCGCAAAAAACTGAGAATTTAAGCAAAAAGTTCTCGAGAAATCATCTAATACATTTTATTTATAGTTACTTAATATAAAATTGCCATTATCAAGGAAGCGGGAGAAATTGGGACATTCGTAAAAAAATACTCTACATTTTCACATCATTTACGTCACTTGTTAAACTTTCATTTGTAGTTCATTTTATATCTCAAATTTGTTTTCAATGATTTTTTGTTTATGTTTCTCTAATACTCGATTCCATTTGTAAATTTCGTTACATTTTCAACTTAATGTGTTACATCTAGAAAAATATTATATTGAATCTAGAAATTATCAAAGGTATGGTTATCTATAGGGTAAAATAGATAATCTTGTAAAAAACATTCTCTGCGCAGCCCATGGAAGTCTATGTGGATGATGAAGCGAAACTCACGTTGCACGGTCTACAACAACATTATGTGAAACTAAAAGAGAATGAAAAGAACAAGAAGCTATTTGAATTACTTGATGTACTTGAATTTAATCAGGTTTGTCCACAGACATCGATTAAGTGATATTTTTTATTATTTACTTTAAGATTTTCGTTATACATTAAGCTACTGTAATATTCGTTTCTATTTTACATCATTCTATAGGTCGTTATCTTTGTAAAATCTGTACAAAGGTGTATGGCTTTGGCACAACTTCTAACAGAACAAAATTTTCCTGCGATTGGTATACACAGAGGTATGACTCAGGAAGAACGGCTATCAAGGTACCAACAATTTAAAGATTTCCAAAAGGTAAATGTTGTCTAGTGTAGGCCTATTTAATATATATTTCATGTAATGTAATCATGTAATACTATTATTTTAGCGAATTTTGGTAGCTACAAATTTATTTGGACGTGGTATGGATATTGAGCGTGTAAACATAGTGTTTAATTACGATATGCCAGAAGATTCGGACACATACCTACATCGAGTAGCCAGAGCTGGTCGTTTCGGTACCAAGGTTAATATTCGCACGATATATTATAATGTAATAATACTAACATTCACTTTAATACTCGGTTAATACTTACAGGGTCTTGCTATTACATTAGTCAGTGATGAAAGTGATGCTAAGATACTGAACGATGTTCAAGAACGGTTTGATGTTAATATTACAGAGTTACCAGATGAGATAGATCTAGCTTCATACAGTAAGTTTACTTTAATATAAAATTTGAATGCGTAGTTCAAAAATTTTAAATTAATTTCGATTTTGTTTCAGTTGAAGGACGATAAATATAACATCATTCCCCAAAATAAATTTGAGACTACGATAAAGTAAGTACTAATTATAGTTCCTCAATTTTATTATAGATTATCTTTTTATCGGTGTATCTTTTGTTACAGGCACATGAAAATTTAAACGCTATACCGTACACTTGTCATTATGTATCCACATTAAGTACAACATATATTTTGTATCGATTTACAATTTTCTTTTCATTGATCTGACAAACCTTATGAACAAGTGACATAATCAAACTAATTATAGTTATGCTATGATTCTTCTAATGAACTACAATAAATAATTCACATTGTGATTGTACAATACTATTTTAACTTTCATTCTACGTTCAGTAAATAAGAATTGCGTGTATAAATAGAACTAAGAGAATACATTTTGTGTCCTCTTTAATACCTTATGTAAATGAAATAAATATTTCTCTTTTTTTATATATATAGTACGTTTAATATTATCCTAATTAAATTCGTAGATTTCCTCATAGGTGTCCTCTTTAATACCTTATGTAAACGAAATAAATATTTCTTTTTTTATATATATAGTACATTCAATATTATCCTAATTGAATTATTAGTTAAATGTAATTAAACTATAGAAATGTATTTTTTGCTGTACTTTGTTAATAGATTTTTGTTACAAAAATTGCTGTGTATTCAGTTTGTATGTTTATACATCTTAGTAAAAATTACTTACATAATAAAAGTGATAATTTTACATTTTGTATGAATATTTTTGAGAAAAAAAAATAGGAAACTGGAGATTTGCTATATAAACTAAAATGATAACATAATTTCATTTGGTTCTTGCTTTATTTTGAGATTTGTTCCCTCCTTGATTACCTCCACCACGACCAAGAGCAGCAGGGCCTCTACCACCACGACCAAAAGTTCCTATAAAAGAAATATTTATGTACGTATATACTATTTAATATATGTATATTTACATATATATTATATATGATTATACCTCTTCCACTACCACGACCTCGTTGACTTTGTCCTCTTCCTTTCATTTCTCCACGTCCCCTCGATTTCATTTGTACATCTTCTTTTACCATATCTATGACTTCATCAGGAATTCGTAAATACTTAATTGTACTACCTCGAATATAGCATTCAGGCATTCTCCAAAATTTATCGCCATCCTAAATAATATATGTTATGTAATAATATATGTTTATATATAATAAACTTTTATACAAATAATTTATGAAATATTTCATTAATTCGAAAAAATGTATCGTTATTGTACCCTGGATGTGCATATAACCTCTCTGAGATTAATATTCATCCAGCTATCACAACTAACTAAATGTCCATTATACGTTTCTCCATTCTTAAGTTCGACTAGCTGTAAAACATATTAAATTATTTAATTGAAAACACTAATATTGCTAGATTATATGAAATATAACTTTATAAATATATATTTGAAACTAACCATAGGATGGTTTTGAGCAGTTCTTAATAACGACAAAGGTAACTGAAAAATACAAATGTGAAGTAAATGAAGATAATAAAGTATGAAAATTGAATTTTCATCTAATTATTTTTAAATTTACCATTTTTTATCACTTTGATGTGTATTTAAATATCGCACGATCAACATCAAAACAAACCGTTCGAAATGTTTAGTTATATTATAGTCAGGATAACCAACTAAAATGTAGTTATAATATAGACCAGACAGTCAAATTTTTCATATAATTATATTTCTTGTAAAAAAATCGATAATCTTACTTTTATAAAAAAATACATTCAATAATTAATTTTCAAATATAAAACTATCTAACAATGTAAATAAAATTTGATTACTGCAGCTGACATTATTGGCTGTTGACTAGTGACATTCGAGTAACACTGCTCGTCTCGTTGTGCAAACTATAAATAATATTCTTTACTACAATATACATATACTTATAATTTTTATATTTTATTTGTTACAAAAGCAATGTTTTGTAATTACATCGTATCAAAAGTACCTACATTAATCAAATTTTTATTCGTGAATGCCTTATATCATCGAAAAGTAACTGCAAATATTTATTAACTGTTAATAAGTATTAAATTCATACAACATAATTTGAATTATATGAAAATAAAAATTAATTTTTTTCAGCTTAATACAAGATATCTTTTAATGAGAATGTAAGTGTACATAACTTAGGTGATAAATGACAAATGTTGGTAAAAGAAGATGCGAAAGCAATTAATTTTGCTTCAATAAGAATTCAAAATATGGGAGGAAATGTTCATTATGTGGCTGGTTAAAATTTTCAAGAATTAATTAAAAGTTTTAATATTAAGAGATTTGTATGGTTCCAATCAGTTCATTATACCAGAACACGAGGGCTACGAAATAAAAATAGGTATTTTTTATCTTAGAGAAAAGACTTACAAGAGATGGCTAAGAAATTGATTCGAAAGTAAATTGAGCATAGAAAGTAAAGCATTAAAAAGACCAGAGAATCAAGGGAATGAATGCATGGGAGATATGAAATAGAAGAAAAATCCTTAAAAATTCCAAACATAACAAATTCATCTACCAAAGATACTTAACAAATTACTTTTAATAACAAATATTGAAGGAAATGTACAACAAGAATTAAATTTAAAATAAGGAGATGTTCTGTTTTTAACTTGTGGAGAAAAGATTCGCATGGTAAATACATATTAATTTATTATGTTTCCAACATTCATTAATTTAAATATATATATATTAACATTAAACAATTATATATATTAACATCAAATTTAAATTACAGTAGATATCATTAGGAAAAGTACATCTCGAATTTACAAATTTCTTATAAAGTAAAAATCAAAAAATTCGTATAAGGAATGTATTATTATGGACCACCGAATTTCCTTTATTTTTGTTCAATACTGATAAACATTAATCATTAGAAACCATGCATCATCTATTCATACAACCTCATCCAGGTGATATGCAATATCTTATAAAGAATTCACTTTCTTAAATCGACTATCCACTATCCACTGTCTTATCAAGAAGATATTCTTGTTAATTAATTAACGAGCTTAGTACTTATATATACCTATATACTTATTTTAATGAGTGAAATACTTATTTGTTCCTTTATAGGTTAAAGGATTACATTATGATTTGGTTATGAATGGTTTTGAGACTACAGGAGAATCAATGTGAATTCACAAATCAAAATTACAAATAGAAATATTTTAAATGCTAAATATAAATGAATTATTTGAATATGAATTATTTATTATATAGATGAAACATTTAGAATTTGTTATCCCACTTCATGGTGGAATTGCTATAGGTATTTTATTTTTAACTTAAATATCAGCAATACCCAATAACATGGAATTATAGTAAAAAGATATTAAGAAACTTCTCAAGATTGGATCGTTTAATATGTTTAATCCATAATACCAAAACTATGAAAAACGATGAAGCAAGATTTAATATCAAAAGTACTTTTGGGGAAATAAAAAAATTTTGTCATATACAGACAATAGACAAATAAAACTTTTTGTATTTTTTACTATAACGTAAAATTAATTCTAAAAGGTCAGCTTGTTATGTTATCTTTAAAAAATTCTTTTCAATAATTTGTGTATATTTTATACAATATGTCTGATATTTTTATATACTTTATAATAATCACCGTACTATATGAAAAATCTGTTTATATAATATAATATAATGTGAAAAGTATTCATATATTACTTTATAACATCAATTTTGTACAAAAATGTTTAAAAACACAATTTTATTTTAAGTAGAATAAAATTCAATTTCAAAGTATTATCCATTTTATTTAAATTTATTTCATAAGAATCTGCCTTATAATTTACAATATCTATGAATATTGCGATTACTGCAAATCATAATACACCCGTTTATATCGCATTTTTATATTGTTATAAATATTGCGAAGAAATAATAGTATCACGAAACATAATGAAAATAATTTTAGCATAACAAAAAATATGATTGATGCTGCACTCAAAAGTATAAAAATTAATAGCTCATCTTTATATTTACTATGTCTGAACAAAATGTATAATCAACAGCTATATATCATAAGTGATAAATTTATTGCATGAAAAAGGGAATTACACGTATACCATATTAAGCAATATTTGCACAGCTTTAATTACTAAAAATTCTATCGATTTTACTGTAGAGATGTAATTATGTTACATTAACATACGTGTTACGTAATTTTAGCGATTAAAATTGCTATTCAACATTACCATACTGTTAACGATTTTGCAAAGTAACATAGACATGATCAGCCAGCAATAAAACAATATACAAAGTATACATACAACAGAAATGTGAAATTATGTTTTTCTATGTTAGGGTTTATTTATGTTTCTAAAAACGGTTAATAGAAATCAGCATAGAAATAAAATGATAAGACCAAATTTTAATGTACAAAAAAAGTGTTTTATTAGAATTTGTTTTTCTTAGGAAACTTTCACGCGTTCTATTTAAATTGATAAAAAAAAAAAAATCTTTTATCTGCGCAGTAAATGTTATATATAAATTGAACATTGTCATCAAAGATTCTTTTTCGTGAATTACGCTTAAAAATATGTTCGTTCAATAAAAATTCCCTAATAAACACGCTGATATGTTGTTATATTTAAAGTGAAAGAAAATTTCATCATTCTGTGTTAATTGTCGTTTCGACTTAGCGAACTGGAACATAGGTAAATGCGATCACAAAACATTTTGTTTCTTTCTTTACAGAAAATGAATTCTTATTTCAATTTTTACTGCAATTTTCATATAATATGGAAGTAAAAAGATTTTCTCTTTTAATATACTAAAATATCTGTTCATATTTACTATGCACAATACATGTTCCAAGTATTCAAGAATAATTCAATATCATAAATCGTTTAAATGTTTCAGAACGATATAAAAAAAAAGAAAGTTTCCAAAGTTAATTTCCTGCTAAAATGTAAGCGTTAAATGTGTGCATATTTTAACTCATCAATGGAAGAAGATGCATTTCTCATAAGAGAAATTTCTCGTAAGATTTCTCATAACAGAAATTTCCATTTTATAATGACAACACGTTTGTTTTCGTATGTTCCTAGTTCTCTAAGAATCTATAATGCACTATTACGCATAACGTGTTAATTAATCGGCTTAACTCTTACGCAGAATAACGTAAAATTCAATTAAAAATTAGTACGAATATGACTACATTTCATCTACAAAACACGCATGTCGACTGTTATCCCATTACCAAAACTTAACGTAGGAACTTAGAAATCTCCCAAAAACTAGAACGTTTCAAAATAAATGTTTCTAAATATAGAATAATTGAACATAGATTAATTACTTCAGTGAATCATCACATTTAGTATCTTTTGTTTACTTTTGCGTCTTTCTTTTTTTAAGTGCATTTTAATAAAACGTTCTCATAATTGTTAAAATTCATTCGATTGACACAATATACACCTAATCTTAATTCAGTTCTAAATCCCTATGTTAAGTGGCCGCATAAATCGATGGTCATGACAGAGGCGTAAATGAGTGATATTGTATAGTTTAGAAATAATATTTCTTTTACTTCATTCAAATAGTTAAATATGACAAAAATTAAACTAAATGGTTTAACAAAAAAAGTTCTTGGCTCGTACAATATTACCTTCTTTTTTATAGATTGTGTATCCCCGTTGTGGACAATAAAATGTAAATATACAATCACTAAATGAAGACTGATGTTTATAAAAAAAAAATATCATATTATTTTGTTTTTATATATACAACTCTACGAGGATTTGTACAATCTCAGGAAAAAAGAATCGTTTATTTATGCCCCTGACTGACGCTTTAAACGTGGAAACAAATTGAAGTGGACTTATAACCACTGAAAAATCTAATCGATCAATGATCAATTTCCGCGTCTCCGCTCACGGAAGAACGTAAATTTATCGATTAGATAATGTTCCGTCGTTAACTTGCCAGAATATATACAAGTTGTCGCTTTTTCCGTTTGGGAACACAGTGTTTCGCATGTTAAACGATTTACAGAAATTCGTATTCGAGATTATTCTTGGCATGGGCTTGAATTTATTCAATTATATTTGGCAGTATGAAAGTATTTTAATCTATATACGTGGATCGATCATGGTACTTTCAAAACGATTTGATTTCTTCGAGTCTATCTTTCGGGTGCCATATGAAATCTTTGCTTCGATCTGATTCGTTAAATTCGGCGTATATTCGTCTTCTTTTTTGTTAATTACGTACAATACACGTTTTTAAATAACAATCGTATTTCTTCATTTTCGCATGTTCAACGTAGACCGCAATCTTTGCGTACACTGTTTCGCCACTTAGAAAAATACTATTTTACAAGATGTGGCGAACTCTCGTGCATTGGCGCACAAGTAATGCATTCAAGAGCTCGCCGACCTCGAAGATATACAAGCGAACACATTACACACAAAGAGACATTCGTACACGCACTCATACACTGTTGTAGAATCAATAGACAATACGCAAATATGCAACACAATCATACATGTTACACATACGTATGCGTTTTTTTCGTATAGAATAATACAATCATCTACTCTTGCATAAGGTATGTTAAGGAAAACATCTAGAAATTCTAGAGGACATTGTGGATATAATGATATATACACGTATGATGAAGGCAGGGCTATATAATCGAACAGACAGAATGTGCACGAGCAGTGTTGTAAATATGTAGTACAAGTCATACAATTTTGTGTGATATTCTTTTCGACGCGGTTTTCGCGATATCTTCAGTTTTTTATCCTAAGCAAACAATACAATTTCGATAATTTATTAAGTATGGACTTATATACGTATAGAATGAAACGAAACAGCCATTTAACTACAATTATATCATATTAAAAGGATGGATTGTCGAACTTTTTTTTTTTCTTTTTTATATCTTTTTCTCTTTTTTAATTTGTAATAAAATGCTGCCTGTTCATTCCAATGCACCTGTTGTCTTATAGTAAAATGCTTTATCGCATACATGTAAACATTAAAATTTACCGAACTACTGTGTGAAAATGATTAGACTTAACTGCACTTCCTACCATCATCGAATGTTTTCTCACCCGGCCCGCCGGTTCCACGCATGTAGATTAAAAATGATACCGTATCTAGAATAATACATATACAATAACATAAGTGCCAACGTTGGCAGTATACTTTCAGAATTATTATACCTTTATCGCATGGAAGTAGTAGAAACACGAGATACTTTACTGCCGTCAACGAAGTGTCTATTTAAGACATTTTACATGTTTATTGCGCATAATAAATAAGCTCGATATCCTATCGTTCTTGCGCGCAACGAGGTCGTATAATCATTGAATTTCAAGTGAACGCCCGTTCATAATGAGGTTACGAAAAATATCCCTGATTTCGGACGGCCACTAGCAAATTTAATTAATGAATCAATTTGTTGAGATATGTGTTAATGCAATATGATTACAACAATTTCTCCATGCGCGATATCAGCGACTACAATTCTTCTTTTCATCAACCAATTATGTATCATAGAATAAAATGTAAAATTTCATATAGTAGATATAGAATTCGATTTGTTTTCGAAGTATTAATAAAAGAACTATTTTTTTTTCTTTTTTTGTGCTGTACAAACTTATGTCAAGTGAAAAACATCAAAATGTTTCAATTAAAAAATCTATACAAATATATTCTATTGGTAATATAATATATGTTAATTTCTTTTTTAGTGCAGTGAATCAAAATAATTATTGAAGTTATTGGTTTTGCCAAAGTATGGTCAAACTGTTCAGATGTCTGTATGGTATAGATAATTCTGTATCGTTACTACACACAGGTACACAAGAAGGAATTATGTACACAAGATGACATATCCAAATACTAGCAATATTTGTAGCATACTTTGAGAAATAAGAGAAGTGATGGTGTATCACGATTTTTAAATATTGGCAAGGTATTATGATGGTCACGTTCATCGCGCCACAGAGTATATGACGATGAAGATGAAAATGGCAAAATACATAAACCATGCATGACATACTCAAAGCAAGCCAATGAGCCAAGCGGGCCAATTTCCTGGATATTGTAGCCATTTTTTCTGCTGCTTGGGTTTGTTCCAGCACCGGCGTCTCATACGTCGGTTAGTTAACCTCGTACATAATGTAAATGCAATTTCTGCTCATTTGAAATACCCAAGAATTATTGTTATTCCCTCCTTGAACCGATGTCATTTTCAGTTCCTTCTTGCACAAAATTAGGTAAATTCTAGCAAGCATTGCCCAGTATTTGATGCATTGATTTTATGCATTTTCGTCAATAGTAGGCAACCAAAATGCCATATTGGTACAGGCAGATGCTAACATCATATACTTAGGATTAAATTGAATACACTGAACTGGTGCAGGGTGATCTCCATTAAGCACACAAACTTTGTATCCAGTTTCAGCATTCCATACATGCACTCTCCCATCTGTGGATCCACTAAATACAAACTGTGAATCAGGACTAAAGCTGGCTTCAATTGCAATTCCTTTGTTGTTCAAATAACCAGCAAATGTTTGTAGCGGAGTACCATGAAAGGCATCAATCAAACGGATTGTGCTGCCATTTGTAGAGATCAAAATGGTTTTACCATCTCTACTAAACTTTAGTCCTGTCCAATCACATTCCTTCTCTTGAGATAATTTAAATGTAACAAATGGCCCTTTGTCGAAACTGCGTAGATCATACAGCTTCAAGAACTCTGAATTGACACCTGCTGCGAAAATCAGACCCTCTGGATCATATGCAGCAACTGGACGTCCCGAAACATTCATAACACCATGACAATTAGGAGAACGTAAATCCCATAGTCTTAATGATTTATCTAAAGATCCAGAAAGAAATGTATCTTCTATAGGGCTGATACATAACGATACAACTTTCTTGCTATGACCTGGGAAATATCTGATATACTTATTATCATGCAAGCTTAGATAACGGATGGTGTCATCAATTTTTGTACTGCTGTGTATCGCAGTATTCTTTGCATGGGTGAAATGGATTAAATCTACACCATATTTCTTGGAATTGACTGTACGCACCTGAGTGCCTTTCTCACAGTCATATATCACGATCTGGTCATCTTCCGAGCAGGAGATCAAAGTATCCCCGTTTGGTGAAAAATCGATGCTATTTATGCGATCGGAATTTTCACGGAAAACTTTGGCCACCTTGAAGCTCCTCACCACGTGGTCAACGAGCTTCATGGTGATGGACGGCGCGTTCTCCCTTTCGTGCCGTCCTCTTAACCTCCCCGCTTCCGCAATTTCTTTTTCCTTTCTTCTAATATAGTCTAGGCGCCGAAGCGCGAAGCTTCAGCGGAGGGGTCAGGGGTTTGTCTATGTACCACTGTTATTCACCTCGCGGGAAGAAAAAACTCGCGGGGAGTTCAAGAGGTCAAAGAATCCAAAACGCAGCTCAACTATCACCTTGTTAACCTCCGGACTTTCTTGATTTCTCTTTTACCCGACTATCAGAGTTACTTCTCAATCCGAACTTGATTTCCTTTAATTTGACAAAAGGGCTCCTTCCAATGTCTCCTCTCTTTCCTACGAACGGACGCCGTCGGCAGACTAGCGCACACAGCACGCACAAATTCTGCCAACTGTTTAGAGAAATGGATGACGAATTACCGTGAACTGTTCTCAAGATACTGTAGATTCATACCGTGAGTAAAGCTATCGATCTGCGTTGACGTCGATGTAATGCCCGCCTCCTAAGAAACTGTTTTATCAGAAGGAACAGAGAATTTGAAATTTATTTAAATCCCTAATTGCTAAATTAAAACTTTTTCCCTCAAGTAGTAGTTATGAGAAATGTTATTAACTGATTAAATTTGTTATCACGATAATGTGAAATTAATATCTTTCTCAGTCGTCTTTTTTTTATTATGTACTGGATGTGAGATGTTATATTTAGACAATGAATTTTTATGCATTTATAGGAAATTTAAAATTGCAAAAATGCAAATATTGCACATATTATGCAGAAAATATACAAAATATCCGAAGTGTAGAACTTATTATGATATTCAGTAGAAGAAATAAATTTCTACTGAGACTTCATTTGTTTAATTAGCTTTACAAAAAATGAATAAAATTTCATTGTCTAATTATATTTTATCTTAGTTATGGTATAGTATTATGTATATGAATTACTTAATAAAATATTATAATAAGTATGCAAAAAATATTTATTAAAGCAATTTAATTTCTATCCTTCAATTTGTAATTATAATCTAAATAACTCACTTTATATAGGATGTAATAATTCACAATTAGAATCCAATAATTGTGTTTCATTTATAAAAATAAAATATTAATTAAGCATTTTTATAAATTATTTTTATATTTGTTTTTACATATTTTTAAATAACTTTTTGTTATTTCTCAAAGTAAATTTTTATTGATAAGATGTATGCTAAATATTAAATGTGTAATATATCATTTAGGATTGGTACACTTGCATAAATTTTGAAATGTTTATTAGATATAATTTATTGTTAAAAACTTACTAATTAATTGGAAAAAGATGTATCACTGAAATAAAAATATAAAATGACAGCAAGACACAAATATGTATGAATATTTTGTTATTTATTAAGCAATTATTTGCTTCTTTCTGCAGGATAAAGTTTTGTAATACAATATATTGGTATTTAAAAAGTTTATCAGACATCAATGAATATTTAAATCCTAGAGTGCAGTTTTGTTATATAATTTATAAACATATAAAATTTTTATTATCACAAGATAATGTTTATTCTAATGTAATTAGAGAGTCACATTCTTTAATATCATTCTAATAATATTCTCCTTTATGTTTACACTTTAATAACAGCATAAAGATGAAAAATTCTAACGTTGCAAAGTCATAATCAAACAAGATGCATGTTCTTTTCTTTACAACATTAGTACAAAATATTAATTCAGGTTTTTGTAAAGTTACTGAACTATCACTTTGACATTTTCAGAGACACCATTATATATTAATGATGGAACAGTGCTATTTCTAGCTTATGTAAGGCTTGTTTTTTTATAGTTGATTATGAACTTCATACATTGTTAATGTTATCCTCATTTATTTATTTACCATCTAAGAGAAAATTTTTTAACTAAACACATGCAGATAAGGCAAATGCAAATTCCAGTTTCAGTCGCTACTTATACATGTTACTGTAGCCAGAAAACTGCATATAAGCATATTTTTGAAATTTTGGATGCTCTATTATTTTGATTGCATTTCATGTACATTTGCAATATCAGAATATATATTACAAATATACACATACATACATTTCTGTTTATCGCAAAGCAGCTTTTCGAAAAATATAAAAAATTAAGAGTAATAATTTGCTTTTTGTATTTTTATAATTCAATTGTAATTCGTAAAAATTAATAGAAAAGTTTAAGTCTATTGCATGGTGTATTTTTAATATGTATAACAAATTTTAAATGCAGTTTTATTACACCAAATCGAGAAAAACAGAATGTATGTACGCATATTTGTTGAAATTACATTTTGTTATTTCTTCTTTGAAAAATCAGTTATTAAAAATATTATAAAACTGAATGTGTAAGATTGTGTTTAATAATGATACAATGTAATTCCATTAAAAGTGTTCAATCTATAATCATATGAAAATAGGTATGTGCATTTTTGCAATTAGAATTAGATATAAATGTTCTCTATGTATCAAATTCAATATATTTACAGCCTTTATTTCATTTTTCGTTTGAACTATGCGTTATATATTTCTCTTTTATAAATTTAAGCTTAATAACATATATTTACATCTAAATATGCTGCTGAAAAGTCAAAATTACTAATACTAGTAGTTCTTACAATGTATTTAAATTTATTATAGCGTTCAATTTAGTTTATTTTGCGTAAATTTCTTATGTACTATGTACTGTTTAAAATAGAGACTAACTTCTAAAGTGAATGTAGCCTCAAAATATTAAAGTTAAGATTATTTCTCAATAAAATATTTTTTGTTTTTATGTTATAAGGCTGATCGTATATTGACTGTTATTAAAATTGTATAAATCTATGTAGGAATTGTTCAAATGAACTATTTCATAAATTAACATTAATTTTTTGGTATTGTTATTAAATATAATGTAAATAAATATCTACATATTCAATTCACTGAATATTGATGCAATAAATATGTTCACAGAATTAGACTTATGGAATGTGAAAACGAGACACTTTATTTTAATCAAAATATTTCGTGTTGCGATATCGATCATTAAATTAATAAAATAGTTATGTAACTATTATACATCTATGCTGCCTTTATATATAACATTTTATGTTCAATAGTCTTTCTTTTTTCGTTGTGATGAATGGTGAGTTGTAATTCCAAATTAACATTCAAGTGGTACACATAACTAAACGCTCAAATCATTCATGGTAAAATAATGAATCTCCATTTCTTCATTTTCTCACATTTTCATAAATGGACGACACAATGTACAGTTCTATTCTCATATTTCAAAATTTATCTTTAAAAAAGTATATATCGCAAAAGGTAATTAAAGTTTGCAGTAATAGTAATGACATAAATATATATTGCATAGAAAATTAAGTTATTAGCCAAAAATATAATTTTTGTGTTTCATTTTGCTTTGTGTTGTTATTAGGTAACTATTAAATAGATCTATATTTTAAAAAAAGCATCAGTTCTGGCACGCATTGCTATTTGACAAGTTTGTTAAAAGTTTATACTTCTTTTTTTCTATAACAATAACAACAACAATAACAAGTACGATATTTATAATAAACGTAATGTCCTCTAATATCATTTTCTTTAAAAGACATTACTAATGATTTGCTTGTAAGGAACATACATCATGGTCAAGCTCTGCATAAAGTATACTGAAAGTTACAAGCCATTCAAAATAGTAGTCGATGAAAAAATGTATATAAAAATCAAGGTAATTATCGTAATTTTAATAATATTTATTTATGAAGATTCCACAAATTTCTCATACTACTTAAGTATCAGTATACTCTATCCAAGTCAAACCAATTTAGAAAACTGCTGCAAAGAGCAATTAACTCTTTTATTGGTCCCTGAACCTAAAACTTGTACTTATATTTAGCACCTTACAATTTTTATGTCTGTTGAATTATTTGTCACGAGCTAAGAAATATAATTGGTAAAAAAAGTATCATTTTTATACTAAACAAAGACATCATTCAATTTATAAACAATGCTGTATTTCTTTTATACTATTTATATATTGTTTCATAATATTGTTAAGTAAATCTTAGCTCAGACTGTGTACATTGTAGACGAACTTTTTAAATTAAGATTAAAATCAAATTGCTGATTTGAATGATTATGAACACAATGTAATATATAAAAAAATGTATATAGATTTATTAATGAACAATAGCTAATTTGTTTTCCTTTTAAACACAAAAGATATTAAATTATTTACGTAGATAGATAATAGTTAAATTGACAATATTCATTTTTAGCAATAAGTTTTTATAAATCAATACCTTTTATTAAATTTTAGTAGTTCAAAAATTTTCTGGGGTTCAGGGAAATTGATTGTACTTAAACAGCAGTTTAGGCTATTATAAATTAGCATATTAATTAATTTAAATTATATCTTTCCTTTAAAATTACACTGTTTAGATTTATGCGCGAACAAATGTAAGCGACAATTTTAAATTAATTCATAAATATGTATACATGTATACAAATACATATAGTATGCATATATATACACACGTATACTTACATATATGTGTATATCAATGCATTTTATTTTTAACACTCAGTTTCATTTCATAGCCACTGGACATTGTGTTTAAAATTTAAATATAGTACACGACACTTCTCATTCACAATGTACTGCAGTATTTTGTGATTATAGTCTTAATACTTTATAAATTATTATATAAAATGTTAAATTAATACTCTTTGCTTCAAATTTGTGCTATTTATGCAATGATTGTGCGGTGCATAAAAGTATGAATTGCTTAATTCATCAGGCCAATTGTTAATTCATAATTTATACTTACACAAACATGATTTCATACCCACATTTCTCTTACGTAATGTATATACATATATATTTATATTATTGCGTTTATATATATTATAAATGTGTAAACTTCAAAAGCATATTTAAGTAATACTAAGTGTCTTTAATCACGCTATCTATTTTGTAGGAAAGGCCTCGTAGTGCTAAATATAAGAAAAAAAAATACAGTATAGATTTAAGTTTCCCTTCAGCATGTTCTATTCAAAATTTTTCTCTATATTTTTTCATGAAGTCAAAGTTCATGGAAAATTTCACCTTTTGTTAAATTTTTTTTTTATCCGTGAAAATGCATAAAACAATAAAATACATTAATTCTCAAGATCGTTTTTGTGCCCATTTCAAATCATCCGCCCTAGGTTTACAGCCAGTAGCTTTTTCGATTACAGTTTCTAGAATATACCAAAACCGAAGTTGTTCTAATGGCCAATTTAACCATCCAGTAGTAATACAGAAATAAGTTTCATGTGGCGCAACATGATGCACACGATGATGTTTTCTAGGCAATATAATTCTATGTTCTTGTAACCAAACAACCCAAGAAGGTAATCCAAAATATGTATGTGACCATTTATGTATCTGGAAAAAGTCTTTTATGTTATTGCTACTATGTCACTCTGGTAATACTAAATTTGATAGAATTGAAGAAGTTTATATAAAATTTGTACTTTGTTTCTTAAATATAAGAAGTTATCTGATATATATATCGACAAATTATATTCAATTACCTGATTAGTCATTGCCACAAAAATTGCAAGTAGAAACCAATAACAGGTCCAAACAAACTTTTGTTGTATCTCTGATTCTGGGAGAGTTAAGAAATCCCATGTTAATTTGTAAAGGAATGGAATTGTGACCATGAAATTGTCACCATTAGTTTCTATAAAATCATGCCTTGTTATGCTAGTTGGATCAATGTGGTGCTCTCGAAATGGTCTTAAAAAATTCTGGAAGTACACATATATACATATATATATTTATATATAACAATTTTTTAAATACATATATATATATATAAATATATATAGATATGATCTATTAATAACTTTCATTGTTCAACGAAAACATTAATCTTAAACGTGTAAATAAGTATATTTTGTGCAACAGTTGTCTGCAATTTACCTTTCCAAGAACTGGAAGCTCCACAGAGCCCCATGTGTCAGCAGCCCAATGTACTAATCCAGATCCAAAATCTGCCGTAACGATGCCACAAAATGCTGCTATCGCTATCGAGCTCAAATTTTCTAATCGTAATCTGACAAGGATAAATATCGAATTAACTACGATGAGAGTAATGCAGATGCCTACACAAATGCACTCTTGCGTTCTTTTCCCTGCAATAAAAACATTATTATCAATCATCGTTAATCACCGAAATTTCGGCAGTGTACTATTTTAACTACAAAATGTAAAAAATCTTTACATAGAGAGTGGTATCATAATAATGATTTTATAGTTATTGTATAGATACAAAGATATGTATTGTTAGATTGCCCTTTATTTTAGTTCACACTCGAGAATTCCAAGGTGCGACCGATATATAGTTAGTATTTTGGCAAGTATTAAAATCAGAAAACATATAATGTATTTACACGAGCCGCTAATGTATACTTTTCCAAGATTTGATATTAAATATAATGAAATTATTAATTGAATCCACCGAATGTATTTTTATACATAACATATATTCAAAATTGTTTTAAATATTAATAAATATCGAAGTATCGCTGAAAATGTTTACGTAGGAAAAAATTAATTATTAAAATTATTACCAGTACTATAAAGATTTGCTAATTCTTGAGCACCCTTGTGATTAGGACCCCATCTTGGTACAGTTCTGTCCTCTTGTGAAGTTGAGACCACCGAATTGGCATTGGGATCGTCCTCGAGCATCGAATTCTCGTAGATCTGCCGTTCGGTTTTCACTGGCGCCAAGAAATTCGTAGCCATCGAGCACGCGGCTGATGCCGCTTGGCCCAAGTTTGCTACCTTTATCTCATCCATACTTAATATCGTAATTATCTTGAATATTCCTTGAATAATGCAAATCCTAACGTGTCTTTTTTTCTTTTTATGAATCGGTTTTGCTTCGTAACGGTTGCGCGTTTTTCGACATTGCGATGTCTCTTTGAATCGGTTACTCAAAAGGCAGCGATGCGTTTCTATATATTCGTATAAAGGATTTATACTCTATCGAGTGGATTCTTACAAAATATGGACGATCTTTTGAATTTTGTATGCAGAAACTGCCATAACGTGTTACGCATCATTTGATGTAGTTTCTCATCATCTATTGTTTGATCCATCTGATTCTTGTACAATTTTCTCTACTGCGGTCATTATACCATTTATATGTTGGATTTACAGCTTTGTTGTTGCTCTACGTTTCTCCTAATTTCGTTCTGGATTCTTTGGATCTGAAGCCTCATTCGACGAAATTTGTACTACGAGAAACATACAAAATAACAATTATTATTACAATAAATAATTTTTATTCTGATATACATAATTAAAAAAAAAGATTGCATATGATTTTAATTCATGGAAATATTTTCTGATATAAACTTTATATTATGCTCGATTATTAATAAAAATACAATAAAACGTACTAAAAATTACATATTTAATGTATGATATTTTACCAATATGATTATCTTAACATGCGAAAATTTTTCATTTCAATGACAATTTGAACAATCAAAACGAACATTTTATGATAAAGTACTGAAAGCAACAACCGCAAATATCGAACTTTCCTCATAATAACATTTTTTATATCTAATTTCACATATCTTTATCGGTATACTACCTGACAACTAAGATGCTTGGGAAGGCTTCAATAATAATAATAATTCACAAAAGAAATATTGTAACATAATAACAAGCTACAAAACTTATTGTATTGAACATTTTCGACTTAACTTATTACCATAATTGTGAATTACTTTAATTCAATGATTTTATATTTGTTTTTTAAATAAGATATTACTAAGAAATTAACAGTAATAATATCGATTAAAGTAATTTCTGAAAAATCTAATAATTGCTCAAACAACATTTACAATAATTTTCTTCATTTTATTAATGCAAGTGAATTATAACAATTGTTGTATTATTTTATGCTTATAATAAATATCCATCAATCGTTTAATTATATTAATATAAATATTTCTTCAAAGATATCGTTTCATCGAAAAAATTTAAAGCGTTTAATTACAATATTTGTTGCAATAAATGATATCACGCGTTATCTTTCAAGAAAAATGAAGATAACAATTTATAAATATCTAAGCTGTGGAATAATAACAATATAATCCGCGTCTGTATGAAGGCATCGGCAAAGTAGGTTAATTTCGCTTTTACACGAACTTAAAAAATAATTTTGATAATGTATCGAGTCCACTTTTAGTCACATTTTTAATATGCGTGTACCGACTAATCGAAATAATTCAAGAGCTACTTTGTGTCATATGACATTATTAATTTATCTTATCTTATACCCATACATATAGAAAATTTAGAAATTCGAAAAATTGAACATCTAGGACAAAAATGAATTATAAAAAATTAATTGACTAATAAATTCAGTTAAAGTGTCTTTCTAATAAATAATATGTCATCACTTAATTAATTAATCGTCTGTGTTTACGTATATACAAGTAAAAATTTGACAGTTCGATCATATAAAATTTCAAATGAATAAATATTTTGCATATACACTCGTTCAAAACTAACAACATTTATTAGCCGCGATATTTTAACAAAATTAAATTTAACATTGCATTATAAATTATAATAAACAAATTGTTATATACTCTGTTGTATATATTTTTGCAAACATGAAATTTAATATCTTGTTCATTCATTTCTCAGAAATTTTGCACACACGATATTCTAAACCGGCGTGCATGGTTACGCACACGATAGATTTGCGCTCTATGCGTACACTACACGCGCACGACACGTGTATTTGTAATTAAAGGTGTAGGTAACACTAAATAATATACAAGCAAACATCGACAGATAATATCATAATTCAAAGTTTCAAAATGAAACATTGAAATTCATGGTAAAATGAAATTTCGAATGGAAATAAACATCAGGTAGAGCATACCCATAAGAGAGCCGATAAGAACAGAGACAGCGATAGAGAATCCTCGCAGAATTTAGAGAATTCCTTGATGTTTCTGTATGCGGTTGTTATCTTAGTCGACTCATTGTCCAGCCATAAAGTTACTGAATTTGCACGCTCAATTAGTCACTGATAGGGTCACAAGAGACCTACGACGAGACACTATCGTACCTCGTAACGATATAACACGTACATATGTAAAGAAAGCACGCATGATGTTCATATGCAGTCATGTATAAATTTCATACACGAGATTTTTCTTCTTTTTCGTCGTCACTTTGTTGTTGCTATACCGTGATATCACCACAGAGAACTGGTAGTAACAGGTTTGGGAGTTTGTGTATTTTCGTGAATGACAAACACTAGTATAAGGACGTAAAATTGAAGGTAGCAAAGAACGAGAGAGTGCGTGCGTAAAGAGAAAAGAAAGATAGGAGTAATTGACGAAAGAATCGAGGAGATATACGTTGACACAAGTTGGCATTTAATTCCGGGGACCCGTAGTTTTCTCTTTTTCATAAGCCGAAAGGTACGAAAATAACGAATAAAGCGTACAAACGGAGGCGCTAGTTTCGCAATGTATGCCTTACACCTTACACCGTTCTGTTCACCCGATTCTTCTCGATTCTTTCTCTTTTACTCGAGTTCACGTCACGCGATTTGCCTCTGTCTCTGACTCTTTCCTTCTTTCATACGAGAACTTCTCCTGCAACCCCGCCTCGTTTCGTGACGAACGACCGGCGCCGCCTGACGACCGTAGCTCGCGTCGCGACGCTCTCGTGGCGCCGTCATGCGGTTACCCTCCCTGATGTTACCACTTCTAGACATAAGAAGAGTTCCGTTGAGTTGAGGTGGGATAATTTGTTGCGCTCGTATTTTCATTCACATCGTTATTTCGAATATACATACGCATACGCGTTGTTCTACTTGATTAAATCGTCATTGCATTCCTCGCAACCTTATTATTACGTGTATTATTATGTTAATCCTACATTACTATTAGACTGTGGATTTTTATGCATTTATACAAAATTTGAAAGTGCGAAATTACACAGAATGCACATAATATGAAAAAATATATAAAATATTCAAAGCACTTTGTATAGTACTCTGTAGGTAAAACAATTTCTTACCGATCTTCTGTATTTTTAATTATATTTTTAATAATATGGATTTTGCATAAAAATCCCCGGTTTAATTATTATGAATATATACACTTTTTTCTTGAGCTTTTCATCATTAAAGATGTAAATATTACTAATTTTTTTGTATATATGTAATTTTATCTTACTAAAAATATGAATTTAAAAATTATTTTCTTTAGCGTATTATTTTATAACTCATTAGCTGTACACGCTTATGAGATTTACTTTATAACTACTTAAAATATAGTATGCAAGACGCACGTAAATTAGGAACTATAGAAATGCATGTGGTGTATGTATACGTCATTGATTAAATATGCAATATGCCATGATTATTAGTGTATGTGTATCATACACATTCTTACATTACTAAATGTCGTATATTTGTTAATTAACTTGAATCTGTACTATTAGGTGTGTAATCGTTGATATGAATGGTTAAACTCTTACGCATATCTTTAAATATCACGGTTATCTACAAATTCAATATTACGACTGAAGTTTTCAATTATTAATTTTGATATCAATTGTAACGTGCTCTTAAAATTCTCTTTATACGAAAATTAAAATTTATCACAATTATAATATAAACAATAAATTTATAATAAATAATCACATACTAATAACCTTATAATACCAGGCTTATATGTATATATATAATTGTGTATTTGTGTTGTACATTATATTTGTTAAAAACAAAGAATTTATAAGGCATAACCTTCGACAGCAAGTTGTTAAGTTTCAAGTCTAATGTGACCTGAAAGTCCTTTGGGGACTGGTACACATGATGTTTCACGAAATACTCATACTTTATTTAAAAGGAAATCGACCGAGAATGACTAGCTTCTAAGTTTTTCATGAGTTATATCACGGATGTATGTAGGTCCGTGATCACGTAATAGATAATAGAACAGACGATAACATACTATTATGTATAATAACAATCATATTATAATAGCAATTTTCGATATCGAAATTGTTAAATAAATTTTATATTAGCTTGATAGGAAATTATCGATTTTCTATCGAAAGCAATCGATTAATTTTCGTCATTAAACCAATTTCTTATACAAGGTATCAAGCTCACGATCTATCTATAATTATATAAAAACATTGGTTTATGTACTTACCGAATGAATTTAAATATAAAGAGTTAGATGACCATTACAACAAAGCAGTGTCGTTAACATGAATTTTAACTTCTTTTCCATTAGTTTTTTTTTAAATATAATCTGCACTATTTTATGATATTTAATAAAATTTTGTTTGTAATTTATCTGTTTGAGGTTGAGTTCTTCTTTTAGCCTTGTACGACCAGTCTAGTTGCCAAGTTACAATAATGCCAAAATAAACTCAGAAGTGCGAAACTTCGGTTGACATAAATTCTTAACCGTGATAAGCACGTTATGTATGCACAAGGGGCGGTTGTCAATCATAGAGGAACAAAAGGTGTTTCCCTTTTTTCACATCGGTTTTATTATACTATTAAAGAAGCAATGAACGTAAGTTCATTTTCTAAGTATTGAAAGTCAATAACAGAAACGTTTCAATAGTATTCATTCGTGATTTGCGTTACGTGATTTAACAATAAATGTTGAATCATTGGACCTCCGCAATGTGAATATGAGATAACAACACAATTTCATTGGTGCGCGTGCAAACGTATAGGTGAGTTACTATTTAAGTGCTATCAGTACCCAGAAACTAATCTGTAAGATAAAAGGAAGGTAACATCGTTCAATTTTCACAGAAGTTAGATTTCCTGCAATTATGTAATACTTCTTTATTTTATTAGCATTCATCATTCATCATTATGAAAGCAAAAATTGTTGCTTTATATTTTCTGTATTATATATAATTTATATTTGATATTAAAATTGATCTAAAGACTTAAAAAAATAGAATTATTATATATACCCATCATTTATGGAAGTTAATTTTATATGTAAGTATAATTAACATCGAACGATCGGATATTCTTACATAAGTTAATCTAATTTAATCCTCTTAATTTAACCTTCAACTCTTTATAATTACGTTGAACGACAAACTTTTAAATTTATTTCCTTTTTTCTTTGTACGCACGCGTTTTGTCTGACTGGATGTTTTGATATGTATTGAGAAATTTGTAAGAAATATTTATTTATTTGTTTACTTCATAAATTTGTGTTAATTTTCATTACTTATGCATTATTTATGATTATACATGTAATAATTTTTTCTTCTAATCTAAAATTCCTATCGTAGTTAAATTTTAACATTATACAATAAAATGTTTCATATATTAAATTTTCTACCAAATAAATTTTATTAGATCTGAAATATCCTATTTATCAATTAGCAAAATATGCAAAGATATTATAAAACATTTGCTATGGTTACTATGTTACAAAATGGTAATATTTCCAGTAAACAATAAGCTATTCGTATGGCCTTATGAATAATGATTCAGATATTATGCTTCGTATAACTTACTATTAAAATTTAGTAATACAGTGTGTGATCGGTCTAGATTTTCCTTAGCTTCAAAAGACACTGAATCGGCTATGCGTGTCGAGGGTATAACCGTGACGACATGATACATAGATTCTCAAGGTACAATGCACAGTGTATAATGTGTGTCACAATGAAAAACCACTAGTTAATATTTTTTGCTGCTAATTGACTACATATCGGTTATTCGCAGACTTGTATGCTATGATATATACAATCATGATAAGCATAAGTACAAAAAAGATGATATTATGATCCGTAGAATGCACATACATATATCTGTAAGTACATATACATATACAGTGGTCACAAGAAGTATTTACATACACTCCAATTTTCCACTGAAGTACTTTTTTATTAGGTTGTGAATTTCATTTTTATAGTATTATATCCTTATCGTAATATAAAAATACTAGTAAATGATGTAAAATTTAATACGCTTGAATTTAATTAATTATAGTACGTAAATGTTATAATAAATACAACAGTATGTCAAGTCGATGTAAGTCGACTTGAATTTTTTTAAATATTAACAGCCTTAATAAGTCATGAATATCTTCCAAGAATCTCTATGAATTTTCTATTTCCTATTTAGTAAATAATAATCAATTAAGTAATCACGAATAGATTCATTTATTTCAAATCTTTCTGAGAAATCCGTGAATTAATATTTATTGTATGCAAAAACGGAATCATACAGTGAATTCATGATGCTAATTTTGTAACACACTCATCGAAGTATCGTACAAAAATAGTTTCATTCATTCGTCGTACTATTATGTCACAAACTTTCGTTTGTAAGCCAAAGAAGTTGTCAGAAAAATGCAAGGTTTATTTTAAATTACTTCCGCAATGAATTAACACAATATCCGATATATATACATAACATCACATAAAAACATCTGTAATTTCACATATACAATATGCATGTATGTTGCTTAGATTTTAATCAGTTTCATTTATATGTGTTCGATAATAACTAATATAAAAAAAAGAATGCAATATATATATATGTGTGTGTGTATTAGAAATTATACTACAATTAGAGTAATTTTTAAGTTTTATGATAATATATGTAACAGGGAAATAAAAATTATTAGTAAACATTTGTACCAGTAATAAAATACGTGAAACTATTAACGGAACAAAGTTAAAACAAACTTAGATATATCTTTTAGAAATTTTTGTTCATTTTTACGTATATATTAATAACAAACTTAAAAATATTAATATAATTAATTTCTCTAAATAAACTTAGGTTACACATATCAACCTTTAATGTAATTAAATTAAGTTATAATGTAAAACAGTAAATAATGCATTTTTCATTGACTTTCATTAGTACATGAAATTCAGAAAATTACAGAAGTACATTGTATATATTTCACACAATCCACATTTATATGAGAGTGATCTTAAATTTATAAGTATATGACATTCAAATATTACTAGTCGGCAGCCAATAGCCGCATCCGCAACAACCACATTTTATTTACGTTTATTGCCTCGTCTCGTAAGACATAGTGTATGTCATATTTTAAATTTTCTGGTCATTTTCAAATTCGAGTATGATAATATTTAATGTTACTAATCTTATTACAATTATTTAAAAATTCATTTGCTCATTTATTAAACTTTCTAATTAGCTTAATATGTATATTACCATAATTATAAATAATAAACTAGTAAATCACGTCTAGTACATCATTGTTACACTATTCATATGAGGTTAGTCGTGTTTTCGTGTTTTAAGGATTAGTAAATATGTCTTTAAGAGAGATTTAAACATTATTTTAATAGTGATTATACAATATAATAATTCTATTACCTTGATTTACCAAAATCATGAAAGTTACTATGTTCAATGAAAATGATTGTATACTCTTAGTTGGAGAAGGCAATTTTTCATTTTCTGTTGCACTGTTCCATCTCAATTTAAAAATTAATATTACTGCAACATGTTACGAAGCTAATGTTGATCAAGAGCTTGGAAAGAAAAACATAGAATATTTAAAAAGTAATGGTTGGTATTTTTTTTGGAAAAGATTAATATTTTTTCTTTATATTCATTAATATAATTAATTATAATAAAAATTCTATGCTTTTCTTTTCAGGAGTTTGTGTATTATTAGGTGTTGATGCAATAAATTTAAAAGAACATCCAATATTAAAAACAAAATTATTTAACAAAATTATTTTTAACTTCCCTCATGTTGGTGGTAAAATGCGAATAGAAAAAAATAGGGAATTATTAAGACAATTCTTTATAAGTGCATCAGAAATATTAAAAAGCAATGGTCAAGTATTAGTTACTCTATGCAATGGTCAGGGTGGTACAGCTATTGACAACCCACCAAGACGTTGGGATGATTCATGGAAAATCATAGAAATGGCAGCACATGGAAATTTTGTACTAATAGCAATTGAACCATTTGTATGGTCATCTTTTCAAAGTTATATAGTAACTGGATATCGCAGTTTGGACAAACAATTTCATTCTGCTGGGGCTTTAACTCACATATTTATAAAATCTAAACCACCAACTGCTAAGAACATTGCACCTAAAAAGAAAATAAACATTCTAGAATGCAATAGTAATAATTTTTCATGGAAAGATATAAGTCAAATTACAAACATATCGCATATAAATGCAACTAATATAGATACTCGTACATATGCATTTGATATAACTTTTGGTGTTAAGGAAGAATTTAATCCAATTAAATTTTATGTTTTATTATATAATCATGCAGGACATATTATAAATGATGTTAATTTCTTAAAGTTATATGAATCAGAAGGAAAAGTAGAAAAAAGAACTTATAGAATAAGTTATAAATCTAACCATTTACCTTTATATAGAGAAAGAGTTATTAATATACACCAAAATTTAATAACAAATATTTTGGAAAATAATTTAAATGTTGTGGTTGGAAGATAATGTTATTACATATGTGCAATGTACACATATAAAAAGTACAAATCAATGTAATACATAATTTAATAAATTCCTATTTGTTTACATTTAAAATTGTGATTTTATTTTCAGATGTATTACATTCATCAAATAAGAAATCTAATTTTACATAACAATTGTTGGAAACGAAGTATTTTGTATACTGTTGCAATAAATATTAAAGAATGTAAAGATATAAATAAAAACATATTTAAATCATTTTGTACTTTTAAAAGATTTATAGAACAAAAGAATGTTCCCAAACCATTACGTAGTATAAAACCAAGAGCAAAGAATGATGCAGATAGAAGTATCCTTGATTTGAAGCAAGTATGAAGTTAAATAATTTTTCTTTAATTTGTGCTTAATATTTAAAAATATTTACCTACATCAATATTTAGGTAAGAACAATTGGAGGAAAAGGTGGAGATGGAGAAATATCTTTTTTACAATTATGGTCAAATGAGAATGCTGGGCCAGATGGTGGAGATGGGGGACATGGTGGTCATATAATTTTTGAGGTAAAAATTGAATAATTTGTTAAAACAGATTGAAGATTAATAGAATTGATAATATTTGAAATATTTGAAATATGTATACTTCAAATGTTGCAGACATCATTGTATGTCAAAGACCTTTCACATATAAGTTCTGTTCTCAAAGCTGAAGATGGAGAAAAAGGCTATAACAAAAGTTGTTTTGGAAAAAATGCCAAGCATACTGTAGTACCTGTTCCTATAGGTACCATAATACGCAATATGAAAGGAAGCATAATAGCTGACTTAAGTCAAGAAGGAATGATGTTTATTGCTGCACGAGGTGGTGCTGGTGGTCATGGGAATGCATTTTTTAAATCAGATGTACAACAATCTCCATGTATAAGTGAATATGGTGCAGATGGAGAAGATTTACAGTATGTGTTAGAAATAAGTAGTATGGCACATGTAGGATTAGTAAGTAAAAATTATATTAATATTCTGATTAATCTCTTAAAATTTAGTTAAAAGCTAACAATTCAAATGTTTGTATTAGATTGGATTTCCAAATGCAGGTAAAAGTACATTACTCAGGACAATATCTAGAGCTAGACCAAAAGTTGCAGCATATCAATTTACGACATTGAAACCTCATTTAGGAATCATATTGTATGATGATTATGAGCAAGTTACAGGTTGGTAACACAATGTAATCAATTAATCAATATTTCTTTTTTATTATTCTTTTAATAATAAATTTGTTAATTCCCAAGTGGCTGATTTACCTGGTCTTATACCTGACTCTCATAAAAATAGAGGACTTGGCATACAATTTCTTAAACATGCAGAACGTTGTAAGGTTTTATTATTTATTCTCGATGTTGCCTCTGATGAACCATGGAGAGATTTTGAAACTTTAAAATACGAAATCGCAGAATTCAATGTACGACTAAATAAACGATTATATCTCATTGCAGCAAATAAGATAGATTTACCAGGAGCAATGGTTAGATATTGTTTTCTCTAATTAATATTATTTAAAAAATTAATATTACCATAATATAGCTAACTATATAATTATAGGAAAAATTGGAAATACTCAAACAAAAGATTAATTTACCAATTATTCCAATTTCTGCTAAAATGGGTACAAATATATCCACTTTATTAAGAGAAATAAGAATACTATATGACAAGGAAGAAGAAGAGAGTAAGAAGGAAAATGTATTGTAGTACAAAAAATATTTTGATTAATTATATTATATATTTATAATAATTTGTTAATAGAAATCACTTATAAAAACCATTTGTTTCAAAAACAATATTTAATATCAATTAACAGATTTTTCACAAATCTTAAAATTTTTTATCATACTAGCTACTTCCGACTGATTTAAGATAGTGAAAAACCATCTATTTAGATTTGTATACTGCTTTCTAGATGCCGGATCTAATACATGTTCGTACAACGGCATTAAGGCAGTGAAAACAGCAATATCTGCAAGACTAATTCGTTCTCCCACTAAATAAGTTTTTGTCAATAGTATATTATTTAGTTTCTTTAAAGAAGATAGAACATCTTCTTTAGATGTTTTAATATTTGTCTTCACATTATTTGGAACATTTTTTGAAAGACATGGCACAATCCATCCAAGTACTGCTGGCAAAATATGATTATCTGCATAACTTAACCATTGTAAAACTTCACTGAATGTAAAAGCATTACTCGAACATCTTAATTGATCACTGGATAAATAAAACGCGATCGCATTGCTATCAGACAACACAACACCATTTCCTTCTAGCTTAATACATTTTGATGTGTCATCATTTTTATGTTGTGATGTAGTTAATTCTATATTGCTATATTTAGCGACTATTTGAGTACGATAATATTTAATACTTCCAATATCACTGGAAAGTACCAATTTCTTTTTTAAAGTTTTAGAACATACAGATTTTTCGCTACTTTTCAATTGATCATGATTTTCATTTACAATATCTTCTGAAAACATGTTTTAAGTTCAGATACTTTCAGTTTATATGACATATTAATGTTGATGTATAGTAAATTAGATCCTACCTACTATTCCAAGCTTCGAGTTAGCAAAATTTTTAGCAGTGTGTACCAACTTAGTTACGCATGATATATTCGTACCCGAAGCCTGAGCAGATTCAGATTTTCCACCACCTTTTCCTTCCATGAGTGAAGCAATTTCTTGAATCCATTCATTTGCTTTTAATCCTTTATTTATAGCAGACTATTGTATTTTATAAAACATAATAAAAGTATTATTTTTATATTAATTAGCTTATTTGGCTACACGCATCTGATCTTACCTTAGATACTGTGCTAAGAGCAAAAATTTTTTTAGCATCAGGGTCGACACTTATAAGTAATGCACTTGTCTCTGGAGATATAGCTTTTATTTTTTTAAGGGCTGAATCTAAAGCTTTTGTATTACTATATGCTTGTAATACTTCAACTAGTACTAAACATCCAATATTTTGTTGAATTATTTCTTGAATGGTATCTACTACTGCATTGACTATTGCGATTTTAGCTACACGCTCTTTATCGTCGAGTGCCTTTCTTAAATCTTTTAACATTTTACGCATTTTATCCTATATTTAAATAAACACGTTTATGATGGTTACAAAATGAACTATACAAAAATGTATGTGCATGTATAAAATGTACCTTTTTCCAGCTTGAAATAGTAGCATGTGAAACATCATCTGTTAATTCAACTATTTCTTTTATGTGTTCTTTTATATTTACACCATCTTTATCAGCTACTATAGTTGCTTGAAGTTGGTCTAAATGATTTTGTAATATAGATGCTTTCTTCTGAGCTTTTGTTGCTTCAGGGCCTGTTAGAGCTACTATACGCCTAATACCTTTAGCAATAGCCTCTTCACTGGCTATAACAAAATCTCCAATATGTTCTGTATAATGTAAATGCCTAAAAAAAATTAAAACTATATAATTAAAAACTGTTTACGACCTTTATTGTACATTATTGAAAATATTAAATATATTTACGTTCCACCACAAAATTCTACGCTAGTTTGTAATGCAGCACTACTTAAAGGATCTTTTTCTAAGTCCTCAACTGGTATACCAATACTAACAACTCTTACAGGATCAGGATATGTTTCTTCAAACATAGCACGTAATCCTTGAATAGTTTTTGCTAGTGCTAAATTACTTTCTTTAGCATAGATCTTTTTATTTCCTTTTATCATATTACTTGTAATTTCCTCTACCTTTCTTACTTGTTCTGCAGTCATTGCTCCTATAAAAAGAGATGTTTAGAATATATGTATAGATTTTTTTAAGCATTTTGAAATATATTTTACATTCTGTGTGGTCTTTATTACTATTTTTTAACAAACCTTTATTTGTAAAATCAAAACGAAGACGGTCAGGTGCAACTAAAGAACCCTTCTGATCAACTTCTGTGCCTAACACTTTGCGAAGAGCATGATTAAGAGCATGAGTTGCAGTATGATTGCTCATTATAAGTCTCCTTCGTGTAGTATCTATGTTCAAAAAAACTTTATCGCCTTTTTTCAATTTTCCTTGACCTACAGTTCCAATGTGTAAAACGTAACCACCTCTTATTTGAACATTTTTTATACGAACTTCGGTATCCTAGAAAAATGAAGATAGTTATCTTTAACAATTATGCGTAAATACACGTAAATTTAAGTACGGTATTTATTTACGTCATCATCGATCTTCACTAAAAATCCTTCATCGTATATTTGTCCACCCTGTTCTGCATAGAAGTTAGTTTGATCTAACAAAATCCCAACTTCTTCTCCTGATGATACTTCATCGACGAAAGTCTTTGCACGTCTAACAGCAATAACAGTACCAGTACATGGAACAAATTCATATTCTTCATATAATTTATTATTTACGACTTTGTAATTATATTTTGGCAAGTCGTTTGTTGGTTTAATTCCTTTATTTTGTAATTCAGTAATTGCATGAACATCCAAATTAATTTGATCATCTACTCCACCACTTTTACTTTGGGAAATAAGCTGAGATAAATTAAATAATTATAATTACTTTACCAATAATACATTCTGAATCATTGCTGCAAAGTGCTTGACATATCTAGTACCTGAGCTTGCTTTTTTGCTTCTTCGTAGCCGATTATATCTACTTTTAAACCTTTCTCTTCAGCCATAAGTTGTGTTAAATCAACCGGAAAACCATATGTGTCGTATAGACGCCATGCAACATCACCTGGGAGAACATTTGATGATCCTAATTTTGCTATAGTACGATTTAATAAATTACGACCACGCGATAAAGTCTTGAGAAATTGAATTTCTTCTTCATTAATAACATCAATTATATACTGTGGGTCTTTTTTCACTTCTGGAAAGATATCACCTATATTCCCATAAAAAAGTAATTTTTAATATAAAATATATCATAAATAATATAAAAGACTTAAAAATCAAGCTGAAGGTACTTACCAAGAATATTTACCACAACATTCACCAATGACCCAAAAAAACCAGGTTTAGCATTCAATTTTTCAGTTGCATAACGTACAGCACGCCTCAAAATTCTTCTTAGCACATATCTAAAGTTTCATTAATGATACAATTTATATGTTGGAATATAATCAAAATACGTAATTTAAGAAGACATGAATATATAAATTTAATAAAACACACCCTCTACCAGTATTGTCAGGTACACCTCCATCTGCAAGAGCAATTGTAATAGTTCTTGCATGATCAGCCAAAACTCTATATGCCATATCTATTCCATCTTCATCTTCCATGCCTACCCTTCCTCGATAAGGTGGTGCTCCGGTACCTTCTTGTATTGCATCAAAAAGTGGTACAAATAAATCTGTATCATAATTTGCTCTTTTATTTTGTATAACTGACACTAATCTTTCTAAACCCAGACCACAATCAATGTGTCTTTTTGGTAACAGTTTCAAACTTCCATCAGTTTCTCTAAAATATTATATAACATTAGAGAAATAAAGCTTACTTTTATTATTATAAGTTACTTACCTATTAAATTGTATAAATACAAGATTCCAAATCTCCAAAACATCTGGATCATCTTGATTTACTAAATCAGCTGCTTCCCTATTGCCAATACGATCATAATGGATTTCACTACAAGGTCCACATGGGCCTGTTTCTCCCATTTCCCAGAAATTATCTTTCATATTTCCTGGTAAAACATGACTAGGAGATACACTGAGAAAGTAAAATAAGTGTTTATAATGTCCTTTTATAAAAGCTATGGTAGTAATAATTGATACAATAAAAACTAAATATAATAATACTACTACTAAATATTAAGAACTAAATATAATAAATATCTAATTACCCTAAAGAAAGCCAGATTTGTTTGCATTCTTCATCAGATTTTAAATTATTTTTTTCATCGCCTCCAAAATAAGTTACATACAGTCGATCTGCTGATAACTTTAATTTAACAGTTAGAAATTCCCAAGCCCAAGTACAAATCTCTTTCTAAAGAATCAGTCATATATGTAGAAATTGCAATAACTATTTTTCAATAAATCATGCATTACATAATTAGTGTATTACTTTAAAATAATCTCCAAAAGACCAATTACCCATCATTTCAAAAAATGTATGATGGTAAACATCTTTTCCAACATCATCTAGATCATTATGTTTTCCTCCAGCTCTAATACATTTTTGACTGTTAACAGCTCTCATTAGCTTTGCCATATCGCTATTAGGATCCACTGTTCCCAGAAATATTGGTTTAAACTAAAAATGATCAAAATAAACAAATGAATGAAAGATATATTTTAACAACTGGAGATAATAATATCTTTATTAAATATATTATACCTGGTTCATTCCAGCATTTGTAAATAATAATGTAGGATCATCATGTGGTATTGTAGAACTGGAATGCACGTATTCATGATTCTTACTTTTAAAAAAATCAATATAAGCTTGGCGAATTTGCTTAGCACTCATCATTGCAGTCATACTGATCTATTCTTTCCCACCTCTTTATTTCTATTTCTTCACTTCTACTTCTAAAATTAAATAATATATAATACTCATAAAGTAATTTGAACATATGGAGACAGTTTATATTGTTTATTTAAATAAAGCAAAATATTCAAGTAATAAATATTAATTAAAAAACTAAAATTTGTATTGACATCGTAATATTATAAGATTATGAAATATAAACAGGGGGCACAATCTATAAACTTACTCGAGACTAAATACGGAAGTTTATATCAAAGCAGCGAGCTTTACAAAAACTGGAGATAAGGATTTCAAAAGAGAAAGGAAAAGATATTTGCAACATATGTGAGTCGTACCGGCACTAGATTGTATTATAACCGTAACTTCAGTTCTTTGACTGCATTAACGGTCAAATCATCCCACAACCGCATATACATAGTATATATACCAATGAATGATAAGACTACACATAAACATACAAATAAAGATACATAACCAAAAAATTTTTTAGATTGTATCATCGTAATATTCATATACATGATTTAAAGAAGGACTTATAAAATATTACTATAGTAGCAGAGTAAACATTATCAACCTTTCTTAAGGAACGGTAAACGTAAATCAAAAATACTGTTCTTATTAAAAATATTTATTAATTGTATATTTAAACTATTTCATATTTCGTACTTAAATGGAATGTAAAATATTAATAAAATAATTATATCTAAAACTATTTTATTTTAGGTCATATTTAATGTATCAGCATATAAAAGAGAGGCAATAAAGGATTAAGTTATTGTTTCACACGTGTTTAATTAACAAGTAATAAAAATGCCGTTTATGATTGGTAGAGCACCTATACGAAGAACATTAAACTATTTAAATTCTGGCAAATTAATTTTAAAAGATGAAATACAAATATTTTCTGTTAATTATAATACACACGGAGAACATCATGATGGCGCTAGGTAAGTCTTACATTATTTTCATAAAACTATATGGAAAATAGTTAAAATATTTATAACAAGTCTGATTTATATTTAGACGGTTTGTATTTTGGCATTTATCACAACTCCAATATAAAAATCCAAATGTGCAAATTATCACTTTTAGAAATATGACACCGACACCTTTTATAAAATGTTATTATGGTATGTTATGTGGTAAAAATTTTTATATATAAATACACATATATAGCTTTAATTAAAATTATTTGAATGTCAGTTTAAAAATAATAATTTAATAGTTTTTTTGTAGTGTATATTTTTAGGTGAATTTTTTATTCTAACATTAAAAAATATATAGATATTAATAAACATATTTCATATTTTTAAAAATATTAGATTTAAGAAATGATCTTTTCTTAATTTTATACAGAGAATGGAAACACTATGTTAATCGATATAGATGGCAAATCTAAGGAAGATATATTACATCATCTTCAAAATGTAATTTGTAAATCACTGAAAGTTCAGGAGGAAGAAAGTACATTGAAAAAGAAGATAGATAATTCTGCTAATTTTGGCGTTGGCTGTCCTAGAAGCTGTATATGTGTAATACCTGGTCAAATACCATGTCCTGCTATAGTACCTCTGCCATATCACATGCGTGGAAAATATATAAGAAAGCAAAATACAGGGGAAATATAATTTTGCTTTAATGAGTGCATTATGGTTAAAACAAAACTTACTATAGCAAAAAAAACATTTAGTATCATGTTTATTTAATTTTGGTAATTAATAGCTTTTTGTTTCTAGTTACTTAATATTAAATAAAAAATGATCATGTTTTGCATTACAATAAAATATGTATTTAAAGTATATATTTGTTTATTATATAAAAAGATATTATAGATTATGAAAATACGTGTACATTGATGTACATATTAAGCATTACATTGTTAGTGAATTAAGATACTTCTGTATCTAATGTGCAATCGCGTCACTGTAGGAATCATGTTGATAGTAAAAAAGAGATTAAAAAAGACTAACTAAAAAATATAAGACTTTATAATAAAAAAAATTGACTTAATACAGAGACATTACTTAAAGAGAAATTATAAATAATATAAATATGCCAACTATACGCAGTCATGGAACAAATGTTGATTAATAAAAATGAATTGATTATCTTTAATTATAACACTATAAATGAAAAAAAATAATTTAAATTATCTTCTTGGTTTATGACGATTATATGGCTTAATATTGTGATAATGATTGCTTCGATTATGATAACGGGTTGACGTGGACGGTTTTGGATTTTCTGGCTTTTGATACAATTGTATTACAGGTGATCCATTTAAAGGCTTATTCAATTCAAATTCTTCTTCCGATTCTTTCATCAGTTTCAATTTTGCTTCTATAGCTTGAATTGCTGTTTCACGACTATTAAGAAAATTATAGTAACATTTAATAATAGACATTAAAATATACTTTCATCTTAATATATTTATAAACATAAACTTACCTAATTCTTTTATCTTCTTTCTTAGCTCCAGCTAAAGCAGGTATATCTATTTTTGGTTTTGGCTTATCCATATCAGACTTAAAAAGAAGATTTTGCTGTTAATATTGTAATATTCAGTTTACAACACAATGTTAATTTATTGATGTAAACTTAACATGCTTAAAGATTTTAGTATCTTTTTTTTAGCAAGAAACTTGTAAAGATCAATATTTCAATAGCACTATTTTAATAATTACCTCTGTCACACTGTGTGCCCATCTCACAATGATGTTTTTTGATCCTACTTTTAAATTATGTAAAGCATCTTTGGCTGTTTTAGCATCTTGAATAGTTTTGTACGTAACAAATGCATAACCTCTAGGTTGACCAGCTTGTGGACCTGATCGATGAAACAAGAGGTCGAACTTTTCGATCGTTCCATGTCTTTGGACAAGTTTTAGGAGTTGGTACCAGTTAACAGATAAAGAGTTAGTTTTTTCAGATATTTTCATCACACAAAAAAATTATATTACTTTCAAATAATAAAACTATCATGTTAAGAAAGTATGGTTTGATTAATCTGAGTAAATACTTACTCATTAATCCTTAAATCTAAATTGCCCACCCACAATCTCCTATCTTCCACATGATTTGATTTTATAGGTTCTAATGGCAAAGGAACTTTGGTAACTGGCTAAAAATAAATAAAATTGTGATTATTAAAATACTATCATACATATACTCCAAATTACTTAATTAAACTGAAGTGTAATAGCATAACCTATTTACAATTTGAGAAATCAGTTTTACCTCCATATTCATAGTGTCTTAAAAGATATTACATTAATCGAAGAAACCTTAATCGCCGATATTGACTTCGAAATGTATTTTTCTGTAAAATTGGGCATTAGACCTCAAGTATTTATATGAAATCGTACAAATGCATCGACAACACATACATTCGCTTTACGGCAGTTTAGCAAAATTGTTCATCTCTACGGATGATAGTTACAAGTATTACGAGATATTTATTTGCAGAATAATTGAAATATATTGTACGAATATATATCGATATTTATAGCGCATATTAAGGGCTCTATTATCTTTAACGATACTTCATCGTAGTAAATTGTTCTGTTATTTTCGAATTTAATATATGATGTTCAAGACTATTTTTAATACATATTTTCAACTATAATAATGAATGAATAAATATGACTAAAATATAGCACAAAAACATATGTGCATATCATGTTATTTATGATATGCGAATGAAGAAAATTTTGTTATTTTTAAATATATATTATAAATAGAAATAGTAAACAAACTGTAGTAGTTCTAAACATGGCGTCGTTTTTGTTAGATTACGAATGATGACAGCACGAAGTAACCGCAATATCGATTCTCGTTAAATTATATTTCTCTCTGTACAAATTCGTACAAAATACATCCCAAATGGAGAGATCAGTAACATCTGAGCAAACAGTTACTCAAATACAAACAGAAACTGTTTTAGAAACAGATATTACAGATTCTGCATCTCAGGTATGCTTAGTTCTATTATGAATACCTACGTCATTATTTCAGCCTGATAATGAATTCAACGTAATAGGAATTGTTTGAATCTAAAAAAGATAGTTTTTCATATGTCTACGGCATATCAGATACAGTACAAGTGATAAGTGTTATCAGTGCAAAAGTGTTATGTTAACAACACCACACAGTTCAATTTTTTTAGTGATCTTAGTTAATAGTTCAGTGAAATTGTATATATATTTATGGTAGTGAATAATAAAAATTCTTTGCAAAATCAACTACTATTTCTAAAAAGTATACAATGTCTGCTTTCATGTTCAAATGGATAAAAACAAAGCATCTACTTAATATATATAACATCAAAAATCAAAGGCATACATGTACAAGTATTGCAGATAATAAATCACCCTTATCTGGAATTCGTGTTTTGGATTTGACTCGAATTATTGCTGGACCATATTGTACCATGATTCTTGGTGATCTTGGTGCTGAAATCTTGAAAATTGAAAAACCAGGTAGCGGAGATGAAGCACGAAAATGGGGTCCACCATTTATAGAAGGAACTGAAGAAGCAACTTATTTTCTTTCTGTTAATAGAAACAAAAAAAGTATATGTATTGATCTCAAGGAAGGTAGAGATGTAATTTATGAATTGGCAAAAAAATCTGATGTATTAGTGGAAAATTATGTCCCAGGGAAATTAAAAAATATGGGTTTAGGGTACGAAGATATCTCTAAAGTAGCCCCTCATCTTATATACTGCTCTTTGACTGGTTATGGATATGAAGGACCTTATACAAATAGGCCAGGATACGATGTGATTGCTGCTTCTATAGGAGGCTTGTTACATATAACAGGTCCAAAAGATGGGTCACCATGTAAAGTTGGAGTAGCAGTAACTGATTTAGCAACAGGTTTATATGCCCATGGTGCGATCCTAGCAGCATTATATCAGAGAATGAAAACCAATAAAGGACAGTGGATTCAATGTAATTTACTATCAACACAAGTTGCTAGTTTAATCAACATTGGATCAAACTATTTAAATACTGGTAAAGAAGGAGTACGTTGGGGTTCAGAACATGAAAGTATTGTACCTTATGAAGCTTTTCATACAAAGGATGGTTATATGACTGTAGGAACAGGCAGTGATGCACAGTTCTTAGATTTACTTAAAAGAATGCAATTATTAAAATTATCTGAGATAGATAAGTACAAAAATAACAAAGCTAGAGTGGAAAATAGAAATGAATTATTACCTATTCTTAGAGAAAAGTTTAGAACAAAAACTAATAAAGAATGGGAAATTGTTTTTAAAGGTGCTTTATTCCCTTATGGTCCAATAAATACAATAAGACAGGTACAAAATCATAAATGTTGTGCTAAAATAACTTGAAAATAGTCTTTATACAAAAGAATTTTATAGGTTTTTGAAGATCCTCATATAAAACACATAAAATTGGTGCAAGAAATGGAACATCCTACAGGGAAGAAAATTAAAGTTGTCGGTCCTGCTGTAACATATAGTTATGCCACGAATAAAGTTCGAACTGCTCCTCCTATGATGGGCCAACATACTACTGAAATATTAAAAAATATTTTAAACTATACTGATGATAAAATACAGACCTTAAAAAAAGCCAAGATTGTGCAATAAAAAAATGTTTTTTATTTAAAAAAGATAAAAGATATTTTTTAGAATGTATTAATATATATATATAATAGCTTAATAATTTAAGCCTGAAAAAAACTTTTATGAAATAATTTAATTATATAATTTTAATATAACTATTGTTTATTATAAAATTAATGTATTCAAGTCAAAATAAATCTTCTAAAATATATTTGTAAATAAACATTTATTACAATTACACTTCTTAGCAATATGTATACATATAAATGTAGAAAATAGAAAATATTTCATTCGTTTCTGTTCTGTTTTAGGATGTACCAACTGTTCGATTATGTCTTAGAAAGCCAAGATCAAATAAGAAAGTTCAATGGACTCAAGGCACAGTGGATAATGAACATATGAATAAAAAGAAATCTAAATGTGAAATTTTGTGTTATCTAAAATTTAACACAATATTATTAACATAATTATATTCATGTATAAATGTATAATATATATGATATTGTAGGTTGTTGTATCTATGAAAAGCCAAGAAGTTTTGGTGAAAGTAGTTCTGAAGATAGTGATGATGAATGCGAACATTGTCATGGACATAAAGATGCCCACAAAAAGATTCCACGTCATAATGCAGAAACATCTAAAGAAGTATCTCCTACTCCAGGTAATTTTATCAAGTAAAATTATAAAGAAAATCATGTAAATTGTATAATATATGGAAACTGTTTATAAATTATTACACATTTTTTTGCAGAATCAGTAGTAAATGCATCTATATAAATATCTTGATGACATAAATATTTTCTTTAAATGAAAAGATATACTGTTTGAATTTGAGTTGCATAGAAAGGAAAATTAGGTGATTTTGGATATAATTTCATATGGTGTCAAATATATAATAATACGTATATTAATGTATAGTTCTATATTTTATAGGACATTCAAAATATCAAGGAAATATCAGTTCTAAATACAGTTATATTATTATTATCCCTATTACTAATGTTGATATTTTTAAATAAATATTGTAAGTTACACTTGCAATACTTATTTATATTCTTAATAATGAGAGCATTGGTAAGGCATATCATTTAAAAGAGAGAAAAGGAAAATATAAACTTTTATTAATAGCATGGTTAATCATTGTTACATGATTTAATGTTTATATAGCATATGATTGAAAATGAATTTGTCAATGATAGTGGCCATTAAATAACTCAAAAGCAAAAATATATACATTATTTCGTTGAACATAGTAGAATTAATTATAATTTTTATATTACTTAATTTAGACTATACATACCACCTTGTAGCTTCTCGATAGTTGTGAAGTAATTTAGACATGAATTGCAAAAATATTATTGAAAGTATTGTAAAAGTTTATTAATAGATTTAAAATTCTTAACGAAATAATTATAACGTTTAATATAAATTTCAACGATTCTTGAATAGTTTTTGATTATATATTGTATACCTATTACACATATATAACTTGTTCTAATATAATAATTGGACAGATATACATATATGTTAAATAATTATAACGTTTAATATAAATTTCAACGATTCTTGAATAGTTTTTGATTATATATTGTATACCTATTACACATATATCTCTTGTTCTAATATAGTAATTGAACAGATATACATATATGTTAAATATTTATGATAGGAAATAATACCTTTAAATTATTTTTTTGCTATAATAATATTTGCATATATGTATTTCTTTATGATTGAAATACCTTCATTTTGAATAGTTTTATATTACATCATAATGGGTATTAAAATGTAGATTTTATTCTAATTTAAAGTAAATTCCTAGCTGAGAATATATTAATTATAAATAGTTGTTTGTACAGTTCTGATGATACACTATTTGTACATATGTATATAAAACAATAAAAAATTTTTCATTTTTTATCTTTTTTTATAGACACAAAACTATTGTAACATTTAATTCTTTGTTACCTTTTAATGAAAACAGTGTTAGCAATTGCTAATTATACATATTAAACACTTGTGTACCATCAAAGCTTATTCTAAACTAATTTAAAGATATCAGTCAGAAAATTATTTAAACATGAAATATTGTCAATTAAAATATGTCATGAAAGTTTAGAAGAGTCTTACACTCATACTTTGTAAATGTTTAAAAATATACAACCTATCTCTGAAGGTAATTTATCCTTAAGTACATACAAAGTCAGATAGAAACTGAAAAACAGTAAAATCACACAAACAGATCAACTCTGTTATACCTAGCAGCTTTCGATTTTCTTATAAAACAAATTATAAACATTTCAATTTCAATAAACGCCATTGTAAAAGAGAAATAAATCTTTCTTCAGCTATTAAAAATATGTAATGTCGTATAAATAAAATATGTGCAATATTGTATATTATGTAGCTTAATTGTTAAAACAATATGTAAACATCTATAGATCATATTTGTAAATATGTAACCATTTATGTTCTTTATCCTAATTTCATTGAAAATAGAATTTGTAAATTCATATAGAGATATTAATATATTACAAATTGAAATAGAAGATAGAAATAATGTAATTTGATGTATCTTTTAAAACTCTAAACAGAAATTTAAATTGGGAACTTAATAGTCTTTAGTTAATCAACGTTACAACTACTTTTTCGAAACTTTCGCCTATTACGTACTTCCATACCTCTACGAAAAGAATCTTCGTTTAGTCCCAGTGAACGAACTACAGCTCGACTACGCCAAACTTTAACAGTATAGTCGTCACTAGTTGTAACTAACATTTCAGGATCACGTGGATTGAAAGCAACAGAATTAACAACATCAGAATGAGGAAACTTGGCTAAACATACTCCATAATGTCTGTCCCAGAGATAGCCATGTTTATCTTCCGCACCGCTAATAATTATAATTTAGAGTTAACAGATTAAACTCAAACGGAATAAACATTAAGATAAAATATTTTAATAAATTTACCTTGCTACATATTCATTGCACACATCAAGAAAAATAAAGAAACATTCATTGTTTGGTGTATATGCCTTATGAGCTCTTAGCATGGTACCAACTTGTTTTAATGTTACTAAATCAATTACGTGTATATCAATTTCTTGAGCTATTGGAGGAGGTTGTAATGGATTTGTAATAACATAACCTCGTGGCCATGGTCTTGTATTTACATACAAATATCTAATGACAAACATACGCAATACGTTATTTATAATAAAAAATAAAAATATATATAAATTTATACTTATAGCATAAATGACTAACCTATGATCTGGAGAAAGTCCCATTCCTATAATGTGTCCATGCAAATCAATTAAGTGATCTACTTTATCAAATTGATCAGCTACAGATTCATAATTCAACCAATTGGTAAAAAATGCGTCAGAATTCTGTCTTTCTCGTTCTCTTTCTCTTTGTGCTATTCTTTCGCGTAATGACGGTCCTGGATCTAATCGTGTAGGAAACTTTAAATTTTTTATTCTCTTGAAACCCACTTGATGCGGTGTGTAAGTTTTGGATCCAGTTGTAAAAATAAGATATTTTTCACAATTATTTGATAACTCATCATTATCACCTTCTTCCGTATTAGACGATTCTATCCGTAAAATACCATTAAATTTATACAATATTATATAAATAGTATATAAAAATATTACTATTATTAATTTGCAATAATTTTCACTTACCTCCAGATTCATTCTCTTCATCCCACTGAGAATTGTCGCTTTCTTTATCATTTTCCTGTGCTTTTTTCTCCATTTCTACTTGTCTATATTCCTGATTATATTGTATAGGATTAGCATATTCAAAACCATCACCAAGTTTCTTCCAATTCATAAATCCACCTTCCAATGTACTATATCTATTTGTACATGCTTTGCTTAATCATATCAATCGTTTTTAATACATATCTTTAAATTAAGAAATGTGTAAATGAGAAATGTATCTTGCTGAATTAGCTTACTGTAATCTGGATGATGCATGACGAAGGACAACTGGTTCTTCTTTTAAATTGTCACTAGAAGATGTAGATGAAATATCTTTATGGCTTGGTGGATTTCCCCTTTCTTCTTTAACATTGGAAGATGAAGGCTGATTTTCTTGCTCTCTAGATTCAGTTTGTTCAGGTGTTAAACAATTAGCTACCATTATTGCTCGAACTGATGAAGCATTACCATTGTAAAATCTAAAATATATAAAATATCTGTGTATATTTATGGCTAAAAAATCGTTTTCATACTATAAAAAGTTATTTGTCATGTATGATACCTAAACAGTTGTGTCATAATAGGCACATGTTCACTAGATGTCTCTTGATTTGCCTTATTAAGCCATAGGAGACTAGTACTAACTAAATGTGCCAACCAGCATAAATTTCCACTTAAAAGGTAATGTTCACTGTACCATGTTCCAAATATGTCATAAGGTTTATTTATTACTCTACACTGAAGACCAAAGCCAGCTGTGACAAACAAAATTAAATTATTACTAATAATATATTTTCTTTGTTATTAACTCTAAAATATAACTAATTTGATATCCTTACGTGCTAATCTAAATACTGCTATTTCACCCGAAGTGCTCAGAGGTGTTCCAAAGTGTACACCAGAAACAAGTAACAAAGTATCTGAAGAATTGAATTGCGAAAACTGTGTATATTTCCAACTAAATGTTTTCATATCATGAAGGTACTTTACACTAACAGGATATTGACTTTTCCAAACCTAGGATAAATTGCACAATAGATCTTACGTTTTTGAATATAAAACACAAACAGGAATTATATAATTATAAAATAGAAATAACTCACAAAGATGTATCCATCTTTCGAACAAGTGGCAAACATCTTTCCATTATGCGAGAAGCTAACATGTAAGACTTGGTGAGAATGTTCTTTAAGTACCTCCGTTTCTAACAGTGGTGTATGATACGTTAAACGTTTAAATTCTCCTAACCAAGATGTCTTCCCTACAAAATACCTAATATATTAAATTGAAAACAGAGGAATATAAATAAACATTAGTATTAAAAATGATTTCCAATTATACTGCATAATTCGTACGTTTTTATTTTTAATCCCACGAAAATCGTGTTTATTGCTATGTTGAATAATTTATAAATATACAATAAAGTTAACCTGGCATAATGCCGATGTCTGGATCTATTTTATATGTCTGATAGAGCAGATCTTTCCAAAGAAATTCGTCGCACGAAACTCTGTGCCATGATTTGCATACTTCTCCAGCGATTGTCAACTCCCTTGGCGTTAGATATTGAAAAATATTCAAGAGAATGGAATCCGGCATATAATACCAGTCCTCATTTCTTTCGGAGCTTTCGGACAAACGATTGTTTCTCTCTTCCAATTTAATCGCATCTTCATTTATATTTTCCTGATTTTGCTGTGTGACACTCTCGTCGATGTCCATATCGAAACACAGTCCTTTATTTACTAGAACAGCTGATACCTATCAGTAACACTGTTGTAATGTGAACGGTTCCGAGAACGTACGAGTTTGACCGAGATCGAAAAACGATCGCGTTCAAGCGGTATACAGCAGGGTATTTGTATGTAGGTGATATGCTTTAAAATAGTTTTAATTGCTTTAGAACCACAAGAAAGATACTTTCAATATAAAGAATGAAAGAAGTAACTTTTTGATGAAGTATTAATAATATTAAAATAATTATTAATATATAATATTTAATAGCATTAATTAACACGTTGACTGTCACGCAAATTTTATAAAGTGGCTATAAAATATATTTGTACACCACTATATTTATTATTTCATTTATATATTATTATGATTAATCAGATTAAAGTATAATAAATTTCTTATCATTTAGTACCATATTTTACGGAAAATAAGGATATGTGCCAGTACATTTCGTAGTTGTCGTATATTTTGCTTTACAATGGAGTTACAATGTGCTGCACCATAACATTTAATTTTTGCAATATATCATTATATTTGCACATTTTTTTGTTATCGTAATCATTCACATGGTTAAACATTTATTAGTCCATGAAATTGATCATGTTTTAATCATTCTAAAAAATTTAGTAATATGGATCACTGATGACCATCGTGACAGCCGACGTGTTAAAAAATGTTCTTAAAATATCTATTTTATATACATACTTATCAAAAGTCCCATCTACTTATTGCGTAAGAAAATAATAAATTGTCTCAATTAAATATAAAAGTAATCTTTGACTAAATTTTCAATGTAAATATTGCGTACCGGATGTTTGCAAATAACAAGCGTAACATAAGTTGAAATGATTGAAAATTGTTGTAATGATAATATGAAATTAAATTTTTTGACAGCATATTCTAAATCTGGCAATAGACGATACAGCTTGTATCGTTAGAAATAGGAATAAGCGTTCCATATTGTTTTCTTTTTTAAAACTGGTCCTCGAATAACTATAGTACTATAGATAACGCGCGCACGAACACACATAATGTTTTCTATAGCGAGATAATACGTAGGTAAAAATGTGAAGAATATTGGTGTATTAGGTATTTTTTAAAAATAATAGTTGAAAAATGTATATATACTTACCAAGTTGTATATGAATTATACAAGTAATAATTATATTCACAATTATATACTATTTTCATTGAATGTTAGCTATGTTGTTTCAATGTTAGCTAAAAATGAATATCAATTTTATTTCTTTACAGTAAAAAATCAATATGAGAAAATAGGTTATGTTTAAATTAAAATTATTTATCAGTAGATTAAATTACTTATAAATAGTTGATTCTCCGTATTAATAAATATTACTGGCATACAAATGTTAATGATATGAATATTAAATCACACATTGATATTTTATCAAAAATATTTTATTAAAAAAAAATTATAAATATAACCTTTTGTAATATATACTTTTTATCCTAATAAGTTCCAAAATTTCATTTACACTTTTACCACAACATCTAATTTACATGGTCTTTTACTTCATACACATAACTATGGTCTGTTATTTGTATTGTTGACGTAAATGGATTTATAAGCTAAAATTTCATTATGGAAGGCATATAAGAAAGCATTTTGTTAATTAATACAAAAGAGTTTATCACTTATACCGAATTCATAAACATACATCTTTGATGTACATCTTATGTAATACGTATGTAATGTATACACAATCGTATTTGTAAACGAATATAAAGTAAGTATACTGCTTATTTTTATTATGTTAAGAATTACTTGCTTGAGACATTAATTGGCTTTCCACTTGCATATAAAATTGTTCTCCGAACCATTCTCTGTGCATTTCTAAGTGGCTACAACATTAAAGACATAATTTTGTTAGTTGCATGAAAAAAACAAAAATATTTAAAAAATAAATAATTAAGTATATATATATACCTAAGAAACATATCCAAATATTTCACAAGGACCTTTAGCTTTTTATGTGGTATGTCTGTTAATTGAAGTAAATCTGGCAACTTAACTAAAAAAAAATTATTTATTTTGTTTTATTTTTTATTTAGAAATATTTGATGAAAATATTTTACATACCAAATAGTCGTGTTAAGTGAATGGCACCATAGTATGTGGAAGGATTTGGAGGACCTTCGGGTTTCGCAGATTCAGGCATTAATCTCCATTTGTTCGATTGTTGAAGCAAAGCATTGACTTGCGCAGATGTAACAGGTGGTATTCGTAACGTTACACCGCGTGGGCTAGAACAACGAGAACTTGTACTTGCAATACTAAAAAAAAAAGAACTCATCAATTTCGTAATCATATAAGTGATACAAAAATGATTTGTTTCCGTAAAAATTTAACTCACCTCGATAAATTTCCTGTATCTTGTTTAATTTCTTCGTATGACCTCAATTGTTTATTTTCATCCATAGAACTCACTCTGTATGATCTTAATCTTCGTTTAGAGTTTGCTATCACTTTCGACGTATCTATTTCTTGATCGTGTTCTTGAAATGGTGGTAAATGAGCGTACTCGGTATCTTCGTATTCTTCTTTAACTAAAACTTCTGAGTTTCTGAAAATTATATTAACCACAATAACTAAACTGCTTTTACAAGAAATATTTTTTGTTTTTCTCTAAAACATTTTAAATGATAAAATACGCGAGACATCCAATTATGAGAGATTACAAGAGATTTAATTTCCAATAAATTAAAATATTAAAACTTACTCAATTGGTTCTTCTTTCACAAGAGTTGGATGCTCAGTATATAAGAAAGAAGACTTTAAATTACAATATTGTTCTTGTTCTTGTCTATATAAAAGGAGATCGTGTAATGTAAAATCGAAATATATACGTAATCCATCAGCAACTTCTCTGCATATGTTTATTTCGTTAATTGTTTTCTCTATTGTATTATTCGTTTTGTTCCTTTGCGGCTTTTCTGGAATGTTTGTTAATTGTGTTGTTGTAAAGTGTTGAACCCACGATTCTAAAATATTTGCAATAGTAGGTTGTGCAGGGAGAACAGCTAGCTAAAATTCATGTTACTTTTTGTTACTTTCAAATTTTAGATTACACTTTCTCGATCGTAGTCATATTGTAATTTTTAAAAATGTGTGGAAACAATACCTTATTTTTATTAGTTATCAAGTCGTAATCTTGGTCCAAAATTCTTCTTAAAGTAGTGCCTATATCAAGATCAATTCCTGGTTTTACACTGGCACCAGATTGACTACCTCCACCACTGTCTTCATCATCGCTTGTTTCACCAACATAATCTGAACTACTTTCGGTATCTTCTTCAGTAATGACTTCCTTTAACAATGAAAATAAATATTTCTGTCAGATATAATATAAATAAATTTGTTACATATATTTGGATATATATATACAAATAATACCTCGGTATCATAATCGGCATGTTGTCCTGAACTGCCATCTTCTGATGATCCAGTTGTTGCAGATGTTGCTCTGCTACCACCACTTCTTGCCCTTCGTCTTGGTTCTTGATTTTCAGTTTCATTTAAACGTTCAGATAATTTATGACTTCTTTTCTTACGCTCCCTTCGATACAGATATGCTCCTCTGTTTGTCATTTTATTCACATATGATTAAATACAAAGAAATTTTATTATATTAAATTATTTTTCCATATAAGTGAAGTAAATATTTATTTCATTAACAAACAATTTCATACATACAATTGCAATTGTGCTTTCTGTGCTAAATCTCGTTGAAGTTGGCGATTCTCTTCTGTGTCTTTTAATACATATTCCTCTGTCACACAACGATCCCATGAAGAATTCCAACCCTATTATTTTATACAAGAATTTCATTTAAAATATAAATATAGAAGTAAGATAATATTTCACACAAGTATTTATTATTTACCTGGAAATGTATTAGATATTCAACAGCTTTACGTCCTCTTTGATCTTTGTTAACTATAACATCAAGTACCTAAAATTATACGTTATTAAATAACAAAAACTTTGTGTATTTATTGCCTTATATTTTCATAGTATACCTTAGAATCGTACAATACTTTTGCTTTCGTAGGATCAGGTTCATAACAAAGAACTTTTTCACCATCACAAAATTTAAATTTTGGCCCTCGAGTAGAAACCATTCCTTCCTACTGAATAGGTCTAAACCACAAATCTTTTTCGTAAATAATCGAGTAACAATGCGGTAACAAATTTGTATTGTTTAGACTAACATAACCTTAAACTTGTTATATTTAAATGTAAAATAACCAACCATGCAGAAATTTCTGTATCAAATCATGTAAGACCTTTTATTTAATTTTATTAATAATCATTAAATGTATTGGATTTTCACATGATATATTATAAATATCATGTAAACGAAAGTTTAAGTCTTCCGGTATTAAAATCGTTTATACAATTGTATCGTCGTAATTGTTTATATACAGCTAACCTTACTTGAGTTCAGATTTAAACACAAAGTTTCATTTGAAATAATTTTTGATCTGTGACGCATCAAACAAGGAAGTGACGAATATATGTAAAGATGGTTTATATATATTCATATTGCATGGAAACTCACCATATGTATCGATATCACATTCTTTTATATATATACATACTGCATTTTACATTAACGAGCAATCGAGATACTTCCTTTATAAGTTTACATCAATTATGAAATTATTTATCCTTGTGTACATGTATGAAGGAAAAGATCATGCAAATTATTAACTAAACTTTTAACATTAATTACAAATTATTTGTCAAATTTTGTATTATCGACATGTATATTTTCTACGATAGATAAAATTAATATCTGTATAATAAAGTTTATTTACCGATTGAGTTAATGTCTACTTATTAGATAGTTATACATTTTTCTATCAGAGGGAATTGTGTATGTGAATAATAAAGTGGGGCAGAAGAATCGTACGGATCGTACATACCAAGTTTCGTAGATCCATTTGTAATAGTGTGGTTTGTTTCGAAACGTGTTCAGTGTTATATCTTCTGTTATTTATACATGCATTCGGGTGCGGTGGAAAGCAGATTAACATCTTTATTTTGGATTATTTTGAGGATAGAAAAGTTCCAGACTGAGTGCGCTAAATACGGAAGATTTGAAAATAATTGAGTATACAGATCAGTCTGTCAAATCAGGTATACTACACACTATACGTACATATATGTACATAGAAATAATGTCTCGGCATACATCGTACGCTGTCGTGAGAACTATGTATAACGTAAATAAGTAAAACAAAAATCAGCTAAGTAGGAGAAACCTGTATGCACGAGTCGTGAAAGTGAAGTAACAAAACAGTGTTGCGTTAACCATATTTTAATTACACACTAAGAATGCTAACTAACTCTCGTTCCCGCTATTTCATGTTCACGTACAGAGTGACAAGAACTACTACTTACTAGACTCAAGATTTTTTTTGCCGTTTTTCATTGTTAACTTTCGTTAATACATGAAAGTAGCAAAAGTTATTATTGTTAGAGAAAGTATTTGTCTATCTTAATTCTAAACTATAATTTAAACCTGTCTTTCAAATAAATACGTTACAACCAATTACATACTTTTGCAGTCCTTAAAATATCTTCGTTTTGTGAAAACATATTATTGATTCGTTACAGGAGTGACATAAGTAGGACGAATAAGTTTTTCATAAAATCAGTTTGAAATAGAATGTTTTGAGTAGAAAACTATTAATAATTCAGCCATATTCGTGGCTTTGAAGGTATTTAATAGAATATTGTTGATGTATTTTAATAAAAAGAGAGTTTGAACAATTTTTTAATTACAACATCTTTCTTGTTAAATAGTACTATTTTACTAGGTAAAGTAATGATACTTTCATCTTAGAAAATATTTTACATTTAGAGTTAACTTTCGCAGATGTCTCAAAATTAACAATATTTGGGATGAATCACGTTTGGAGCAAATTAATAACATATCCACATATTTATTATATGTCGGTTTATTTTCAGCTTTTGTTTTCATTTCAATTTAATTTTATTTTATATGGCTCACGAAAACATTTGAACACAATATTAGAGAATTTTGATGAATATATTATGTGCGTTATCGAAACTTTTTGAAGTTTCATTGATACTTTCAACGAAATGCGACTAGCGTAATTTGAAGCCAATCTGAAAATGATATGTAAGTTCCATTTTTGTACAAAATATTATATAAAATAAAATTAAAAAAATGTTTTGTATAATTAGATATAATATATCCATAACAAATTTTTATAAGTGCCACAATAATTTTATAATCTGCTGTATGTATTCATGTGTTCTTAGTTCTTAAATATGAAGTTTCAACCATGATATCATGTCACACAATCAAATCCACCGCCCACATGCACGAACATACATGTAATCAACTTATTCACGAATAGATTAGGCAGACAAATTCATTTTCTGGCGCATTACTTGTGCATTGTTCATAAGATAGAAAGTCTGTCATTCGCTATTTTCAATGCAGATGATTTCACCGTGTAACATTAAATAATTCTTTCAATATGTCGTCAGGATATGACATAATTTTATTGAGTGGTTTGAATCAAAGGACTAATCGCAACGCAATTGTCCGTGTTTATCTACGACGCAACGTGTTTACGCCTTTTGTCCTACGCGATAAATCGGGATCACGCGAGCTTTTCTCGCTAATTACAATAGTGATATGATTCAATTCTTCTGAGGAGCCATAATCATATGAACCGTATAGATCGTACTTAAACGATCATGTTTTAAATATTAATTTTTTTAATTTATTTTAGAGTGTACGATTCCTTATGTTATATAGACTGCGAGATTTTTATGCATTTATGTGGAATTTAAAAGTGTAAAATGTGTAGGATAGACATAATATAGAAATATATATGAATTATATGAATATAATATAGAAAAATATATGAATTATCCAAAATATAGTATATAATATTTAGTAGATAAATCAGTTTTCTACCTGGATTCCATATTTTTAATTATATTCATAGCGATATGAATTTGCATAAATATCCGCAGTCTACTTATGAAGGTAAATAACTTGTTTTTAAAGAAACTGAATACTGATTATGTACCTATAATTGATCAGATTAGCTTCTGAAAGACTTAATATCTTAATGTTTTTTTTCATTGAATTGGCAAATTATCCAGACGAATAACATTGCATGAAAAGAAAAATAATATTTATTAGAAAATAGAATAGAATATCTTTGTATCGACAAATTGAATTTCTTTCTAGAAATATTAGAATAGCAATCTAACCTAGTTATTTGAAAAGACGATTGCAAGATAATTCTCTTCTTATGGTTTCTAGCAGTATATTTAGCGGTTATGTTTATCCATGTATTACATTTGCCATTATCTTTTTATTTGGATTTATCATACTTTTCTTTACGATAATGAGCGAACAATCTGTATAATAATAAAATTAAACGAATAAAATTAAATGACCAATGATAGCATCATGGAAAATAAATTTGCCCGTAACTAGGTTAGTTATACCAGATTTCATATTTGTATTCCAATCCCTATCATTTTTAATTAACGAATTATGCAATGTAAATAGTTCAGTTGCTTCTGCTATGTAAATAAACGAGAGGTATTTTTTAAGCAGATTAATTCGACGGTTGTTGAGATGGTGAAAATCAATCTATGGTCGGTCCTGATAAAACGAGATTGAAACTGCTATGTTTAACCGTATCGCGGTTTGCTAATTAAACGTGCGCAAACAAATGCCTTTACACTTCTCGTATGAGATTTCCTTATTCTTTCGTAAAAAAATAAAACTCCTTTAAATCATAGCTTTTTGAAATTTCAATAAGAATTCTTTAACTATTGAAGTTTTAATTATTAAAAATGTAATATTTCATATCGAAATTTCAAAAAATTACAATTTAAGAAAATTTTAATTTAATTATTCTTTGATTTTTTTTTAAGTATTTTTGTACTATCTTTACTATCTTCGATTATTTATTTTTTATATTTCTTAAAATTTGATATTTCCTATTCAAAATTCAGTTTAATATTTAAATGAAAATTCATTCCTCTTCTATTAATAATATTATTTCTTGTATTCAATATTTAGTATTTTGTAATATTACAGTGAAATTTTTTTTAACGTGACCTATTACGATGGATCAAGGATTTCCAGCACAACATACTACAACGACAACGGTAACGACCACTTCTACCACAACACTAACAAGTATTCGATTCGACCCATCTTACATAAAAACATTACCTGGAATGCTGAAAGTCGCACAGGTGGTAAGTCGATGTCTTCTATTCAATACTTTGGCGTTCTGTGCCAATAACTAGTTCAATGGGTCGTAGCTTTGATTTATGTATACCACATACGAATTTTCATTAACGTCCATATTGTTGTCAAATGTTATTCTCGTGAATTGCTCGCGAACAGCAGTATGAATGGGGCATAAGATTAGCGATGTTAATGAAACTCAAGGATGGATTCAGGTTTTTTACTGTCAGATTGTCATGCTAATTAATCGACAAGGATCTTCAACCTAAAATAGATTTCTTGTTCACATATTTTTATTACAGTACAGAAAAGATTTTGTAAGATGAATGTAAATACATATCTACGAGAATAATATTTTGTAAACGGAATTACTACTCAATTTATTATAAGATTATTATTTATGTAATATACTTAAATATGCGTATATATGTATATGTTTTTAATATAACGTTGTTGAAATTTTTAAAAAGCTGAAGTATATCATATGTAATTATTTAACGATATAAAATTTAATTTTCTTAAGGATATAAAATATTAATTATTAATAATCTATTATGTTTTTGTAGGTCTTAAATCTTTTAGGTTTCATATGCATTACGGTAACGAGTCATAGCAATTTTAGTCGCGGAGCATGGTTTAACACTGTGGCCATGGGTGGCTTTTGGTTCACAGGAATATTACTCGTTTTCTACTTATTCCATATCGTTGAAAAATTCTCGAAAATTCCTTGGCTAAAAATAGTGAGTTTAAAAGAAAGAATAATTAATTTTCTAGATAAGATCTTAATATCTTTTAATAGCAAGCGAATATCCTAAATAGAAATCTGTTAAAAAGTTAACGTGCAGATTGCTTTTGCGCGAAGGCAAAATATTGATCCCAGTTGGAACTAGGACATTCTATTCTATATACGAACTTTGTTTATAATTCGTTTTAATTACTTTAATATCGTCATTATTTTTCCTGTTTTTTGTTGTGTATTATCGTATTCAATATTTCCTTGCAAAGTAGTGATAATCAAGGATATTTCAAGTATAACTTAGCTGTATTTTTATTTGTAGGAACTTACATTTTGCGTACTTTGGACTATTTTCTATATGCTGGCCGCTTCTCTTGCAGCTGGTTATGCTAAATATGTAGAAGCTTTTGGTGCTGCAGCAGTAAGTTTTTGAAATTACAAATTAGAATTACTGAGAACTAGATGTCCTGATTGTTAGACGAGTATCTCAGATTTATTCTATATCTAGCTTATGCTTGTCTATTCAATTTCTATTGGTCACTTAAGATCATCGGAGTAAACATAATTAAGAAAGTAATTCATTTTAAACAAATTATACCTCGAAAAACCACTTTAAAGAGTTTGGTGTTTTTTTTTTAATATCATTATATATCTCATCGTAGTTCTTTGGATTCTGCGCCATGGTAGCTTACGGTTATGATGCCTGGCTCAAGTTCCATGCCTCAAGAAGCGGTGCCTTAGCGCAAGGACAACATACACCAAAACAAGTATCTACGGTAGCGAGTCCTGCGTACTAGTTTCATCGCAAAAAATGTGTGACGTTTAGAAGAATTACACAAATGGACCAGTTTCAAAACATATCTTTGCTTTTATAGAGGGAGTTTGTTCTCGTAACTCCTATTCGTGCTTTCGTACGTTCCTCATTTTAACAGTTGAATGTGAAATGCTAACAAAACAATAACAGACTACAACAGATTTGAAATTGACTTCGCTATCTTTTATCTACAGAGCGAATGTATTCGTTTACGCACGGAAGCACGATATTCGATGATTTCATATTTTTGCGTTACAAGGGAAAGATATACATACTATTATAACATAACGCGTATTTTTGAATCTCTTATATATACATATACAGTAACTGTACATTATTTCGTGAATTTTTAAAGTCTGTTAATATTAAAAGTAAATATTTTTAAGAGTTATTATATACATACACATATATTTGTATACATGTACAAGAAATATATGTTTAATCAGTATTGTGTTCATATTATAAACGAATTGTTGATATATTTGTACTCATTTTATATTTAATTTCATACGAATAGCAATTCCATCGCATTCCTGATTAGAATGCCAAATGGACGGATGGTTACATTAATTTATTTATGATTACTCGCGAGAAGATAATGTTAGACTGTATTGTATAACAAACCATATTACATTTCGTCATCTACACTTATTGTTGTGTATATTGTATGAAAAGTCATATACCGGTAAAAGTTAGGGATGAAAGAATTGCTTATGTAACTTATACGCATGCTTTGATAATATTACGCAGCGTGTTACATGTATTTTGTTATTTTTATTCGACGAACTCGATACAGGTACCTACATTTATATATACACGATATAGAAATACATACTAACTAATTCTAATTACAAATTTCAAACACAAAGAACACACGATGACAATGGTCACGACAAAACTTGTATTGTATTACTTGATCGATGCTTTACGAAATAAACGATTCAATGTTACTTTAATTTTAAGCGTCGTTATTATCGAGATAAATAATCGCCAACTATGTTCTAACTTATAATTTCCGATGATTAGTAATTTAACTTGTTATTTTATGTTACATATTGTGTTTTTCTTAATAAAGCTCTTTTTCAACATCACCTGAAATATGGTACTATTAAATATTTAAAAAATTGATGAATTATGAGAAAAAGATCGCATGAAAATTTTCTTTTGAATTCTAATGATCAAAATTTCGATTGTTCGATATGAAAAGTCAAAAAAGAAAGAAATTATATAAAATATATTACTAATGGTAACGAGGTCTACGAGTTTGCTTTTTACCCATACTCGATAGATCTATGGTTTTACCATCGGGAAGTACTAGTTTATTCTCTTGATAATCAACGAACCCGTTCTCTTCTTCTTCTTCTCGTTGTTCCTCGTCGCATTTGATACCAGTTTCGTACGTGTATTCTCGACGAATACCGTCTGGGTCGATATAGCCGTATTTACCTCTAGTGATACAATCGACACCGATTATTTCTTCTTTGTAAGATCCGTCGTCGTTCTCGAAGCCCCAGGTGATTGAACCGTCCGGATTATCGTTGCGATATCGCCTAATAATCTATTGCGAAACATCGAAATGTCTTTAATAGATACTGTATATTAGGAATAATCTAATTAAAGTAATCGATATATTTTCCTCCTCATTTAACAGTCTCATTTTAGATCAGTTTCACTCTCTCTTGACAATAACTACTATACGCATCATTCTCCACTTTTGAAAAAGCGTGTTAGTCCAATTACGAAAATGTTAGAAGTTTAAATATCTTGCGTCACGAAATTATATTTTTATATTTTATTTAGCACCTTCCTACAAGATTGTATTTCGACTCTAAAACTTAATGCTTATATATCATAACTATTAAAATTAACTGGTTACGTACATAATCTCGTTAAGGGAAATCCTCTCATTAATTAACTATTGACATGATTATTATGTGACAATAAATATAATACTGCAATATTTTAACTAAAATTTTTATAAACAAAAATTATTTCTTTTTATCAGGTAAATTCTAATAGAGCGCGGAAAATACTCTAGTCTTAAACGTTGAAGCTCAAACAGTGCTACCATAAGCTTGTTTAAAACTAACCTGTGCAACGGGCTTCTTTCCGCGAGTATCGTAAGATTGAGATGGTTTCACTGATTTTGCAGGTGGTTTAACCTGTTGCTTAAATGGTTCTTCTATCGGTTTCCTTGGTTTGTTCGGTTTTGCTGTCGGTCGATACTGAACTGGTGCTAATGCTGGTGCGGTTGGTATTCCACTTCCTCTGCCAGTTGGACTTCCTGATCCCGAAACAGGACGATATTGCACTGGTTGTGCAGTCGGGCCGATGTTAGCGGAAGTCCTCGATATCGAACCTACTGTACCAAGATTTGGAACTGCTCGTGGCACATTTTCTTCGCTTTCTTCGCTTCCTTCTTGGCTGTCTGGAAGGTCGTCACTTAGATCGGTATCGTCATCTTGATTATTGTGATTTCGAGATGGTTCGCGGTTTCGCGTTTCATCTGGCTCCTCGTTCACTGGTTTGATTTGTTGAGGAAGTGGCGCTGGTCCTGTGGGTAAATTTGGTCGCAATGATCTGATGGGTGTGAAACCTGGACCTGTTCCGATTGAATCTTCCGCTCCTTTGGGTCTGATAAAATAAGGTATAAAGATGTATAACGTAGAAAGTAATTTAAAAAAAGATATTATATTACTGTGTTTTCGTGTAGTTGATTACTGGGATTAGGTTATGTTTTTACTCTAGAGTAAATTAGAAATATAATTCGAATAGCTAAATGTTGAAATATTTTGAATATTTAAAGGATTTTTTATATTATTTTAACTCTGTTTAATCCTATATTGAGTCTTTATTTTTATTTCTATTATGTAATTTTTTTTTGTATTTCATGTAAACATGTTATCAATACATAAATATGTTGTAGTACTATAGAAGTACATTTAAATTACTCAGCTAAATTTTCTCACAAGTTAAATGAATGAACTAATTCAAAATGACAAAATTTATGAATAACAAAATATGCATCATAAAGGATTTATATCGTTATGTGTAGTTATTTTCATTTAAAAATAGTGTTCAGATTTCTTTTCAGAATCTCATATGATATTAAAATCATAAATGAAATGTAGGATTCCATATCTCGTCTCCGTTAAAATATTTGATATTGTAAACTTAATGATACCTAAATGTAATTGGACGGCGAATTCGTTGATTCGCAAGTCCAGCTTGCGTTGGAAGTGCTGGTCGAGCAGATGGAAGTCTCTGGAAACGAGTTGATCGAAGAGGCGATCCTTTTGGTATATTGTCATCCTGATTAAATTGGGCCGAAGCCAGCGCAGTGACGCACGCCAACAACTATAATAGAATGAAATATTTTCGCAACATAGAAAGAAATAAAAAATTAAAGATAGCAATAAAACAAAGAATTATAAAATTAATTAACTAATAAAAGTTGCTTTTCACAAAAGATATGTCTTTATATCCACGAAATAAAATGCAGTGTATCGACGCCAATTTAGTTGATGAACTAGAAAAAATAAAACATAAAAGACTAAATATAAGTCTGATGAAAGGCAAATAAAATTAGCTCAAGGTAATATTAAAATACAATAATAATAGACGACAATGATCAGACTGCGGATGTTAATGTAAATTCATATTTTTATGAATGTAACTAAAACAATAGAATTCCAACAGAGATATGTATCACAACGAATAGTTGTGCATATTACTCACATTCTGTGCATTTATGCATAAATAACTTAATCTGATAAACATATGACACATTGAACTAATGCCTATCTTCGATTTGGGGTACTATTACGGAAGCACACACGATAAGCTTACGAGTTACACCAATCAGATTACGACAAGGTAAACTATGCGTTCCACGTACGACCGTCCTTCCACATTTTTTCCCTTCTCCTCAGCTTCTTTTTCTTTCATTGTTGTCACTACGGTGACTTAAATGTCAAGCAACAAGTTACGTGTGCGCCACATATGTTGCATTACACGAATGTGGGCATTATGCATCGCGAGTTCTCGAAATCGAAACGCTTTCACTTTTCTCCAAGTTCTGTACCATGAATTTTGTGACCAACGACGTGTTGTCATGTAGCCTACGTTAATTATCAAGCGTATATAGGTGCACGAATGCGATTAGAAACGCGTAAACTAGAATATCTGGACCGGTTTCAGACCAGTCCCTTGGTGGAAACCTGTTATATATCAAACGAATGCAAATGGAAAAGTAAGAACAATCGAATTACGATCGTGCCAATAAATGCCGGGATTCGACGGCTGTCTGCTTGATCGCAACCCCCTTCTAACGTGTCTCGAGGAGTTATGCTAACAGGTCTGTTCCCTCCTGTAATTTTCGTTATATAAGAATATGAAATACCGGTCGTGTTAACGTAACTGACTATGTAAGGATAATGTCGAATTACAGGAAAGTAAATACTAGGGATGTAAGAGGATCGACAAGTGCAACTGGTAAAAATTAAAGAAATGGAAGAAATCGTAACGTGTCTTTATCAATATTTTAGGTGGAATTTCAAAATTCCCATAACATATGAGAATTTTATGCATATTTAGAATATTGTCTTAATCGATTGGCGTGCCTATTACGTTCACTACGTATATCGTGGAGTCGGCGCGTTATCTTTATGATACGCGTATGACGGACGACCTGTTCGTGTAAAATTTGTTTATAGTAACTTTATACAGAACACAAGCATAAAGTTTTTGCGATATGCAAATATCTGTTAGATATATAATCAACAGTGACTGTGTTAATAGTTGGAGGAAGTGAGAGCGGTATGCTGTCCGGTTTGTCTTGGGATTCTATCGAAAATTGCAGCAGGTGTTGCAAGTTGCTAACATTCTTGGCAAATCAAGAGTGATTAAGGTTTTGATGATGTCAGAAATTTTTTCCCTTCTTTCTTTATGAAACTTGAAATGTCGATGATTAAGTGCGAACTTCGGTATGTCAATAAGCTGGTAGTAAAAGTGTTTGAAGTAGAGTGTTTTAAACAAGATGGTGATAAATAAAAATAAATTGAACAAAAATGTATCATATTATCACGACGCTATAACACAATTCAAAAACCTTCAAATCTCGAAGTATCACGATCCCCGAAACCGATCTTTGCCAAAATTTTCAGAAACGTAAAATCGAAGAACGCAAAAATCTCTTTATGAAAATTCTCTAGCAATTTTAAGAATGCATTAAATTAGAAAATTTCATCAGAAACGTAAAAAATGCCTCGACATCTTCTAAAACTGGCAAGGTGAAAGAGGAAAGGAAGTATAGGTTGTGGCAATCGTGTTGGCGAAGTGGAGCCGGTATCGAACCGGATCGCCATATCCTCATCTATAGTTCCTCTAGTTCGCAGGAATGCACCGGACTCGCCAGAAAGAGGGAAAGAGAGAGAGAGAGAGAGAGAAAGAGAGAGAGAGAGAGAGAGAGAGAGAGAAGGGAGAGACAGGCGAATCGACTGGACATGGATTTGTTTCTTACGAGATTGCACTTCGTTCCAACTGGTGGCACGCGCTTAGATATTTATAAGGAATATACAATGAAAAATCTATTCGACTTTCTTGCCTGGCCACTTTCACCCGGTTTGCTTGTGCGAGCAACCCGTTAATTTTCGTCCCTCGTGGCCGAACGGTCGTTTAGAAATGCGTTCAAGATCTGTTACAATTTCTCTGCCGCCGAATTTCGTTTTCTTTCACCGCACCAGTTTGCTCGTTCATTCACTTCTCCGCGAATACTTTCACTTTCTTCCTTTAAACGATATGCCTTCTCTTTCTCCGTTCGTCGTTTCCGATTTTCTTTTCGATTTTGCGATGGATATCACGTTTTCGAAAGGCGTGCGTGAGATTCTTCGAACGATTCCAACTTGATATTGAACTCACGATTTGGTGGATATAATTTTTCCTTTTTAATCCATTGACCAAGGGAAGAACGAGTTACTTCTCTTGGATAGGTATGACAATTTCTTTATTTATCGATCTCTTATTCTTAAGCTGACATATCATTTTTATTAAAAATAAATTATGGTATATGTGAAGTATAGTATATTGATCGAAGAAGACTTAAATATATGATATATAATTTATATTAAGCTAGATTTGAATATAAAATACGTGATTCTTCGTTTATTTCGAGTAATATAATTTTTTTTCGATCTTTTAAACAGCAAAGTTTTAATATTTGTTTTATTGAAAGTGATTGTAAAAATAAGGGGAAAAAATGGTAGAGCAGTTATGAAAAGTATGTTGGTTCGCGTTCCTTACGTAATATATGGCGATTACAAAGCATAACCGGTCGAAACAGAAAGCTGTTCTACTCAAGTGTATTTGGGAACATGGACATCTAGTAGGGCTGATTGAAAGGAATGTCAAGTATAAAGGAAACTCAATATGTAAGTCGATACAGTTTTTTACACATTGTCTAAAAACCTGTTTGTCTACTAGGAGTCTCTTGGCATGCGCTATTTCTTCTTCCCCCTTTACCCTTCTTTTATGATTTTATTGTAAACATACCACAATGACACAGCTTGAAACATAAAGTAAAGCCTAAAACTTTGCAAGAAAAATGTCCTTTTTATGAAGAATTTAAATCATTTTTCTATTTACGAATTTTAAACAAGAAACTCCTGTTTTCCTCCCTATTGAAATTTTTACTTTATGTTTCAAAATTTATGTTGCAAAATTACAATTATTTTCTAAATTACTCAATTTATAAAAAATATTTTCGCCCCTTTACTTAAGAATTCTACATTTTTCATATTTCCATTTTTTGAAACATTCAAACTAATTTAAATTATAATTATATCCCTTCTCATTTCATATCCTAACAATTTTTTAAATTCCAATATCTTCGAGTTAAAATACACTTCTAGAATATTTTAATTAACTTTCAACTTTCTTCCATCTCATAGATCATTTCTTCAGATTTGTCTCAAACATTTTCAAACTTCGCGCTTCGCGCGCAACACTTTCAGTTCCGTGGAGAACGAAATAGGATGGTCTATGGCAGCACATTCAAACTCAGACCTCTATTTTCATACCTCTATTTTCATACCTCTATTTTCATACCTCTATCCAATCATTAGTGAAAGGACGTCGGGCTTTGGAACTTTTAACTCTATTACGGTCCATTGAACGTTATGCCACTGGCTAATACATACCAGTTTTCCATTTCTCTATATTCTTTATTATCCTTTACTATTACTCTATTCTTCTTATTATTTACTACGTTCACTGTATTTACTATTATCTTACTTTACTGTCATTCTCATGCACTGAACCACACTTTTTAATTGTTAGCGAAGCAGGAAAATGAAAAGTGGAAAAGCCATTGAGATAGACGATGGTTACGGAAAAAGGAAGTTTAGGGTGGATTCAACAAAATGGCGGACGACATGGGGGCCGAAGCGTCCCTGGATCTTTAATGGATGCAAAAAAGGGATGAATAGAAAAAACTAATTTTGGCTACTCACGATCACCGCGACGCGCATGGCCGTATCCTGTGTCCCCTGTCGCAATGGTGGTCACGCTGGGTGTGGTGCCGGCGCGTTTATGCCTCACACTACCGCGAATGACTCCCCGTCTCCGTGTTCTTATACCTATATCCCCGTTTAAATTCCTATGGTACGAGCAGCACGCAGGCCAACTTTCCCATCGGCCAGCAGGAATACGAGATCGCGAAACGATTCGGCACGTCACAGGTATACGCAGTTCTTTAATTTGTCTCAGCGGTAATATTATCGGTGTCCCGATACTGAACGCTCATCTTTCTTGTCTGGCGAACTTGAACCGTTATTCCCGATTAGTTGTTTGATTAATTACTTTTGTGGAGACAGGTTGTAGTTTTACTTTGCTTTTATAGGACCCTATCTTAAAACTCTATGTAAGACTCTAAGAAGAAGATACAGTTTTATATCTTTACATAGTTTTATTTTAGTTTTGTGTAATTTTAATAGTTATTGTTAGTATTAGTGATAGTAGTATGATACACTGTTAGTCTATGTTTAACGTATATTATGGATTGTACATAATTATTAGTATTATATATGTATAAGTATAGTAGTATATATGAATTATTATAGGTACAATAAAAAGTAGTAGCAATATCAGAAATGTTCATTTATAATTATTTAATCATGTTAGAAATTGATCAAATAGGTGATTATATAGTATACTTTAGTACGAGTATCGTGGGTAATTTAATATTGCATTATTGAAATATAAAAAAAATTAATATTGTAGAATATTAACAATAATTGCCTGTAATCACACAATATAGTGTGTTATTGCATCAATAACATTAGTGTTTTTACTTTCATTACAGTCCGCATTTACTACTAGTTTATTTCCTAGTAATAAACATTAAATAGTACAAAACTTTCAGTTACACGTTTCTAATAAAATTAATATTTGTAACATAAGTATTAATATGTTGCAGGTATGCTAATATAGTAATTTGCTTTTCAGTTTACAATTATTTTAGCGTTATATATTATGCTATCTAACTATTTTTTCAGCTGTATAGTATAATATTAGCTGGTGAAATTATATGTACTGCATTTAGGTCTGCCATAAAATAGTTTCATTTGTGGATAATGTTTGTAATTCATCTACTTCCCCGGTATACCAGAAGTTACTGGGAAAATTGGCGCGGTAACAAACTTGACTACTCGTCGAAGCAATTGCGTGTGTTTAGTGAGAGTAGTCCTGATATAACATCATTAACTAAACTCGTTGCAGACACAATATTAAAAACAGATATTAATATTACATATCAAGGATTTACCTTAGAATGGTTATCTAAGTATTACGTCTATTTTATTTCTTTTCAATTACTAAATTTTTTATGTTTTTTACAGATATGACTTCAAAAACACAATCATACTAAATTTAGATAATATCTGTGTTAAAAAATTAAATATTACAATGAAACGTCACAATTACCTTATTACATTAATTTTACCTAAATTTCGATTTCATATTGCGACGAATATCAAACATCGTATTTTCTAGAACAGGGAGTGTTTAATGTAACGTAACGTAAATACACATACATATGTAATTTGTATTAAGTATTTCATTATCGATGAAAAGAAATTTTCACGCTAACAAGCCATTAGGTTTTCAATGTTATCCAAAACGTGTGTATAATACATAACAATTAACACCAATTCAGAGAAAGAAAGTTTCGACTTTAGTTGATGTTCGAATGCTACAACTTTCTTTTATTAATGTCAGATAAAAGAATTACATACTTGGTCTGATAGTTACCTAGAGGAATTTCTACGGGGAGATAGTGTCGGAGTCTCGAATTCAAGGTCAGTGTCGGGGCTAAAGCCGACTGCACTAATCCTCGCAATACGATTGCAATGTATCTACAGTACCCTGAGACGTTATGTAGCCGGGTATAATTTACTGTATATTGTACTTTCACGTGTACGCGTACTATGTAGGCTGTAACTTCAGAACAAAAAGGTACACCAGCACTTTTGCGTCGGGAACAACTCAGATCTCATTTTAGTTAACAGGGTATTCTGTGTGGAGAACGATGGAAATGAAATTTACTCATTTTTATTCTATACATTTAAACATTTAGTTACATTACATTTTAACTTATTGGTATTATTATTCCAGAAAGACGATGACAAAATTTTATTAATTTTATACCTATTCTGCGATTTTTTATAGCATTGGTATATATTATTCTTTCATGATAAATCCTATATGTTTTAAATACAAATTTCGCTTGAAAAATAAATGATGATAAATTTATGAGATTGTTAAATAAACCAACACCTTTAACACTACTACAAGCAGACTAAGTATATCTCGAGCACGAAGGTATGCGATAATTGGTTATTATTCGATCTTCCAGAATGAACGAGATTCGAAATGTCATTTTGATATTTCTCTGGCGCACATTGTTATTACAGACTCTTAAAATACTGATGGACTTGTAAACTATGCACGCGCACTAAATGCAAATGTTACCAGAACATTCTCCACCATCTGAAACCAGTTTTCTCATCGCGTCTTCTTCGTACCTCGTAATACGAAGCGCACTTCGTTTTCGTGATTTTTTTCTTTGCAATTTTCAAGGTCAACCGATATAATTTACCATTAATTTCACATTTCAATATTTTTAACTAGAATTCTTCTATATATTTGTCGTACACTGTCTTCAAATATTAAGGTGTCTGCTTCAATGTCTATATAGAATAACGTATTATTCGCCTACGATTGTTCTCCTTACATCAGATGAAAGATCTCATCTCGCATTCTTCAGTTAACTCGAATTGCTTAACAGACAAGACACTGTTTCATACAGCGTGAATTAAAAGAGGTCAAGTATGAAATTCTTTTAGGTCGAGCTCCAATCCTACTTTTTTAATAAAAAAACGAACCCTGTATGTTTGAAAAATTCAAAGAGAAAATGCTTGTTCCTCAGTTGTTTCTTCTAAAAATTCTCAGAAATAACTAAATCATTCTCCTTCATTGGATGAAACTATAAGAAACTAAACAATTAAGAAAAGTACAAGAAATAAAAAGGGCATTTTTATCGAGTCATCAAGATCTTTCTGAAAAAGGAACTCATAAGACACAATGTTGAATTGAGCAAATTGCATTAAAAGACTTTTCATGTATATCATACTTTATATTTATACTTTCTGTTTTCATATATTTACAAAATAAGTCACAGTTTCATACTAATTCAATTATTTGGCTAATATATTTGGCGCCTATACATTATATATGTTAAAAAACTTTTTAATTGTTATCCAAATGACAAATCAATAATCTGAGATCAGTTACAAGAGTTAAAATCTTTCACAATTCTAACTCATTATTTTCAATTTCATTGAAAAAGGCAAAAGAAAAAAGGTAGACATCTTACAAATAGTAATCCACGTATTACCAAGTGTAACAATACAAATGTGTCAAAGGAGGAGGGCCTATCTTGCCTTTTGCCAACGATTTACCCCGCAAGGAATGTCCAGCCGCCATTCGGTCAGGAATGCCGCGAGTTCGAACCCTTGAAGTCGAATCAGGTACGTTGGTCAGCAGGTCTGGGCAAGAGGAAGAGGAAAAGAGATGGTATGGAAGAAAGAAACAGGTAGATAGGTAGATAGGTAGGTAGGTAGGTGGGTAGGTAGGTAGGTAGGTGGTGCACCGGAGCAAGCGCTTTCGCGGGAGGCGAACACAGTGGAGGCAAGCGGAGTCGAACCGGCAAGCCAGACGGATCATTTTGTGGAGGCTGAAACCCCCATGAAACCGGTTCTTCCTTGCGCGCACTTCTCTCCTCTTCTTTATTCCTTTTTTTCCCTGGCAACGTAGTCGCCGTGTAACCATCGGCTGGTACTACTGCGATGCATACTCGCGTGTTACACGAGTATGCCCACGGACACGCACGATCTTTCGAATATATGGTACATGCGAAGGACGCGGAACATTATTTCGATATCGGTGATCTTGAACCGCTTTTTGTAAAATTTTCACTAAAATTGCTATTAAGCAGTTTGATATTACTAAAAAAAGTGGCAATATAGCCCCCTTGAGGAATTATCTTCATCTGTATCTCTTTATTGACGATGGATTAAAGAATTTGAATAATAATATTTCTTTTAATTTTATCACCTAATACCATAAGACCTAACGTCATTAGCAATGAATGTGTTAAGGCATGAATCTGATAAAAATTATTATCTGATAAAAATTTGCGAATTTATTATTCGATTAGTATTTTGAAGTATCGCGGATAAGGATTATCATCGGTGTTTGTATTTCTAGACTACTAAATAAATCATCAAATTTTTATGAAATAATATAAAGAAAAAAAAATAGGGAAGATAATAAGATAAATCTGTTTAAGATTTGAAGTATTATTTTGTATTGTATGAAGGTATCGCTTGAACATATTACACTATAACTATAAAAGTAGCTCAGAATTACTAAATTATTTATGTTATAGAACAAATATTTGGCCATTCTACTCTCTTAGTTTAATTTCATATAAATCCTCAAGTCTATAAGAATTCTATCAACTGCATGGAAATGGTTGGTACGCTTAAATCAACGTGGGAATAATCGCGAGTGTAAAGAACATATGTTACTAAACAGTGCGTTCCACAATTAATTGTCTGTGATTCCTGCAGCAAAGGATGTAGGATCGAGCAAACTGGATGCGACCAGTAACCATAGATGGCAGTTCGATGACTTAGAAAAGTCTGGTCGTCGCGTCGTGGAATTACGATGCGTTTTGTTCGAGCGATTCAACGTTTCAAGCGCGACGGTAGTACACTTTTTTTCGCTTATATCGTCGCGACATCGTCTGGCTTTATCTGGGATTCGCCTCGCTCCGTTGTCTGTTTCATCACCTGTCACCCCCTCGAATATCGCATAAATAACCTAACCGATGCGTACACAAGTGAATTTTAATGCATTGACTTAGAATTGTTAGGCTTCTATCGCAAACTTGCATCTCGAACGTGATATCTTATGCATTAGCAAGGCTATCACGAAGAATGTTTTAAAAAAGAAACATTCTACAGCTACTATTTTGCAAAGTGTTAAATCTTTCTTGGAAAAAAGATTTTTATCGTATCATCTCTAGATTTTTGTCTTAATAAATACAGTTTAATAATTCATTAGGAAGTACATTGACTAGATTTATTTTTATAACGTATGATAAAAACTTGAGGAGTATAAGATGTAGATTTATTTAAAGTGTTGGAACATGTAATTACAAATGTTAAATCGTTCCGCGTTATAAAAGCATCCAATTTAAGTTACGTTTAATGAAAGCAGTTACTTTATGTTCTATTCGATAGCTCGAGAAATTTTGAATTCTTTATCTCAATTCAAATAAATCTAGAGCGGTAGTAATTAAATGTAAAGTTATTCCATTTATCATTTTATTCGTTCAAATGAAAGAAAGAAGATATTCTTCGATCATATCTAACGTGTTTCACTATCAAAATGTACCGTCACTTAAGGTAGGTTGAATTAGTTAAATCATTAAAAATGATTACTAAAGTAAACCATAACCTCATGTGATATGAAGCAATACTAATTATTTTAGAATAAAATATATTATTCTATCAAAACATTTTAGCAGATAAGAATTATGTTTATACAGTCTTATTATTTCAGACTACAGGTTATTCATACGTATTTCGTCAGACCATCTGTTGCCTTTGAAACACTTCTTAGCGTTCTTAGTATAGAGTATAGAGTATCAACTTTGGGATTGGTAGATTTTTATTTTGATAAAAATGGCCTTATTATGAAATGTACAGAATCTTTCGTGAGCCTTTGAAACGCCTCTTAAGCTTCTTAATGTAAAGGACATCAACTTTGTGGTAAATTTTAGTAGATTTTTATTTGAATAAGACTTTCATGACTATATACTCCACAAAGTATTGAATCGATTCGAAGAATATAAAAATTTATTCAATCTGTCTGAATTGTAGAAAGACACTTGAAACGAACTTTTCTGTTAAGAAAATCATTGTCCTCGGTTTTCGAGCTAGCCGGCTCGGCAAACACGACGTTGGCAGCGTCATCAAGCTCCTCGTCGACCGGCCGATTGAACGCGGTCCGCGATCGTGCCGATTCCTCTGATTGGCCGAGCGAGCCGGCGTTACTCACGGCGCAAGAAGACTCTTTGTCTGTTTTTCGTCCGCTCGACTAGCCGGCAACCGGCGGAGCGCAAGTTATACGTGCAGTCGGAGGTCCTTCAGCCGTCGCGCCGGCTGCAATTATTACGCTCGCCTTCGAATTCGATCTCGACCCAAGTTCGTATATAGTATATACGTCGCGATTCTTCCACCGTCTTCGCTATCGAGATACGCGTCGGCCACGAAACAGAGACACGAAGCGTGCCGGCGAACCGACCGGGTGATGTGCATTTAAAAAGTTTCGTCAGTCTGATACGAATACCGAGGATATCGGAGAAACGTCAACGAATTGGTTTAATTGATCGAAGGTAAGCCTTTTTCTCATGGAGATCATGTTAACTATTGTAATTCGAGATTATCTGTTGATAAGTCTTTTTTATTTCAATTGGAGCTATTTATCGACACATACATTGCAACGTTGATAGAAAGATATTTTATTAATAACTAACGTCTTTACTATAAATTTCGACAGTTTAGTATCTATATCTTTTTAGTCTAATCAGTTTTTATGATCGATTACAAGGATATAAGTAAAAGAACGGAACTTTGTTCTTTGATTTGAAATTTTGATGTTTTCATAGTGCTGTACGTGTATCTAATAATTAGACACAATCTATGCTTTTCGTATTTTATGGCTTAATGAATGCACAGTACATTTATAGACCTTCTTTGTGCGAAATGATCGGGTAATCGAGGTAAGAATAGTATCGACGAATGGAATTTAAGGATCGATGTTTTTGAGATTTTACACAATCTTCTCCTTTCTCGCGTTTTTGTAAAGGAAAGTATATGGAGGAGATAAAACTAGTTTTCGGACGAGCTACCCGGTACATAGAATGGTTGTATTCTACCGCGGATCCCGACTTCCTCTGACGACCTTCAGCCTTGGTATCGTTAAATCATTGAAGAGCATTGGCCGCGATTGCTTTAAATTGTATGAATAAATTTGTTAGAAAAATTACATTTTACGAAACAGGTCAGAGACGCATTAAAAAGATATATTATATTGACATTGCAAAAAGCTACTTATGTTTAATAGCGTTCGTCATAAAATTTTAATTTTTAATTTTTAAAAATGTCATGCAGAAGAAAACGAGTGAGAACCTAAAGAAACCAAGTTCCTTGAAACGCTAGACGTATGTTCTTACGAACATTCATACGAATGCACGTATATGTGCTTCAGGCGCGGACACTGCTTCGGTCAAGGTCGTAGTCTGCAAGTTAATGCTCTTTTTACACGTTCTCTTTCCTCGGCTGTACACGGTGTCTCGAAAAGGATGCAATTTCTGTCTCTATGTGCGAAATATTATAAGACAACTATTTGTAACTAAATATCATATGATTAAAATGATAAAATACTTTCTAATATTTATGTAATCGTATCGTCAATATTTTTTATCCGATATAGATTTGACTCTGGAGTATATATCATTGATATGATAATTAATATCTTTCGATATCGATGTTTGCCTTGTCGAAGAGAGAATTTAATTTTAATATTAAATTTTTTGAACGTGATACTGTGTCGAGGATTGGTAACTCCACCACCGTTGGCGGAATCTAATAGCCAATGGGGTACGAGTTTCCTTCCCTCGGCGCGAATTGCAGCTATATAAAAATCATTTAAATTTTAGCACAGTTTAATGTTTCACCAGAAATGCATTAATACGGTCATGTAAGTATTCGAGTAAGTATATTAATTCATAGCAAATTATTTACTAAATAAAATAAGAAACTATATTAAATTTAATTTGAAAAAAAATATATATGTATATCTTAATAAAATATTCATGTATAGTTTACAAATCTTATCTGAGATTCTTTATTTTAATTAATATCAATGTGTACTAGTTTATTCGATATTATTGTTGCCTCACACAACTATCAATGTGTTTTCTTTGTTTGCTAGACGTTAGATCGTAGCGTCATCTGTGCATAAGTAATAAAATTTGATATACGTTTCAATAAATATTGGCAAAAATATATAACCATTTACAAACGAAAATTGAATAAAATTTATTTGTACATATACGATACATATTGCTATTTTAAGTAAACTTATATGTCGTGAAAAATTCGTTATACGTTCTCACAAATGCAATCAGACGTGGCGCTGCAGGCAGTGTACATTTAGATCCATTTTGATTCCAGCGACCAAGCTTTAGTAGCAAGCAAGCAGTAGCGTCGTTACAAGTTGCAGTAGGATTGCCAGTAGATGTTCTGATTTGGTGTTATACACGCCTAACAGTATGAATAATGTTTTTGTGTTCCTGTTTTTATTCATTACATTAGTAGATACTGGATATTGTATGCAAAGGACTGTAAGTAACATGATATATTCTTGTTATTAGTTTATTAATAAGAGGAATTCGATTCGATTAATTTGGATCAGCATCTTTTACGAATGTAAAACAAAGGTCGCGTGTAATGTGATTCATCGTCTGATTGTTTTATCTTGTGGGTAGAGTCGATTTAGAAATTATTGTCATGTCTCAGTTCATTGAATGACAATTCGGTGGTAATTGGAAGCAGTACCTTACTTAATGAGGAACACGAGTTCCCATAACCCATTTATTAATTAACGTGAGAACCCTAATAATCAAGCGATTAATAATGATATAATGTATGGAAATTTAGTAATAAATTTGCTTAAATGATAACAATAACAATAACAATAACAATAACATTCAATATATTATACTAAACAAATAGATGTTTGTATTTTTTCATAAAAATAAAATAAAATAAAAATTCTACTAATGCTTCATTTAATCATATTGTGGTTAATGTAAAATATGATATATAGAATTTATAATTATATTAATGCACTATTTAATTATTGAGCTGCAAACAATATATCTACATTTTTTTATATAAAAGAATTTGCCTGGCACTAGTTACGATCATGGCTGAATCATGACTGCGGCGTGATATGTAAAGACAGAAATTCGACAACAGTTTATCTAAGAGCTGATGGCCCCAATGACACTTTGCACTATCTGTGGGATTTTGATGGTAATCCATCTGTACTGTTAGCACTTACTTCGCGTTCAGCTACTATGAACATAAGTTGGAAGGACTTTCTTCTTAAGAGAAAAAACTCTGTAACATTTACAGAAGAACCTATTTATACTTTTGGAGTAGTTTTTAATAAGGTCAGTATATATGATATCGTAATACATATTGTTTTGTTACTACATTAAACCTTAATAAATTAAGAAAATTAACAATGTTTTTAGATTATAGAATTCAATGACACAAATGACACAGCATTAATAAATATTGCTAATCTTGTAAATACCAATAGTTTACATCCCATGTTTTTCCAATGGGACCGTAAGACTCTAATACAAAATAATGAATTTGTTACATTAAATATGGAAGGTAGTTCCTATAACGACAGTATTATGAATATCAGCAGAATGGGAAGCATAAAAGTATCGGTAGGTTATTTTATTATATTAAAAATATACATAAAATTTATAGTTTATAGATGTGATCTTTATTTCCTTTTCAGCTGATGGGATTTTGTTCTCTTGATCACTCAGAATTTATGCCTCACATGTTACATACTGAGAATTCAACACAAGTTGATATCATTCTTGATCATTTACAAACTAATAAAAGTTTCACTAACAGCAGATTTGCTATCGAGCTGTTGGTAGTAGGTGAAGGAAATCCTGAAGTTCCTATGTTTATTAATCCAAAGAAAAGTTTGGACGATGAACATACACCTGGTATATTTGATGTAATGTATCATGATTTGTTTTCTTTACTAAAATAGATTAATTACGAATTTAATATTGTAATAATGTTAATATTATATGTTTTAGGTTGTTGAAGTCAGAACACCACCTTACAAAAGTATGGATAATTATGAGACAGAGGGAGCTTACTTACAATGGAGACCAGTTTCTTACACAACTATGTCTAGAGATATAACAGATTCTACAGAAACAATGCAATACCCACCACTAAAAGTATCTAATCACACGAGTACTATCATAGATTCTATGTTATACTGTTACTATGGAGATAAGGCTGACAATTTGCTCACTCAACGAATCATTGTGTCATTGGGGAGTAAAGGAGATGGTTTCTACAAAAGAACGTACTATTCTACATGGTAATTTTATTTCAATAAATATTCTTGCCTTTATCTTAATAAGATTTTGAAAATGAATACGTGACATTAATATTCTTTCCAGGACGTTCTTGATTGGGTATGGTACACCGCCTGAGGAAGAATTTTCTTATTTAATAATCATGATGATATCAATTGGTTTTTGCCTTCCACTAATGATTTTGATAGCAATAAGCTTATATTTGTGTATTTACAAACTGCCGAAACAAAGTGGCCAGGCATATTTGAATCAGTGAAAATGTGTATGTGAATTGTACAAAATTTTTAACCGCGTGATATTTGATAGAAATCCGTGCACGTTTAGTTGCATTATGGACAAACCACCGATAAATATGACAAAAAGAATTTTCCTATATTTATACATAGCACATATATTTTTTACACACATTTTCAAATTGATATAAATCAATTTGAGGTATATATTAATGCAATGCATATAGATTATTCTGTACAAATTTATACATAGGTCATTAATAAACTAGAAAAAAAACAATTTATAAGGATTACTTTTTAAACCAGAAACTTGTATACACTCCATATATGATACTTTACAACACTTCAAAACATTTAAATGGAAATTTTATTAGAAAGACATCTAAAATGTAAAATACGGATAAAACATAAATAAAAAGGATTATAAATCAATACCAAACAATACATTTTTCGAAAATACTTTTGTGGAAACGTGAAAAACTGCACGATATCATAATGGCGACGCGAGTCGAGGTGACAGTAAGATTGCAGCACGATCGGTGGTCAATAGGTAGTTCCTTAAGGAAAGACTTGCAGCTTACGGTACGGGTGAGCTTGTAGAGACGATTGGTTACTGTGAAAGGCGGCAAGCGAATGTTTTTAGGCGAAGGTAGTAAGGGTGGTGCGGTGTGGTACCGTGTTTTTCGCTATCACAGGGGTGGCGGGTGAGGTGCTGTTAGTGGAAGGGTAAATTTTCATTGATCCGTTCGTGGTACGGAAGCAAGGGGCGTACGAATTTACGAATCCTAACCGTGATATTGACTTCGTACCCTTTTTTGTTTCGAATCGAAGTTACGATCGAAAGAAAATTTCCCTCCGCCGAGCTGTCGTTTCCATCATGGACCGCGCTCGCGCGAGAACGTCATGGTGGAGGAACGAGCGGAACGCCGAGGAACGGGCTCGATCAAAGGTTCATAGAGAAGAAGCGTATACCGCAATTGTCATTGGGTGAGTACGGATTTGTAGTTGCGACAGTCTCTCGCGCAGGTTCGTTGAGCGTGGTGGGTGGTCAGATAGGGTGGGGGGGTTGGTTCATGTAGAGGCGTTGCGAATGGTGCGGATATATAGTGGGGCGCTTCGAAACTAGTTCTCGTGGAGTCCGCTGCGCGAGATTGGCGCGTGGCGGTGCAATAACGTCCGCGTCGGGTTTGTCTAATCGTGACACAGTCCTCGAGAGAAGCTTTTCATCTAGTAAAAAGTGTGCACCAGACAGGGAGTGTTCTAAGAGACTCAGACTCAGTGTTAACGGGGGACTGGTGAACGGTAGTGAATTCCCGTGGTCAGGTTAGCTGGATAAAAGTAAAGGGGGAGAAGGTAGGAACGCGGACGAAGAAGAGACGTCGACAAGCGGGGGAGAGTGCTAGTGGCAACTAAGTGAGCGAGATAGGTTCAACAGAAAGGAAAAGGGTGTGAGCGGGAAAGAGACAGACAGTCAGTCGAAGGGGAAGGGGGGATTTACAGGGGGTGAAGAAAGAGTGAGAAAGTGTTAGGTTGGTATATAGCGGTAAAGGGAAACAGAGGAACTGAGACGCGCGCGCGCGTCTATGTGCCAGAAGGAACTGACAGACAAAGGAAGCGGAAAGGACCCGGTCGGTCCTTCGGTCAGGAAAGTTAAGGGTACGAAGGACGGTAGGAAGGCAGGAAAGACGGAAGGATCGTAGTCAGACGAAGCTGCGTTACGGGGTGACAGAATTACGAGTGATAGAACGCGTCGGGTCTGTCCCCCAGGAAGGGACCGTCGCGCGCAACGCGATCAATTTTCGTTGCGACGCGGGCGGCGAGACTGGAGGAAAGGAAGAAATGACGACTGCAGCAAGATACCGATAACCGGCCAGATAATGTTGTCGCAGAGCAAGTTTTACGCTCTCTTTATCCACTACACGTTTGTGTAGCGCGACACGGGGCGGGTCCTTGCCGCTGCGGTGAAGAACAGAGGTGCCGGAAGAGGAGGTGGAGGCGCGAGGAGAACAAAGGATACGAAGAAGAGGAAGAAGAAGAAGAAGCGGAAGAACGAAGAAAAGCAGTAAGAGAATCGAAGATATAAGATAAGGGAACGGAGATATTCGTTTGGAATTTTCCGAGGAAAGCCACGAAGCCTCGTCGTGATTCGTACGTCATTTATAATTATCGCGGAGGAAGGAACAGAAACGAGGAAAGAAACGAGCGAGAAACGAAAGAGAAAACGAAGAGAGCAAGAGAAAGGAAAGAGACACACACTACACACACGCACGCATACAGAAAAGACAGAAAAGTTTGTCGTCGTACGGTGTGTTCAGTTTACAGTGTCGTTGCTTGGTAGTGTGCTACCCTTGCCGAAGCTGAACAAGTAAGGCCCGCGGAGGTATCTCAGAACCCGCCCCTCCTCGACGTCGCAGTGCCTCTTCTCCATATCGCTACGTCGTGCTTCTTTTCGTTCAAGCCGCGACTATCCCTACGCTACCGGAGAAACTCCTCGACCGTAAGTGAAAAAAGATTCGAACAGTTTTATTATATCTCCTCTGTGCATCTGAATCGATCTGAACCTTCCTTTTATTCGATAATAATTGAAGTTATCAGGACGGTTCACGTGAGTGGACGAGTTGGCTAGGGTAAACAGCGTGTAAGATATTTCGTTGATTTTACTACTTGGTGACCGCGTGCGCTTCCTCCGAGGAGGCGCTAATGGCGCTACCTTGCAGCCCAACCACATAACGAATAATCGTTGTCGCAACATCATTTCTATACATCTGTCTGTTACTTTTTTCTATGCTTTAATCGCCAATGAAATTTTTCATTTCACCGCCGTATACCATGACGATCCGTGCTGTGACGTAAAAAATATGTTCGTCTCTCTCGTTCTGTTCCTCTTACTTCCTCTCACTATATGTATATACAGACATATATGTATAATCAATTACCGTGACCACCGTACAGTTTCGATTAGGTTGGACACGATAGCACGAATCGAATTGTAAGGTGACATATACGTATACGGCAGCAGACATACATATACACACACACAAAGCACGCACATACAAATGACATATATCTACGTATAGCGTGACGCGCGACTGCTGTTCCATTCCCGATATATCGATCGATAACTGCCTCGGTCAGGGATCAGTCAGGGGTTCACTCTCGCGATGACGATAAGCGCTTGCTCTTCTTCTTTGCTCTCTCTTCTCGAGATTAGTCGCACGTGAAATAGCTTCGGTTGCCTTTGTGTTCGTGGTCGACGAAGGTCGTATTTGCCGGCGCGCACACTACACATCGGTTATATCGTGTTCTTTCGCTCCCGTCTATGCTCGACTTGTGTTCTTGTGTGTCTCGTGATGACCTTCCTCCGCGCGAAAATTGCCGGTCAATACGACGTGCACGATCCGCTTAAAAGTCGTGCCATGGTATCGATCACCGCCTCGTGCACGACCACCAGGCTCATTGGGACTTTCCTTGATGTGAAGGAAACGCGTGAATCGTGCCTACTTCGGATGTCGATCCTTCGAGAATGATCTTCCGCGAGTCCTCAATCGGCGAACATTCAATCTTTCGGTAGAAATTCATTGTATTCCTATATTGCTTATGCACGTTGAAAATGTCACTGCTATATTTTTATGTTTGTTTCTGTCATTAAAGATAGGAATTTGAATTGAGTTAAGAAATACAGAGATATTTGGATACGATATATTAAGATATATCAGTAAGAGATTATTATTAATCGGAATTGAATTAGAGATGGTATAAAATCAGATGGATTAAAAATTAGATTATTTTTATGTTCGTTGGTTCGTTGGTTGCTCGTGAAGTTCTGAATATGTATATATAAAATTAAATGCTACACGTGTGTCTCGTAGAATCATATATTCGCATCGTTTAAAATTTGATGAACTATTTAGCTTAATAAATAAAAGATCGATAGAGTATAGCCGTGTAATGTCAAAGGTCGTATCAAAGCTACATTGTCTGTAGCTCAAAGGAAGCGTATTTTCCCGTCCGTTCGTCGTGCGAGAAAAGCGTGACGTCAAAGTCGATTTCTTCGACTTAAACGTTCCCTTGCGGTCTGGAAACCCTCTGCCTTTTCTTTTATCATATTGATATTTCGATTCATTAATGCAATTCTCGTAAACGTGTTATTTGGCATTTGGCATGCAACAGTTTAGCAGTTCAATCAGGTGCTTATTATTATAAATGTATAATAAGAGTCACTGTGAAAGTCGAAGAAAGAATTGCCATTTAAAAATTTGTAATCTTGAGAATTCTTGCTACTTGAAAATGACAATTATAGACTATGTATGTAGCTTTCGAGAAACATGGTCTTTCAGTTCGTAATTTTCTAGGACCGTGATTTCGGGCTATACAATCTTCCAGAATTGTGATTTCGAGGCTTTCAATATTCTGAAATTACTATTCTGAGATTAGTCTCTATTCGAGAGTCGTAATTCTGATACTAATGATTCTCAGCGATTCTAATTAAAATTTGTGCATCTTTGGAATATATATATAAGACAGTCATTATTCTTAAGAACTTAAATATCAAAGTTTATAGTTTTTGCTAAAAGTAAAGTTTGAATTTCAAAGTTTATAACCGTAACTAAATTTTACAAATTTTAAATATGTCCTAAATATTATCCATTAATGTAAATATGTCCTAAAAAAATCCGAAATACGAATCTAAAAATTTATCCTCCACGAGAATCCTAATTACTAAGTTCTACATAATCCTAATAATGCCACTGCTAATCACAGTTATTAAATTACCAGTAATTACCAGTAATGCTCTATATTTCTAGCCATACTAATTACTGAATTTGTAATCGAATTATCAATCTGAAAATCTTTGTTTCTTAAAAATCTCAGTCAATCCAGTCGAGTTCGTTATCCTTATATCAGCGATTAGAGAATTTCTCAATTTTCCGCCAGAAGCGATGATGATTCTGCAGGAGGCCTGTAAGTAGGATATAACTGGGGGCCTCGCATAGAAATGCTTTGATGGAACGTACAAAGCGATTTTTGTCGTAGTCACGTAGTCACGTTCATGGTAGAGGTAGTATCTAGAATAGGGAGTTTAGAGGTAACCTCTTTCGACGGTGATCCGTATCTCTCTGATCCTGAATGCGCCATGATAAGCAACGGCGCTACAAAAGCGCGCGCATGCGCAATACGAACGACGAGGGTAAAAGAAGGAGGAAGATTTTGCAGGGCAAGCGTTGAGCAAACGCAACAGGTGCGATATGCTCCGCATGACGTTTTAAGTAGAACTGCATCCGAA